CATCTCCGAAACAACCTTGTAAAGGACTGCCATCATGGTTAAGTGTCGGGACTCTTCTCCTTGACGATATTACTTCAGTACAGTGCTGGATGTTTGGACCCAGATCCTGGAGCGTGGTGGTAATATCAACAATATAATCTGAACTTTACCAGGGCTCTCGAGAGCTTGCCCCATGAAGGGTTGATAATTAAATTGGAAGGGCGCGGAATTCGGGGAGTGTAGTGGGCCCGTGTTTGTTTGTTTCATAAATGACATGCCAGAAGCTATACACTCTTCCATATAAATGTTCACGGGTGATACCAAGTTATTCAGGGAAATCAAGAACCAATCAGACTGTGGAGAGCTACAGAAAATATTTCTGTCAACTTAAAGATTGGTCGAAGAAATGGCTGTCATGATTCAAAGTCACCAAATGCAAGAAGATGCACCGAGGTCATACCAACAGTAAGGAGGCGTATCACATGCCACAACGGGACGAAGAGCCCGCATTTTTCGGAGGTCACGTGTGAATAGGACCTGGGTGTGGATGTTGACAACGAACTGATGTTTTTTGGCCATTGTGAGATGTGAAATCTATTAAACTCTCAGAGGACACTACTGTACATTACTCAGTCGAGTGTCCTTATCTGGAGCTGGCGGACGCCCGCCCCATTAGAGGTCGCACCTTAAGGTTGAAGAAGCCACAAGTTCAAAAAATAATGTCAGTGCAAAATTTTTTGGAGAGAAGGTTGTAAACTCTTGGAACAATCTGCCAGAGAACGTTGTGACGGCACCGAGTGCGAACTCATTCAGGACCAGACTTGACCAACACAGCGCAGGTACAATCGTGTTTTCACCCACACCATTCCGCCACCAAGGCAGATCTACAAGCATGTGTTTCCTTTACAGTCTATAACATTGGCGGCGACCTGTGGTGTAGTGGTAATCATGCTCACCTCGCAAGTGAGCGGACCAGAGTTCGATCCACGGGCAGGGTGAGAACGAGACCGGCCTATATCCACGTGTTTCCAGTGGTTCCCCTGGGAGATGGGTACGTGGACACGTGCCTCTCTCATTACTCATCGTTTATTAAACCTTTTTTGTACAGTTGTCATCTATTAGTATTTCTATATGTTAGAGTCTAGAGACGGGCGCCACTGTGTGTTTCATCTACAGCATCAATTACCAGATTCATATAATTATTACCTGTATGTTAACTCCGTGTCTCCTTTACGGATTGAAACCTTTTGTTAAACAACCCACTCCTCGTGCTCCTAATGCTGTAAGTAATATTTTGCCCACTATATTTTCAGCCTCTGGTTGCTGTACTTTCCATTAAACCATTAATTATTACTATTATTATTATTAATATTAATATTAATATTATTATTATCATTATTATTATTATTATTATTATTATTATTATTATTATTATTATTACTATTATTATTATTATTATAATACATCCTGGAACCAGTAGGTCTACAGTACATGCCCAGTACTTTGCCAACAATGCTGAACAGAAACCTAACCGACCCCCCAAGCGGCTAATAAGCCGATCAGTGGAGAAGAGGATGTGGTTTTAAACAAGTCAAGCAATTAGGTTCAATCTAACATTTTTAGTTACAAGGCATTTTTATCGTATGAACCATTGAGAATTTGGACCCAAGATATGGATAATTGCGAACTGTTAAAGCACTTCACAAGGCGAGATATTTGCTCGAAATAAAGAACAGTAATGTCATTGCCAATAAATAGCAAGTGAAACTAAGTATTGTTACCCCTTAAAAAAATTTATGGTTGTTGTTTTAAAGTAATTTACAATACGAGAGGGGAACTTTAGCTATTGTGCAACTCACAACCGTTAACCACTCAACAACCAGTGCAGAAAAAACTTTAATTTGTTATTAAAATACAGTTGCGTTCCCCTAATTAACACTCTATATAGTCCCGGAGTCCTTGTGTAACGACATACCCCCATGCAGACCAACACTGGAGCAGGTCCAGACACAACCAGGAGCCAGTACATGCCCAGTAACTTGCCAACAGTGTGTAAGAGACGTGACCGACCGCCCAAGTTTACATAATCTATAATACGAATAAAAAGTGAGTAAAAGTTTAAGTCATTGATATAAATCGCCAATAAATCTATTAATGCTAAGATTCGTTTTCATCTGGGAGCTTTGTCGAGACTCCCCGGAGATCAGTTACATAATGTAATATAAGCTTTGACTTAATTCCAGTTACAGGATAAAATAAACGTGCAAAATCTTGTCTAAATAAAATGTACAGTATACTTGGCTTCTGTTTGGACGCAGTTCATTGTGGACTGTAGTCTGTTACGCTTCTTTTCCTCTTCAGTAACTAACACAAACTGGCAACCTGTTGACTGTACCGGCAGTGAGTTTCTTTCGGGCTTTATAATTAGGATCAAGTATATGTAAACAAACACCAATATGTCAAAGATAATAAACTTCCGTTCCTCCGCCAGAGACGTGAGTCCATGGAAGCAGTACACTATAGTCCACTGGATCACTCACAAAACAACAACGTCTTATGCACTAATTAGAAACAGACGAGACACAACTTAACATCATTGGGCACGAGTCAAAAAATTTAATTCTTGCTGAGATCAAAATGTACTTCACGTCTTATTGGTTAGTAACAGCTGATTGGAGCATCGTGTGTGTGTGTGTGTGTGTGTGTGTACATGAACCTCGAGTTTATCAGTAACAGTGCCTACGACTGTGTCAAGTCCCACACACATTAGAAGGCTGGTTAAAGACAGGCAGTTGGAAATATGGATTTTTTGTTGTTTCGAGTGTCAAGGAACTCTCGGGTTATCTCTGGGATGTCCACTTATGGGTATAGTGTTATCTACAATAGTACTCAGTGTCGTAGAAGGTGGCGCAGTAGTACTCAGAGGGACACTACACACGGTGCTTCATCTCCATCCACACCAGGTACTGTACACTGGACTATTAACAAGTTTGAAATCATGTTAGTGAGAGATCTACGCTTGTGTGTGTGTGTGTGTGTGTGTGTGTGTGCGTGTGTGTGTGTGTGTGTGTGTGTGTACATGTGTGTGTGTACGTGTGTGTGTACATGTGTGTGTGTGTACGTGTGTGTGTGTATGTGTGTGTGTGTGTATACGTGTGTGTGTGTGTGTGTGTGTGTGTATACGTGTGTGTGTGTGTGTGTGTGTGTGTGTGTGTGTGTGTGTGTGTACATGTGTGTGTGTGTGTGTATACGTGTGTGTGTGTACATGTGTGTGTGTGTGTGAATGTGTGTGTGTGTGTGTGTGTGTGTGTGTGTAATAATAATAATAATAATAATTAACGGTTTATTGAAAAAGTTCTGCAGCCCGAAGGCTGAAAATATACATTGGGCATAAATGACTTATTACATACATTGGTGGTTTAACAAAAGCCTTCTTTAGAGAAAGGTAAAGGAACATCCAGTGAACATACAGATTAATGTAGGTGTTGAACAGCAAAAACGTAGTGTAGTAACTCCCTCCCAGATGGTGTTAGGAGGGACCTCACGTGGTGTAGTAGTTCCCTCACAGATGGTGTTATGAGGGGCCTCACGTGGTGTAGTAATTCCCTCACAGATGGTGTTATGAGGGGCCTCACGTGGTGTAGTAATTCCCTCACCGATGGTGTTATGAGGGGCCTCACGTGGTGTAGTAATTCCCTCACAGATGGTGTTATGAGGGGCCTCACATGGTGTAGTAATTCCCTCACAGATGGTATTATGAGGGGCCTCACGTGGTGTAGTAACTCCTTCACATATGGTGTTATGAGGGGCCTCACGTGGTGTAGTAATTCCCTCACAGATGGTGTTATATGAGTGAGGTGTGGTTCCAGGCCTTCCTATCGTAGACGGATTAACACATCGCTGGTAGTTGGGTCTCACGGGCCGTTATCACTGGGTACCTGGGACCTCACTGTGTGAAAGGTCAACTTGGGTACCACTGTTACTGTTGAGTTGTTCTCACTGACTTAAGCACTGTTCACCACTGTTCACCTCTGTTTAACACTGGTTCCATTTCTTTCCTAAATGAAATAGTAACTTCTGGCGTGAACTTGTTGATATTCCGGTGGGGAGGAGGGTTCAGGGGAGGGAGTTGGTATGGGCCAACATAACAGTTGACCTGGCTGCTCCGAGAGGAGCGCCAGGTACGTCTTGACCCTTCGGTGGTCGTGTGTGTGTGTGTGTGTGTATACGTGTGAGTGTGTGTGTGTGTGTGTATGTGTGTGTGTGTGTGTGTGTGTGTGTGTGTGTACGTGTGTGTGTGTGTGTGTGTGTGTGTGTATACGTGTGTGTGTGTGTGTGTGTGTGTGTGTGAGGGAGTGAGGTGCCTATCACATGATGGTTGTAAATGATTGTCTTCAATGTTGTTCGATCCCACAAGTGTATTTGTCTCTACTACCTGGTGTTGACTGATGGTCGTAATATACTCTACAGATTACCACGAGAAATGAATGTATAAGAGGATGGAATACAACTGAAATTGGACGTGAATATCGAGACAGTTGATGTACAGTTGTATGAGCCCTCAGTATTTACTCCCATTGTTGACTGATTGTTATTCCATAATGTATTGGCTAATTTAACTATCGGATAACATGTGAAAGAAAACTCTAATGCTGACAAATGCTTCTGAAGGTTATATAACGTGTGATGTCAGTTTTATCGACCCTAAAACTAGTCCGTCACAACCTAACATAACCTAACCATCACAATAGTGTCTCATTAGGGCTGGGATCCATGGGAATTAAGAGACCATTTAGAGTGAGGAACATTCGGACTAGACCTCGGCTTTAAGGGATCATTTAGCTTAGGACCTGTTTGGACTGGCACTCATTAAACTAGTTAGGTGTCACGCCTTCGTTCTGGTTAACGTAGAGAATAATGACCAAAGATAACGCCTTGAGGAGGAGAGATAGCCCCGGTCTGGGTAACGTGGCCAGATAACCGGTGAGAGTGGTTGTTTACCCCCTCCCCTTACACACACACACACACACACTGCTGTTGAGGTGAGTAGTCAACTGAGCCTAACCTCAGTCTAAAGAAGTCCCAACTACCCTAAGCTGAACATTAGGATTGGGTTAACAATCAATGGGCCCCAAGTCCCATTAGGCCCCCAACTTTGCCTAATCTAGACCTATGAATTGGGTCAAGTCCATTTGGAGCCAGTCCTAGCAAATACCAATCTAACTTAACCTTTAGAATTAAAGCCTAATCCACAATGGTCCCAGTTTTTAATGGACTCCGATCTTTATAACTACAGTAGTCAAAATTTGGAGTCCCTTTAACCCACAAACCCAGATAGAAAAACATATTAGTACTGACACTACGAACTAATAAAATTGGTTGACAGCACAACGAACTAACCCTCAACTTTCAGGGAGATTACAGTATTAGAAATACAGGTGTGTGTGTGTGTACGCGCGCTCTTGATTCCGGCCATTATAGGAATGTGAGAAAATATATACATATAGCCTGTATCTCGGATCATGAGTAACACTAGTGGCAGTTGAAGGTGAGATCCAGTGCTACTCTCAACACGTGAATACCCAGTTAGGGGCTCACCGTACTGAGGCGTAAACATTAAAGCTTCAAGAGGCTCTGAATCAAGCACTGTGACAACCCTCGGAACATTTATGATGAAGAATTAGTAACTGTTGTTGTTGTCTTACTTGTTTAAACTGTCAGCATCATCAACAAACTTCAACTTATTTTCACATAAATAAAAACTTGAAAAATAAGGTTATTGTAAAGGCTTTAGCTTAAAACCTGTTAAAAAATATACCACAACCTAAAATTAATCCCCAAAGAAATATTGATGCTCTGTTAACCACACACGTACAGTACAGTGCACCACATTCTAACGAATTTGTGACAACTATCTATCGTGCAATGTACTCGTAGGAATACTGAAATATAAAAAAATTCATAATATCAGTAAGTATATAAAGACTTTATCGCAGAGATAAATGAATGACTATACTCTCTTAAATGTTTACGCTGACGTCACACCAGAGAGAGAGTGATACCAACATTTTATAAGATAGTAATAAACGTTCAAAAAATTGGTGGCGCGTTTAATGAAGCCATTGTCGCGAAAATTATATTATTACACGACATTTAATTTATGGATGCCACCTAGAAACCTAATATTGTCTAGAGTTGTCTATTAGGTACCGGTATCTTTGGCCAGATTTTAGCTTGAAAACACAACTAACTCTTTAACAATTCCGACTAAGCCATATGTGGTCATTATCAACACTGAATTAAGTGACAGTTAATCTTCATAACTACGTTGCTAACATTACCTTAGATTGTTAACGAAGTCAGGAGCCCATATATTAATCCATGTGTGAAAATGTTAATACTACTATATGAGAATGTTGCTAATCGGTAATCTTTTTTTAATGTTATTAGACTCACGAGGAAGACACCCATTATGTTGATCCTGGCGACAATCGTCGTCATCCTCATCTTCGCCTTCCTGAAGAACGTCATACATGAGCTGGAGAAACAGGAGGCACTACTGGTCAACGCCACCCTCAGGCGAGTACTGTACACCATTATGACGCAGTACACCACCACCAGCCTCTATTATAAACAATAAGGCTATAGACAGTCCCCATTCATCAATAGACCACATCTACCCAATTACAACTCTCCGTGTCACACCCTATACCGCCTCACTCTCCCTGTCACACCCTATAACGCCACACTCTCTCTGCCACGCCCTTACAGTTCTAACGAGTCCATGTTCTTGGGGTACGAGTTGGATGATGCGTGGCGGACGGTGCGGGTGCTGGAGAACGTGACGGCCGCCGAGAACCTTACCGTTAACCAGGTCAAGGTGGAGCCCGACTGGTCCCTCGTCCAGGGCACCTTCACGCACCTCAAAGACGAGAACTTCGAGTCGTTTCTGATAGCTGTTGGTAAGGCGACTTATGTTTCTCACAGCTACTGGAAAGGTGACGTATAGGGTGTTTCTCAGAGCTGTTGTTGATGCAGGAAACGCTGGTGAAGGATGGTGGGGCGTGGTGACCTCAACAGTGTAGTTCTTGTCTTGTATCTTCCTATGTGTGCCCTAAAGTTACTTCTAAAACAAACTGTTGGCTGTTAACGCTCTTGACATCCAAAGTTTGGTTGACCATTTCATCAAAGATTTTCGTACAGGCTTTGTTAATTTGTTCCACTGCTATCCTGGAACAGTTATTGCTGACCGATTTTCTGATTTCTACACTTTGTTAAACAGTTATAGATTAGATGCACAAGGGTTCGGGTGATGTATATTCCTCACTTTCATTAATATTTGTAGGAAGTTTAAAGTCGAATTTTGATGATGTCTATAAATTTATGGTTTAAGGTCGACTTTTAATCATAATCAGATGTTTGAGCCTTTGTCACGATGGCTGGCGGCACCAATATCCACGGATATAGCCTCTTATGTCGGGTTACAGTGGTGTATATACATCACTCTTTAAATAACAAACCATATAATGACCTAAGATCCATTTTCACGTGTCAGGTGTGCCGTATTTGGTGCGGAGCTTTATCGTCAAGACGACCCCAACAGTGACCATCGAGCGTCTCTATCAGGACAGCGACTACTACTACGAACTGGAGGACCATAACCCAAGTACTGTACCATAATGTACCTCTTTCTTGTTGGTAGACCCATCTCCATCTTTGTTGTGCTCGGTGATTTACTTCTAAATGCTACGATTATGTCTCCCTTACAAACCAAGCATACCAGTACATTATATATCATCTTATATCCACATTAAGCACGGTAGTCTAAAACAGATGGGTGTCTACACGTGCTGTCAGAGATTATTTCTATGTTATATCTCGACAGACACTGATCTTGACCAGGTGGGTGGTGAGGACGGGGGCCGAGTGTATCAGATACTCATAAACACAATTACATGGCTCAAGACCAACACGGAGAGGTTCCGGCTCGGTTATTCCTTCATGAAAAAAGACTTCGACGGTTCCCCCTCTAAGGTGAGTGAGTGCTGGCAGGGGGGGGGGGGGGTACCGTTATTGGCCATGGCCTCTGTAATTTTATTTATTTCTAGGGCTGAAGAGATAAGGTCAAATTCTTAACTTAAACATGACTTCTTCCGTCCTTTCATTTTGCCTTTTAAATACATATTGGGATATACTGGACTCTCCCTGCCCCTCTGTGAAACATAAACAGTACCTCCCAAATTATAAATTAACGTAGATGTATATTGCTATTTAAAAATCCCGTGTACAGTATCGTACTGTACTGTACTGTACCTCCTCCTTCACTCAATACAATCATCTCATAGCCATCTTCTAACTTAGTATTCATCTATAAAGAATATATATGTTTTTTGCGGTTATGATTCGGTGGAGACCAAAAACGAATATTGCCAACAAAAATAAGTGCTCCCAGTGTTTTTCATTGTATCATATGAATCTGATCCTCATTTCTGTCGGAAATGAGTAGTTATAAAGATAGCCTCCCCGCCCCCCTCCACCCCTCAGTACCAACAGTTTTGATTGCACAAACTGAGAAGGGATTTATAGTACAGTAGAGGGAAATTGTGAGTAAAACATGAAAAAAGATACCAAACCAAACCTAATGAAACCCGACCTAACCTAACTTTAATTACCAGATGGAGGAGGATAATGTGGCGTCTTCTTGAAGGAGAAAGTGGTGCAGTATGGTGTTGTGAGGAACTTGGAACATGTACCGAGCAAAATACCTTTCGTAATGTTGTTTCTTGGTGCCGACACGAAGCACCCAGCTTTTGATATCCCTCCACATATTCTATATTTGCGTATGAACAAGAGAAGGGTCCACAAAGTTCTGACTGTGGTTTACAGTTCTGTGGATGTAACCAATTACACAGAGGGTACTGTAAGCCACCCAAAGGTCATAATGAATAACACTACTGTACCCGCTTTTACAAAACGCTGAATTAGCGGCTTGGAGGTATCAGCACTGCGGTCAGGCACTGGTATGATGAACTTACGGTCTATCGACCTGGAGTTGGTCTACCAGGATATTTACACTGTAGCGTCCATTGACCTAATCTAATAACCTAATCTAGGCTAGGTTTGGTAAGGTTAGGTTGTGATATATTACTACAGTATTACTATTACTTTAAACACGATGTAATAGTCTATTACTGTTACCCCATGTCTGTAACCAATTTTCCCAGTATTGTTCAGTACATATAAACTCATTTCCTGGTACAGTATATATAAAAAATTGTCTTGTCCCCCATTTTGTACAAATGACTATGTAAATGTCATCTTCAAATCGTACAACTAAACATTTACAGAACACTTACTACTTCGTGTCACCGAGTGTTCTGGTTCACCTCAAGGAGAAGGAACAGTTCAACACCAACATCATCCGGAGCTTCGACCGAGAGGGCTTCGTTATGGTGAGTAGTGAACAAGTATCTTATCGTTGTGGAGAGTTTTGCGTTTCTTGTCATTCATAATGCAATGACAAACTCAACTCTTGGCAGTGCAGTCTGTAACACAAAACACATTTTCTAATAATCTTTGAAAATTATAATTAAACAGATAAAACTTCCATACTTTAATAGTCTATGGGTTAAATGTAATCACTCGTACAAAAAATATCTAGTCTAACCTAACACAAATAATCCCACGTAAACAATATATCCTAACCTAACCCAGATACGTTAACGTTGGATCCGGGTTTGTTTGCGAAGAAAACAGCAGGGCTCTAAATATTACCTAATCTCTATAATATTGTGTGTAAAGGAGGGAAAGTCAAACGTTTGGGTTAGGTTAGATGGGTAGGGAGAAAAGTTTTCCAAGTTAGATTAGGCTACGTTAAATTAGGGGTAGACTACGTTAGGTTTAAGCTAATTTTCGGGTCTGGAAATAGGTGGGTTCTAAAAGTGTCCTTGTGGTTTGTGTATTGAATGGAGTGTAGTAGTAATGAGGGGAAATAAATCATGATATGTCTCCCACAGACCATCATCAACAAGAAGGCGGGTATGAAGGCCAAGCGTTACTTCCTTAGAGAGCCAGAGGAGGCGTGAGGAACGACCTACACTCTTGATGCTCTCGCCAAATTCACCAGATGACCTGTACACACACACACACACGTACACACTTCAATTCTCTGGATGATCGACATAAAGAGCTTCATCTTAGGTTCGGTAAAGCTTTGTTAGCCATCTCTAAATTACGACATCACCACCTTTCGCCCGCACCATTTATGGACACATCTTATGTCAGGATGTCACTCAGAGTCAAGGCCAGTAGTCAAACCAAGGTGTAGGAGCGCCACAAGATATCAACAATGTGAACACGTCTACTAATCAAGCTACTGTAAAAATTGCAAAGATTATCTTTTATAGTCACGTGATGTTAAGTTACTAAACGAAATTCCACCCAGGAAGCAGTGGCGTCAGAAAGGGAAGGGGGGGGGTGGCAAGGGGCAAGATGTAGCTTTTGAGTATGAAGTGGAAACTGAGCACTTAGAAGTTGAGCTCAAACAAGCCAAACGGCTGGTAGATAGTAAAGTTGCATCTGGTGTACAGATTAGCAGTATCCAGCAAATTACTGAGTTCTTGGCACCCTATAAAGAAGCGTTTCCAGACCTCACAGTAAATTGCTAAATATTGCATTAGTGCTGCCACCAACATCAGCGTCATCAGGGAGAATGTTTCTTGATGAACAGTATGACTGATGCCAGGCTGTCGGACCTCAGTGTTAATGGCATACATTCCCAAGGATAAAAAAAAATTACATTAATATGGATGAATTTATCAAAGTCTTTGCTTGTAACCATAACAACAGAAATTGTCAGCTGTTCTGAGAAGGCAAACCTTGTACTGTAGTAGCAAAGCACTGTAGCCAACAGTGGCATTTCAAAGATGAATCACTGGTTATGCCTTGGAAATAACTATATAATAATATGCAGTAGCTAAAACAACTAACTGTGCAGGTGGGGGTCGATATGCTCCGAAGTGTTACGTGTGACTAGTGACAGCCTTCATATACCAAAATTTATCGATCATGGTCTCCTATTGTTTCCCACAAGGTATGCACAGCTAGTTGTTTTAGCTACTACAGCATATACCAGTATGTGCGTATATGTATATTCGTGTAATGATGTATGCTATCAGCAAATGTGCAGAGTTATGGGAATTAATTTAGTTTTTTCATCATTTTCAAACTTTCCAGCCAAGTATATTTGTTTAATTACTTTTCATGTATATATTGTATGTGTTCACATACAGAACTTTATGTAGGCATGTGTTTCTTTTTACTTTTCATTCCTTATGTTTAATAAAGCATTTCTCTGGAAGTATATGTTGTCTTTGTTTATCAGTGAACTGGTCTACTAAATTCTACAGGACAAAAAAACAGATGCTGTTATACAACGCTGAATGCAAGAGAATTTACTCTGGTCGTAGTCAAAGTAAGGGAGCCCACTACATGCCTAACATAAGGAAGAAATTTTTCAAATGGAAATTAGACGTGAGAAAGATCTACGTGTTCTTGGCTTTTTAGCAGAAGAAACTGGACTTCCCTATTTACTAAGTGGATTAGTCAGAAGATCCTATGCACACTCAGATGGACTGTCTCTAAGAATAATTTTCCAACGTGTAGGGCTACCTCACTTGGAGTACTGCAATTCTCCTTGAATTCCGAGTTATCCCAAAGACTGTCAAACGAATGAAAACGGCCAAAAGAGGGCCACCAAACTGGTGCCGGCACTCAGGCACCCCCAATTCACTAATAAGACCAGAATGTTTACAATTGTCCACTTTTATATACGAAAGAGTTGGGGTGTTTTAATATAAATAGGCCCCCTAATACTCAGTAAAATATACTTACCTGGAATTAGCGGATGGCCGCCCCATTAGAGGTTACAGGACTTAGATATAATTTCCGAGAACTCTTAGAACTAACTTTTTTGGAGTAAGAGTTGTGAACTCTTGCAAACACTTTCCATTGAAGTTTGGTATCCACTTACAGCTGGGAGGAATGGGAGTGCGCCAAGTGAAGGTTTGAAAATTCAATAGTCCTGCGACCTTCAGGAGAGGAGGGGGACGAGCGCTGTATCCATTCAGCTGTTGCATTCTAAAAGTACAATACACATACAGTACCAAAGCTGGTACGAAAGCCAATAAGGTAGTGATTTACAATTACAACATAATATTTTGAGTCAGTGCTCTTTACCTGTTCATCATGGGTGCGGCAGTCGAGTGGATGCAATGCTTGCCTTCGGTAAGAGTCGTTGGTTAGCAGAAAGGCACCCAAAGTTAACCCAGCTGTAAATAGGGGCATAATTTTAGATTATTAAATGCTATTTTTGCTTGGCCTATTATTGTTATGATTTCTTTCGCACATATACCATCACAGCTAATGTTACTTCCCAAATACACAAAATCTTCCACTTATTCAGTTCCCTCTTGCCTATCATAATTTATATTTTAGGATTTATTTCCAGTTTTGGAAACAACCCTAACAGCATTAACTATTAACCCATAGTCTTCACTTTTTTCCACTGTGTTAACCAGTTTTTGTAACGTATCTTCACTATCCGCGATAGTGAAGTAACCATTACAGTAACTTTTATTCCTCCATATCACTCACAACTTCTCTCATTAAGAATTCTGAAACTATATTATACAATGTTGGAGATAAAATCACAGCCTCGTCTTACTCCCTGTCTAGCTTTGAAGTTTGAACCAATTATTAAGTTCGTTATTTGCTCACACTGCAACCTGCTGTTGCCAATAAATATAAATATATATTTGTTTTAGAATTCAAATACCTCCTTTATTAATAATTATTTTTTTCAAAGACATTTATAAAATTATTGGGTTTAACCTCATCAAAAGCGTTCTGTAAATCAACAAAGTATATACACTATGCAAATTTCTTTGGACCTATAAAGCCCCTTTACTCAAAATTCTCAAAGCTTCTCTAGTTCCTTTTCCTTTCAAAATCAATTTTGATCTTCAGATAACTCACTATCTATGGTATTTTAAATTTTATTCTACTTAAAATTATGGTTAATAAAACCGTAGGCATGACTTGTTAAGCCAATTGTTCTAAACTGGATGCACTAAGGCTCCTGATGATTTTTGAGTAATAATACAAATATAAATGCTTTCGGTGTTTAGTATGTGAGTGGTCTTGTTTTCGGCGTTTAGTATGTGATGGTGGTGTTGTTTTCGGTGTTTAAATGAGGGACCCATCAATTCGGAAGATATTCTTAACCTTTTTGCAGCTTATAAGAGTTTGGGTAAGGTTTTCAAAGGTGTTGGTGTTCTTTTTAGTCTTTTCCTCTACTACAAAGCCCTTCCCACTTTGAATAACCAATATTGTTGGTAATGTGTTCATTTGAGACGGAAATATAGGTCAGATTCGCTTTAAACATTACAAAATACACTAGGAAATCCTATTTTTATTAATAGATTCCATGGTCGACAAAAACAAATCTTCACCCTTTTCGCCACCTCAATACAGTTTATATGAAGCCCCAAAAAAATTTTAACTACCTGTATTAAGCTATGTGAACCTATCCATCTTCATTGAATCCAAGAATAACCCACTTCAATATTTTCATTTCCTTATATCTACACACTTACCAGCTGAGTAATGTCCTCACACTCCATGTTCCTTCTTGATTTTGTGTTTGTTCATTCTTAAACTTTCTGTAATTGCGTTTAATGTCCAAGGCTTTGTTTTCCCCGGAGAGTACTGTACTCGCTAGTTCTCGGCCAAGGAATGTGATATTCCTTGCTCTTGGTGGCACACTGCCCGTAAGCAATATGGTTGAACATATACTGTAGGTGACGATGATGCAGTAGGAACGCCCGAAAATATTTTATTGTCTATCCATGGCCATAGGAAACTGTATATACTCCCACAGCCTACATGCAACGTTTACCTTCATTGTATATATATATTCATGCTGAATTGTATACCTAAGTAGTTTATATACAAGTCTATCCTATTGTAAATATGTATGACAATTCGACTGAATAATAATTATTATTATTATTATTATTACTATTTTTATATAATTAATGTTGAGAAGATCGGTTGTGAGCAGAGTGTGGCGCAGGCGCATAAGTCCCTTCGCCAACTCTGTTATGGCGGACATCAGCGTTTAAGCGCCCTGTGGTTTGTTTAAAGTACTCTACAAATACACTTCCCGTAGATGATTCTATTTTCTCACTAAAATGGCGGATTCTCCAGTTGTCGTGGATCCAGAGGGGTATGAAGAGCTCCCGGAGGAGGAAGTGGTATGTAGAGAAGAGTGACATAGTGACAGTCTCTTTATATTTGTGATAAGCCTCTTGCTTCCCACTCATTGGATTGGATAAAACTTCATTAATACTTATGTCAACATTTACCACATATATTGTAAAACGTAATGTTCTATAAGACTGTCCCCAAAGAACCAGCCACATTACGACAATTTAAAGTAGAAAAAAAGTTTTGGTATTTTAGAAATATCATAAACCAGGTGGAGGAATTGCAATTATCTTAGGTAATACTTGACGGCTATGCCACGCCTTTAGCACCAACTTGAAGGAATTTCTCTGTAAATGATAAAAGCTTTCTTACCTACCGTTAGAGAAGATGACAAAAAGTGCATGGAGAATATTATGTGTTGGGTAGATGACAGGCCTACAGTGTCTTCATTTACAGGAAAAAACTAGGGAAAAGTAAAATATGAAAATTACATTACTTAACCTTTTCTACATATATTTTTCAAGAGTAACTGGTTAACATGGCAGCCAAACCCCTACAACTACATAACCATTTTTCTTTAGATTTGCCAAATGTTTTAAGAGAGGTCATATACCATACTGTGCTACTTAACTATCACAGAGTTGCTTACCCTTCCCTTAATTTAATTGCAAATACTGTATGTGAAACACTTGTTGGTCATGATAGCTAGGTAGATATACACAATGTCCGATGACTTTATGGAAATAACTCGGGTGTTTATTTTTTTATGTAATTCTAGCTCGTTGAAACAGTGAATGAGTAGCACTGTTAAGAATGTCAGGGTTGTTATGTATGCATCCTGCCGCTTCCTAATTTGACGAAACAGATCACTTCTTTTGTTCATTTCATGCTCATATCGAAGCTAAAGGAAGCCATTTTTAACATTGACTCTAGGGTGCTGCACTAGCACCTAACCTTATCTAACCTAACCTGACCTAATATACCCAAACCTTGTCTAACCTAACCAAAGCTAACTTAACCTAAATAGCCTATAGACCATATGCTATAGTGGCGCCAATTGTAAACTACTGTAAACGTATACATTTGTAGCACTTTTTGACGGTTTGCCTAAAATTACCAATTATGGCAAAACAGCTTGAAAGGCTGTTTTGTGCTATTTTGCACAAAGGTTTAGTTTACAAAAGTAATATCTCTGTAAGCCAGAATCCCCATTAGCCAGAATTTTCCAATACCTGAAATTAAAATTGACTTCAAATTTTTCGGGGAAAACTCTCTCCATTCCGGGTGTCAGTGAGTTTGAGGTTAAAAATCAGGTCAATTTTCTGAGAAAATAATGAAAAATCTCTCTGAAATTTGTTTTTTCAGGTCTGGGAACAAATTCCGAGGTTGAAAACCAGCGCATTTTCTCGAAAATTCCGAGAAAACTTTTGGAAACTCCTGATTTTTAATATATATATATATATATATATATATATATATATATATATATATATATATATATATATATATATATATATATATATATATATATATATATATATATATATATATATATATATATATATATATATATATATATATATATATATATATATATATATATATATATATATATATATATATATATATATATATATATATATATATATATATATATATATGTATATATATATATATATATATATATATATATATATATATATATATATATATATATATAATATATAATATATTATATTAAATATATATATATAATAAAACCACTCCCCAATGAGTTCAACAACCCACTTCCTATATATATATATATATATATATATATATATATATATATATATATATATATATATAATATATATATATATATATATATATATATATATATATATATATATATATATATATATATATATATATATATATATATATATATATATATAAATATATATATATATATATATACAGTGGGGTATGCTATAACGAACGTAATTGGTTCCAGAACCTCGTTCGTTATAGCATTCGTTCGTTATAGGATTAATCCGTTCCAGGCCCCCAAATACAACCACCTAACACTGAAAAAATTCTGTGGAAAATGTAAAAAATACGGTACTTTATCTTACCTTAGTGTTATTCAGCATGCAGGTACCCCTAAACACTGGCACATCACTATCACTTCCACTGGGAGTCTTGGCTTTAAGGTCCTCAAACAATTGTCTGGCCTTCTCACAAATTATAGCTTCACTAATGTTACCACCTGCCATTTCTTTCTCCTTTATCCACACTAAGAGTAAATTTTCCATCTCTTCAATCACATTACACTTTGCTTTGCTAAGTCTAAAGATTCCCTTAGCCACTTGCACAGTTTTTAACTCCTCTTTATTCTTCAAAATCGTACATATAGTCGATTTAGCCATCCCATATTCATCACTAAGTTTCGCAATGCTTCTTCCATTCTCACGTTTCTTTATAATTTCTTTCTTAGTTTCAAGGGTTATTAGCTTTCTCACTCGCTTTGGACGACTCATTGTTACAATTGTATACTTGTGTAACAAAATAGTTATACAAATAACGCGAATTTCCACATCAAAAGACGAAATTTCAACAATAACAGTGGTGCACTGGCTACACAATGAGACAAAGATGGCGCCTGACGCTCTTGTTGTGGGTCGCGGTACAACAATATTCATGCGCCAGGCGATATAGTCCCGTATTCATCCACGTTCGTTGTAGGAGTTGCATTCGTTATAGCATTCTCAATTTTATAGGTAAAACCGTTCGTTATAGGAATATTCGTAGTAGGATCCGTTCGTTATACCATACCCCACTGTATATATATATATATATATATATATATATATATATATATATATATATATATATTATATATTTTTTGGGGGTGGTTTAGGAGCAAACTCTTGAGATGAAATCATGCGTAATTTTGGAAAATTATAAGAAACTTTTCACAGTACTGTACATTGAAAAATTCCAGGGATGTGGGATTCTTCCAGGTTTGAGCGATTTGTCTCGTTACCCTGAAGTCTCTCCTCCCCGGAAGAACTCTGTACCAATTATTCCAGTTAATGGGGAGATCACTGTACCATAACTACACTGCTCTTAACATGGGAATCATCTTTGTTATGTTTTTTCACCTGATGTAAGGGTTGAGTGACAGGATGAGCATCTTGTTTACAGTACGGTACAGTATTTGAGAGTTGCAGCTAGATAATGAAAGTCTGCTTATTGAGTCAAAATTATGAAATATTATAACAATGAAATGACATTGGAGATATCAGCTCATTACTATTCCATTTTTCAGGAGACATCTTATATGTGTGGAGCATGTTTCCAGCTCTTCCCAACCACTGAGGACTTCCACGCCCACCAGTGTCAGATTACAGGGGTGGATAATGTTGAAAATGTTGTTGACAGGGATGGGGAAGAAGAAGAGCCACATACTTCATCTTTAGATGTTTCACAACATGGCACACACCTACAGAAAGGTGAATTATCATATATTATGGATTTTGTTTCTGAATTATATTAATTTCTATGAGCAATTTTTTTAAGAAATATCTACTTAATATCTGTACACCATTGCACTGAACATCTACAGATAAAAAGAACAAATCTGATGCACAAAGTAGTACATAAATGTTATTCTATTATTTTTAAATGAATGTATAATTTTTCTTACATAGATCCCCTCCATAACATCATTACAAAAATATGATTGTTTTTTATTAAACAGGTGTGTGGGAAGCAAGGGAGTCAGAAGCAGCCATGGAGGAGGCAGTAGCCAGCATCCTTGGGGAAAGGATGAAACGCACAGCACCTCAGAAAAGTACCTGCTCGGATATTCAGTTTGATCAGACTCTTATTGTGCCTGCAGAACATTCCATTGAGCATACCAGTATCATAGACCATATGGAGCCTGTGGTGGAACACACAGTGGAAAACATAGATCAGTCTGATGGAAGTGGGCTGGCTGAGGGTATAGAGATTCCCTCAGCCAATGTGTACATGTATGACAATCCAGTTTACCTTAACAGACTTATGAAGGACAACACTTTTGGCAGAAGAGTGCGACATGATGCTCCATACAGCCATCGCCTAGGTTAGTTGCAGGGCTGGCAATGTTGCCCACTTGAGAACTGTACTGAGGGCTTAATATACAGTATGCTTTATCCATAATATCCTTATTGTATTGCCAGGCCTATGGGACCCACTTCCACTACCAATTATATGTACAGTACTATATTCCTGCCTTTATTTGTTAAAACCTTAGCTTTGTAAAAAAGAACCTCACATACCCCTCCCAGCACAGCCTTCTAAGGGCCACTCAACATCATGTTCTCCCACACCACCACTAATAACAACCACCCACACTTCCACCTCCAGCACCACTCACTACTTTCTACACCATATTACCTTTTACTTCTTTGATGCTGATATTATCAACCCTTGTTATGTGTTTTCAGGGCCATGGGACAACAAGTCCAGTCGACTCCTTATTCATCTTCTGAAGGAATACCCAAAGGCTTACTTTATTTTAGATAAAGAATGCAAAAGGACAGAAGCATGGGAGATAATTCGAGTCAAACTTGCTGAGGCTGGTTACCAGTTCACTGTGTTACAGGCAAGAGCTTAAAAGTTTTAATTATATACTACCCATATCTTTTCAAACTGCATTTTGTTCTTGTCCACTCTCTCCCTTACTAATTTCTTGATCACTTTTTTCACACTTTCATAACCAGATCAAACAGCTTCAGGTCCCAGTAGTTCCCACAGTCAAGTGCATAACCTTGACCCTGGCAAGTATTCATGATCACATTCTGCCACCAGTCAGCTGGATCAGTATATTCCATCATTATTTCCTCCTTGTGTACCAATGGCTTAATATGGAATGTGCTCTATCAATAGTCCCTTATGGACATTCATGCCTATGGGACCCACGTTCTTTTCATATTTTTCATGATTGTTACTGTTGTTGGGATTGTGAACAATCAGTGATGAAATGTCTGAAAAAAGACTTATAGCATACAGGTACAGTACTCTTATATACCTCTGCCCATCAGATCCGTATGCGATGGCGTGAGCTGTGTAAGAAGTATCGTAATACAGCCAATCACAATGATCTCTACAACACCAGAAAAACATGCCAATACTTAGATGACCTTAACAGCCTATTTGGTAAGTGTCAGATATTTTTTTTTAGTTTTCTGGATGAAAAGGAGTCAAAGAAGTGAGGTGTTAAAAGTAAACAAGCTATGGAAAGAGAATACATTTTACCGTATATAAATTAATTTCCATTCAGTAAAAGCAATGAAATCATCTTCTATTTAATTTTGTAACTTGTTTTTTTAAAGGAGTTTGGGATCGCCATGCTACTCTGCTTTTAATAAAACAGCTTGAAGTAAATGGCAGTAAGCGTCTGGGTCAGAACGGGGGAACCCGCATGAGGCACAAGGTCTGGGATCAAATTCGACAGGTTCTTCTGACTCACGGATACCAGTAAGTGAAGATTATTAGTGGATACATTATAAAATAGCTACTTTTGTTTTTTCGTACAGTAAAACAGACATGGGTTAAAATTAACAATCCTGTTTCTTATCTAGGACCTTTTTACTTCAAAATCCAACTCTCTACTGGCTTGCAATATAATTATATAACTACACTACAGTGCTCACAGTTAATATCACACACTCCAAAAAGTATCTTCATGAAGGGGTTTGATGAATTTCAAAATGAACACCGCTACTCCTGTTGTCTCGGTAGGGTTGTCAAAATTCTTTCTCTGTTGTGACATATTGTCTAACACAAAACCTTAAAGATAATTTTTGGAGCGAGTATACTAGTCCAGTTTGTTATTCATTGGTTTTAAATCTTTCAGGTACACAGCAGACCAAGTTCAGGGGAGATGGAGTACACTTGTCACTTTGTATCAAAGGATGGTTGAACACAACTCCAAGCCACATAATGAAAAAATTACCATTGCTTATAAAGATTACATTGAGCGAGTCTTTAAATATGTCCCAGAACGTAACTCCAAATGGTTGAAGATAATGGAGAAGCGTGGCAAGAAACCCAAGACACTGAAAAGTATGTTATGCTGTACTTGATACACTCTTATTGATGACTCGGTGTATTGAAGAATTTCTTCACTATTCTCTGCCTTTTATAGGCCTTCTCTTGCTACCACAATTTGCCTTTTTGAATTATTGTTGTACATTCATAATTGCAGTGTCATAACATTGTAAGTTTATAGCTAGTACATTACATAGCTGTTTGGCCTTAGCAACACTAACTTATATTATTTTCTCTCTACATAGCTTTAGTAATAGCAAATATCAGTCCTCAAATGGTGAGGAGAAATAATTATGTAAGAGGAATTGTTAGAATTTTTTTATAATTTTGGCAGAAAATTGGACTGTACCCATTGAGAGACACCTTCTGGCATATTACCATGAGAGAGTGTACCGCTTTAACAATGAACATGTGAATAACACTGAGCTGTGGCAAGAAATTGTGCAGGTAAGTTTGATTTTTGAAGGGTAAAGTATTTTGATGAATGATTTATTTTACATTTGAAAGATTTTATAGTTTTCTGTACTGTCCCATCAAAAATTGCCATTACTGTATAAGATACCATACTGTGCACATAAATACAAGTACAGTACAGGTATCCCTCGCTTTACGAATGTTTGAGATGAGAAAAGTTCACTTATACGTATTTCCTAAATTGATATGTTAATTCATTTAATGAAAGCATGCTCCACTTATATGATTTTGGGTCCCAGCAAAAATTAAAATTGCCCGCCCCCAGGAGTCAGCTGGGGTGGCCATCTTGGAGAGATGGGCAGAGATGTATTCTTGCTCAGTGATCATAACAAGCACCCCTCCCTCCCGCATATCCCCCAACCAGCGTCTTTCATTCCACCATCCCCCACCCCTTGTGGTGATCCCTGACTGCCATCTTTAAGATAATCGCTCCTGCAATTTAGCGCTTTTGTTTGAATTCCCAGCTGAGGGTGGTGGTGTGCTTATTTGTGTGTTATACCTAACATTGCCGGTGGCACCTAACCCTCTTGCTACCAGGCCAAGCTGTAAGCTATGTTATGGTTATTATTCAACTCGTAATTTTGGATAAATAAACTTGACTTTCTTCATGTTTTTTAATCAGTTACTTGCACACACAATCCTACATACAGAATGTGCACATACAAATTATCATAAGGTCAAAAACATAAAGAAAATAAACATTTCTTTGTGCACCAGCGAGAGTTAGCAGGCTGAGCGGGAAAGTTACATTAGGGTTATTATTCCAATCGTAATTTTGGGTAGATGAATTTTGTACACTTTGTTTTCCTCAGTTAACTGTATACACACAATCCATCATATATACAGTAGATGCTCGCCAAGTACAGGCCAACCCCGATTTATGAATGGGTTGCGTTCCTGAAAACCTTTCATAAAAGAATTGTTTTTGCCTGTAGACATCTGAAAATCTGACACATGCTCTTAAGTAATGTAGCTACACAGGTCAAGGTTATAGAGGTGGCTGTACAGTACAGTATATGGTCCAGGTTCAGTATGTAATGCTCCCAAATGCCTGTTTCTGCATCTTCTGGCTTGCATTTGAACCAAAGCTTGTCAGATTCCATATCTTATAGTACCTGTAATAATAATAATAGTAATATTATAGACTATAGAGCGTAATAGAATAAGCCTTCATATCATAAGTCAGGAACTTAAAGGAAGTCAGAGCTCAGTTAAAATCATAATGCATGTATTGGAGCTGGAGGCACACAGAGTTACAATAGTAATCTATCCCCTTTTCTTTTATTTTATTTTTATTTTTTATTTTTTTTGTTTTTTGTCAGTGATGGCCATATTGACTGCTGACATACATTTGTCATGACTTGTTTAATTATATATTCAGAGAAAGGGTAAAAGTTTATTGTACTAATTCCTTCTTTTATTACAGACTGTTTTTCATTAATATGGTAAGATTCGTGGATATCAGGATATTGTACTGTAAATTTTTCTTTTTTCTTTTGTAGAAATTGGAAGATATAGCAGGATACAGCACGACAGTGGATAAGGTGCGGACCCGTTTCTATGAGCTGACAAAACAGTTCTCCATCATGGAGCAGCATAATGCTCAGCCTGGCACTATACGCAGAGAATGTAGACACCACGAGACCCTTGCCGAGGTAAGGTGTGCCTTGCTTGGGTCCGGACACAAGTGTGAAGGGTGTGACCCTCACTACCAAACATCACAGGTTTCCCTGAATCTGGTTTCCTCCTGTGCTGTACTAACACTGGATAGACCTATAGCCTAAATGGCTAGTAAGCTGAAAATGGTGAAATGATGAATAAAATAAAATAGATTAAAAATATAGACAAATGAAATGCTGTTATCTTTTTAGACACATTAATTTTTATAGATGCTTGAATATGCATTTATTAATTCCAGACATTGAAAGAGGGGGCTTAGAAAAGTATTTCTTTACATTTTTGTGTACTTGAAGTTGGATGACCAAGAGTTACAAAGACACTAAATTATACAGAGAGTACAGTACAGTACAGTACAGTAGTGGATTTTAACCAAAGGTGGTACTGTACGCTAGTCGCTAGGTGAATTTGTCACAACATGTTATGCGAGTCCAGTAGTCAGTGTTGTCAGCCGCTACTGCTCAGTCTTATGTCCTAAATTTAATTATGGTACAGTAGGAGATTTGTCCACATTTAATAACAACCATATTGATTTTCTGTCAATGATTCCTTGATGAATTTTGTGTTGTACTGTAGGAGATAATAATAATTCTCTCAAAGGAATGCTATGATTTTGGTTTTTGCTTTATAGGTGATGTTACAGATGAGGTTAGGTACTTTCTTTTTACTACCATGGCAAACCACATGCCAGATTGCACCACACGTAATTGCACCTTGGAAGTAAAGAAATACATGAGAGTTTGAACTTCTGTATCGAATTGGAATTATTTTAAAAGAAATTATGAGTCTTCTCTGAAAATTCAGATCTCTTGAGATTGTTATGATGAAGTAGCAAAAAACAGGTTCACTATAAATGGGGCATAATTGTCTATGTATGTTTGCATTTATAACATCGTACATATGCATATCAGTTATTTGAAGGGGACCAAACTCTGCTTAGTAAACAAAGCCAAAATTATAAGATTATTCTGAATAATTAATAACACTAAGGTTACCATTGTAATATTAGGGCAATTCATCCTGTAAGGATCATACCTGGGTTTAAACCTTGCCCTTATATTTTTCAACATTTACATTTTGACAAAATATGGTAACTATTCATCCCAGTGTTTGCTCATCACATAGTCCACATTATCTTAGGTTTCCACCACATTTAAACATCTCTCGCCTTCAGGTAGTCTATGATTCACATAATACAGTACTTAATTTGCATTGTGATATACTTAGTCCAGCTAACAGTTTTGCCAAATATTGTCCATTTTAATGTCTCTTTTATTGATTCTGTACAAGAAAAACTTATTGCATATACGGTACAGTGTCTACATTATGATGCTACAGTAATGATACTGTAATCAGAAAGGGCATAATTTTAGGCTGGAGCCATTAAATGCAGGTTTTAATGTACTTGTTATTTTACATTTTATTGCTATATGATTTATATCTTACCTATTCTCTACAGATTTACAGCATCTACAACTACTGGCCACATGATCGATCAACTATTAAATTAGAGAAATCAAATGCTATTAGAATGAGGCAAGGTAAGCATATTTTCGCTACAGGTTTTATAATGAGATATGGCAAAGAAAGTTATTTTATATATTACAGGTCTTTCCTTGTTTATGTTGGCTTCATAATTCCTTGGTTTACTTTTTACTATCCAGAGTTCATTAATACATACTGGGCTAAAAGTCACCTGCACTGAAAGACAGGAGGCTCTGTTCAGAGGTAAGAAAATGGCTGGGTATTGAGAGTAGCTATTGGCAAAGTTTTGCAGTGTGATAGGTTGATATTGTTTGGGCATGTACAGTACTGTAGAAAGAATGATGGAGACCAACTGGTTCAAGAGGTTTTTGAGTCTAAATGCAGAGGGTAGGTTGTTAACCTGTTGAGAAATGTTGCAAGAGACCACAGCAGCATGGAGAGCTGTAATCAGGTACTGTACAGTAATCACAGCTAATCCACACAAATGTGAAAAATGGCTGTAGAACTTTGGTGATGATGATTATACAGAAGTTAAATATGTATTTTATACGCCTAATAGTACTAACAACTTTTGGGGAAGTGTTGCTTATGGATTTTTGTCTATGGTATGGAAATTTACTAAAAGTTATTACAGGGCATTTTATTTTATTTTATTTTTTTTTTAACAGGGATTATTAGCCCACCCGGGCACAGATCACTGACCCACATTGGGGCCTGGGGGGCGAAAATGTAATAATAATAATAATTATTCATAGTAAATAAAATTTTTAATAAAAATACACCAAAATAAAATAATAATGATTACAATAATAATAATAATAATAATAATAATAATAAAATAATAATAATAATAAAATATAATAATAAAATTAATAATAATAACAATAATACTGTAATAATAAAATAATAATACAGTAAAGAAATACAAGAATGAAAAAAAGATCAAAAGTGAGAAACACGACCTAGACCAATGAATTATTATTATTATTATAATTTTTATTATATTTTAGACCCCCAGGCCCCAATGTGGGTCAGTGATCTATGCCGGGTGGCCCCAAGGATTTCGGATAAAGGATTGTCAACCTGTAGTCATATTATATTTAAAAGAAGTTGAATCATTATTATGTTTATGAAGTAGAATAAAACTGAATACTTGATATATTTTAGTGAATTCGCAATTGGCATGGAGTGAAGATGAGTCTCGTACCCTGCTGCAACTGTATCCACAAGTTCTGGTAGCTCACCTTAGTAGTGGTGAACATCAGCCTATTGAAGAACTCTGGCTTCAACTGGCTAAAGCATACCTGAATACTCAGAATGACCGTAAACAATGTTATGAGGTGAATAGACCATCAGGCAATGTTTTGTTAATAGATATATACTGTATACTGTTTACACTTATACAGTACAGTATGTTGTAGTATTGTTTCTCTTATATATATCAGCTCTTTGTTCTGTATACATTAAAGTAAGGAGGGAAATGTACTGATAAGTCATTGGGTTTATTATGGTTTCATGTTGACAGATGTGTGACACTTCATCACTTATCTTCATTTATAATATCACACATTCGTCAATTATTAAAACAAACTAATCTTTGCAGATTGAGGATCACATTGCACTGTTACGTAGAGGATATCACAGTCAGAACCCATTTCCTTTTGTTTCGGAAATGCAACTTTTGGAAGAGACAGAACTTACTCTTAGTTTTACCCCAGAACCTCTACCAATAGATGATGATCAACTGGTTCCTTTCTGGAGCCACACAGCTGCACATCTTCTTTTGGACTTTGTCATGCACCACCGTCAGGAAGGAGTGAAGAATTCAGGCCTTTTTGAGTTGGTTAGTCGGGATCTTGCCAGCTGTGGATACAGGTAAAATATACTGTTATATACAGTATTTAGGAAGTGAATTTTGTATTACTTGCTTAATCAAAAGGGATACCTTGATGTGGTCTTTAAATATTTAAGTAATGTACAGTGGTCCCTCCGTTAACGAACACAATTAGTTCCACAGAGTCGTTCGTTAACCAAAAATTTCTTTAACCGAATCTATTATTTCAATGGGATATTGGGTAATTGGTTCCAACTCACAGAAAAAGTTCATACTGTACAAAGTACTGTATACCAGTAATAGAATTAACAAAACATTAAATATAAACTAAATACAGTACAGTGACCCCTCGTTTAACGAACGCCTCGGTTAACGAAATTTCGGTTAACGAACTGCCTTCCAAAAGGATCTTCAATTCGGTTAACGAATTTCTCACGAACCGACCTCAACATGTTTTTGCTTGCACTGACCAGGCAACCAGCTTTAGTATCAGTCCGCCAATACATTAATCGGTTCTAGGGCTTAAATTCCTTACTATTTTAGTAAATATCAAGAAGTTTATACTATTCAATAATTTTGAAAGTTTAATATTCAATTTTTTAGTCATTTTAACAATTATTGAACATAATTGAAGGTAAAGTGACTAGTTTAATGCGCGGCATCCAGCCTCTTAACACAGCAAACAGGCGTTAGTCTCTCTCTGTTTTCACTGGAGGTAACATCTTGCTTGAGACTCTCTTCAACTAAATGCTTTTTTCTGTGTTTCCAAGCAAATTATTGGTCATTTTGAAATATATTTTACATATTGACAATATATAATGCAGTGCAGTGTTGATTTAAAAAAAATAATCTTGAATTACACCAAGAGAGCTAAAATTTTATGGGTGAAATGGCCATAGGGTGACTTCTCTTCCACCCCAATGCCTTCTCTTCTTCCTTCTCCTCCACCCCCATTCTAAATCCCATCATCATCATCATCCAGGAGCCTTCTACATACACACCTCAAAGTAAGTGAACTTTTCTACCATTTTTGTTGAATTTAGGAAATTTTCGGTGAGCTGGAACCAATTACCCAAAAACCCATTGAAACAATGGTTTCGGTTAACGAACGACCTTCTGGAATGGATTGAGTTCGTTAACCGAGGGGTCACTGTACTGTACAATAATAAATAAAAAACAATAGAATACTGCTGTATTTTAACTTACTTTGAGGTGTGTATGTCATGTTACCGGCAGCTTTTTTACATATCAAACAGCTGATTGTAGAGGCAGTCGATGATGACATGCCATATTTTTTAGAGTGCATTGGTTCTAATGCCTTCTTCTTGTTTCATAATAATTTCTGCACTGTATATTATCAATGTGTCAACTAAATTTCAGAATGGCCAATAATTTTAATGTAAAAATGCAAAAATATTCAAGACCAACAAAATCGATGTTCATTTCACTGTAAACAAAGTTAAACTGAGAAGTGTTGTTTGGTGATTCAATCAGCTGATGGGCGCCCAAAAACTGTTCCCTGTACAGTTTTGTATATATTATCAATATGTTAACTAAATTTCAGAATGGCCAATAATTTTAATATAAAAAATGCAGAAATATTTAAGAGACCAGCTTTCTTGATATTTACTTCACTGGAAACGAATGTAAACATAGAACCAATTACTGTATTCGCGGACTAGCCGATCAGCTGATGCGCACAACAAAACGTGTTTGTCGCAAGGATTTCGTTAATCGAAGTTTTGTTCGTTAACTGAACTGAAAATCCACTGTATATCTGTTTTGTGTGCAGTGCTTTGTTGCTAATCTAGCATTCTAAGCTATGGAAACCTCAAAACAAACATTATTTCAAAGGGTCATTTTTTATGTACTGTACAGTATTCATATTTTTCCATGGAATCTGGGACTCACTGCTCTGTTCTAGAACACTGATGTAGCCCCACACCTTACTTAGTCTGTTTGAATTCATGTTGATAATGTTCCTAGATTTTCCTTTGTTATTTTTGTATATCTATCTTTTGCCTCTCAATAACCTCCAACAAACATTCATTGCCCACAAAGTACAGAATAAAACTGTGAATGCCTTGGCACATAAGATCGCTGCATCATGTACCTTCCCTACCTCCCTTCCTTACCCTTACATTGACCCATGACCCTTTCTACATCCCTTTAAAAATTACTTTAGAATATCTTATATTACATTTCTAGCCCACTCACCCCTAAGTACCTAAGGCTTTGCTGCACTTTTTATACTTTAGCTCTACATTTATTTACCTAGTGGCCACCCAAAATAGAGTTGGCAATGTTTTGATGAAATATTGTTTTTAACAATTTAAAACTTAGTTACATAACCTCAATGTGTCATTTAACACATCAACCTGTAAACATCGGTAACAACCTCTATGAGTCTAGTGAAAAGTGGAAAATGTTCCCAAATATGTAATTGGAAAAAAAATACTTCCATTCTTGGGAATACAGGTACCGTATTCCTCATTTACGTTCATTCACGTAACGATATTTCGGTTTACCGATATAATTTTTTTACACCCTTTCTTGTTTAATGATTGGTTAAAATTCAGTTTAGTGATATTCGACTCACTGGGAAAAGCTTGAGATGGAAGTCAGAAAAACCTGGAATTCCGTATTCGAAGTGCCCATTATTATAATTCTCTAAAGAAAATATAACACCCCTGTATAAAACTATGAAAGTAAGAAAAATCGTGGGTGTTTATATTTGGGAAGTGAACATATGTATTGAGGCAGTGAACTGTATCTGTGGAAAGCCATCTTGGAATACACAGCCATCAGTCACACACATATCAAGAAGCGCTCAACACACTGACCTTCTCGGCTCTCTCTCATCATCACCGTGACCTCATCTGCAAATTCTGTGAGAAGTTTCTCCACCATCCTTGACACAGACTCCTACTTCCACCTAAGAACCCTCATCCACGAATTGCTGTTCGACACCACAAATGCATCCAGCCCACATGAGCACATACTTATCGGTATAAGAACAGCCCAGTCCCAACCATTGTAAAAATTATCAGCAACTCGTAATCAACCAGTGTATTCACTCCCAGCCAGTCTTACCTTTCTGCACTGTTACTAGTACAGTGATCCCTCGGTTAACGAACACCTCGGTTAACGAATTACCTTCCATAAAAATATTCAATTCGGTTAACGAAAAAAATTCGGTTAATGAATTCCTTAAAAATTTTCCAACATGTTTTCGCCTGCTTTCGCCTGCTCACCAGCTGTAGTATTAGTCCGCCAATACAGTAATCGATTTTAGGGCTTACATTCGTTACCATTTGAGTAAATATCAAGAAGGTTGTACTATTTAATAATTTTAAAAGTCTTATATTAAAATTTTTAGTCATTTTAACAATTATTTAACATAATTGAAGTACTGTACAGGGAACTAGTTTTTAGCGCGCCAAACAGCCACTTGACTCACCCAGAATGGCGTCAGTTTGCATCTCTGCTCAGTGGAAGAAGCATCTTGCTTGAGAATCTCTTGAACATAAACTATTTTTACATTTTTACAATACAATTATTGGTCATTCTGAAATTTATTTTACATATTGACAATATATAGTGCAGTGCAGTGTTGATTTAAACAAAATAATCTTAAATTACACCAAGTGAACTTAAAATTTTATGGGTGAAATGACGGCATGAAGCATGGGGTGACTTCTCTTCCACACCCAATGCCTTCTCTTCTCCCTTCTCCTCCACCCCCACTTCTAATTCCCATCATCATCAACCAGGAGCCTTCTACATGCACACCTCAAAGTAAGTGTACTTTACTGCATTTATTTTTAGTTTGTATGTAATTTTCGGTGAGCTGGAACCAATTACCCAAAATGGTTTCGGTTAACGAATGCCCTTCTGGAACGAATTGTGTTCGTTAACCGAGGGACCAATGTATGTTAAAATGCCCTGTAGTATGACCTTCCCACCTAGTTATTATATATCATATTTGTATCACTTATGTTACTTGTATATTATTTGTCTATCAAGTGACCCATTCCCCAATTATGTAACTGTATATTTTCAGCCTTCTGGCTGCCATGCTCTTTTAATAAGCCATTAATTATGATTATTATTATTATTGCATTTCTTGAGTTAGCTGGGTAACTGCATGGCTGAACTGTGTCGCATATATACCTGTACTGTGTCAGTAAATGTGAGGAATAAATAAAAATAATAATAATAAATAAAATACTGTGTTGCCATTTGACTAAGCACAGGACACAAGACAGCAAACAGCTGAGAACCCTCCCATGCTGCTCCCCTTTTTCCTCCCCCAGATCTGTATGTTAACCCCCAAGTTTATTCCCCTTTGTTTCTTACCTTAGGATATTAATTTTTTTTGCACATTCTGTATGAATGATTTTGTGTGTAAGTGACAGAGTAAAAAATAAATGAAGAAAATTTAGTATTCGTATATACCCGAAATTACGAGTTGAAAAATAACCATAACACAGTTCACAGTTTATCCTCACTCACTCTGAGTGCTACTGGGTGGTGATTCGGCGAGTTCACTGCCTCCATGATCCCACACATACGATCACTTGCCACACAAACACACCCATGCTCTTCATTTTTCTTATTTTATAGTTTTATATTATATTTTCTTTATTTCTAAGCTACATTAGAGTATTGTAATGATTGTTCCACAACTTTTATAGTTTCATTACATGTAAAAATGTTAACATGCCATCTCCAAGAATATTATTCCTTGTTATCCCACGTTTAGCGATAATCTTGCTTAACGCCTGGTTTTTCTGGAACACATCCCCATCATTAAGTCTGCCATTGAGAGGATTTACTGTATACATTATATAGAATATGTGCATGTCAGCATTATTGAGCTGGACTTGTTATGCTAAATATGGATATTTCAGGTACACGGGGGAGGAATGTCGCCTCTACTATTCCTTATTGAGACAACTCTACACAAATAGGATGCGAACAATCAAGAGAAAGAGGGAACTCCTAAAGCCATTCCCTTACATGGAAAAAATGGCAGAAGTAGATAATGTAGTGTCACAGCCAAGCTTTGTAGGTGAGTTTCACTGTACTGTACTACACAATTGCCCACAAATGTGTCCTGTCACTGTATGTTTGGTTTTGCTCACATAGTGATACATATACCAGGTACCTAAGCAAATGATGGCCATTTTGGGGCAATGTTATTAAAAATTCAATGATTTTAACAGAATATGTTCTTTTGGCGCATAAATTCTTAACTGTAAGGTGTAATATCATACAAGAAAATAGATAAATAAAAAAAATTTAAATACATGTCCTTAATATAAGGAAACTTATCCTTTTCAGTGAGAAAACTTGAAATCTGGTGTAAAAAAAAATATAAGTGGCATCCCCAGGTGAAAGGGTTAAATAAGAATACAATGAAACCTCTATTTAATGATTTACTGGACTATATGGGGAGAAAAGTCCATTATATAGATGGTCCATTAGATGTGGAACCTCCATTTTATAGAGATTAAAGTCCATTAAATTAAGGGTCCATTAGATGTGAAACTCCCCTCTAATTGTTTATATGGAGAGAGAAGCCTGTTATATGGAGGTCCCACTCTCCAAAGTCCTTAATCCAGCGGTCGTGGGACTCTGGGGTTGCTGGTTTCTGGACAGTACAAGCTATACTGTATGTTACCTGTTACCGCCTCCAACGCCGTGCGACACAAAGGGCCTCCACATACTTGCGCCAGCCATTTCGATCTTGAGCCCTTTCCGTGATTGTATTTAATTCGTCCTCCGCCTTGGTCTTCCTCTTCTTCTCATTCCGTCCACTCTTAACTCGACCGCCTCTCTGAACACTCTATCCGGACGCACACGCAGAGCGTGCCCCAGCCACCTCCGTCTATTCTTCATCAGCCATTCGTCAATACAGTTTATGGAAAATTTGTGACTTCTCTTATCGTCTCGTTTCTAATACGATCATGTCATTGTCAAGATTCTTCTCTATGCCTTTTTCTCGAAAGTTCGGAATCTTCTGAATAAAGTGTCATTATCATACCAGGATTCACTTCCGTATACCAAAACGGGTCTTACCAGTGAAGTATATAATCTCAGTTTGGTATGGACTGTTAGTCTATGTGACTTCCACACTTTGCCCAGTATACCCATAACCTCTTCTTATTCTGTCCTGAAACTCATCTTCAAGTGATCCATCTTTTTCATGAGTGTCCCCCAAATACTTGAAAACATGAACTTCCATTATTTGGTCCTCCACCTGAATGTTCCCTTCAATTTCTTGGTCTGTTTTCATAACCTCTGTTTTTCTAACATTATTCATTAATCCAGCTCCTCTTCCCTTTTCCCCCAGTCTGCTAACCATAGTTTGCAAATTCTGAATGGATCTGCTCATCAGTACTACATCGTCTGCATAATCCAAGTCTGCGAGGTATTTATTGTCGACCCATTCGATCCCTTCTCTTTCATCACCCACTGTCTCTTTCATTACAAAATCAATAATTACAGCGAACAACAATGGAGACAAAACATTACCTTGCAACATCCCACTCTCGACATTGAATTCTGGAGAAAGTTGGCCATCAACGTTCACACGACATCTGCTGCCCTTATGAATTTCTTCTTTCAAACGAACATATTTTTCTGGCATTCCATAGTTCCGTAAGATTTTCCACATAGTTGGTCTATGTACACTATCAAAGACTTTCTCAAAATCGACAAATGCCATTATCAACGGTTTTCTTAATTCCACACACTGCTGCATTATGTGACGTAGTGCAAATATATGATCACTGCAGTTTCTTGATTTTTTGAACCCTGCCTGTTCATCTCTTAGCCTTTGGTCTAAGGATTCTTGAATCCTGTTCAGTATGACCAGACAGAAAACCTTCGATACTATTCCTGTTAATGTTATCTCTCTCCAGTTAAAACACTCTCGTAAATCACCTTTCTTGGGCAGTTTTATAATGATTCCTTGTTTCCATTCATCCAGGACAACCTCGGTGCTCCATATTTCTTGAAATAGCTTTAATAGCACAGTGGTCCCTCGGTTAACGAACATAATTCGTTCCAGAAGGTCGTTCGTTAACCGAAACCATTGTTTCAATGGGATTTTGGGTAATTGGTTCCAGCTCACCGAAAATTACATACAAACTAAAAATAAATGCAGTAAAGTACACTTACTTTGAGGTGTGCATGTAGAAGGCTCCTGATTGATGATGATGATGATGGGAATTAGAAGTGGGGGTGGAGGAGAAAGGAGAAGAGAAGGCATTGGGGTGGAAGAGAAGACAGCCCATGCTTCATGTCACCATTTAACCCATAAAATTTTAGTTCACTTGGTGTAATTCAAGATTATTTTCTTCAAATCAACACTGCACTACATTACATATTGTCAATATGTAAAATAAACTTCAGAATGACCAATAATTGTACTGTAAAAACGTAAAAATAGTTTATGTTCAAGAGAGTCAAGCAAGATGCTTCCTCCACTGAGCAGAGACACAAACTGACGCCATTTTGGGTGAGTCAAGTGGCTGTTTGGACGCTAAAAGTTAGTTCCCTGTACAGGTAGTTCTGCTATAACGCGATAATTTGTGTTCTTGTAAAATATCGTGTTATAGAAAATCGCGTAATAGAAATAACAGGGCTTATGGAGAAAATAGGGTTAGGTGCAGATTACTCGAAATCGAAAAAATTTAGTAGTTAGCCTAACACAAAGGATAGCACAGTCTAAATAAATGTTACATTCATATCTAATAATGAAATCATACAGTAAATGTAACACTTTACTTGATGGGGGAGAAGGGTGATTTTGAGGTTGATAAAATCGAGCTTCTCTTCAAGTGTTATATCCTTTCTTTTACGATCATCACCGGGAATTCTATCACCAGAACGCTTCTTGTTGATATTCTTCTTTACTATATTCACATTATTTAATTTTTTTTTTTTCTAATTTATTGTTTTTTTATTACAAATATTAATGATATTCTTTATTTCAGGGGTTTAGATGCATATTTATGCACTTTTTTACAATTTTTACAATTTTATATTATATTTTTCAGTGTTAAGTGGTTGTATTTGGGGGCCTGGAACGGATTAATCCTATAACGAACGAATGCTATAACGAACAAGGTTCTAGAACCAATTAGATTCGTTATAGCATACCCTACTGTACCACAAAATTGGAGAAATAGTAAGCAAAAATCGCGTTATAGCAAACAAGCGTTCGCGTTATACAAATATCGTTCCTAATTCATAAATCGCGTTAGAGCAAATTAGCGTTATCAAAACACGCGTTATAGCAGAACTCACTGTACTTCAATTATGTTAAATAATTGTTAAAATGACAAAAAAAATTTAATATAAGACTTGGAAAATTATTGAATAGTACAACCTTCTTGATATTTACTCAAATCGTAACGAATTTAAGCCCTAGAACCGATTACTGTAATGGCGGACTAATATTACTGCTGGTGAGCAGCCGAAAGCAGGCGAAAACATGTTGGGAAAAATTCGTAAGGAATTCGTGAACCGAAATTTTTTCGTTAACCGAAGTGAAGATTCTTATGGAAGGTAATTCGTTAACCGAGGCGTTCGTAAACCGAGGGACCACTGTACTTTAGGTGCACCATTCGCTTCGGTTTTCAGCATTTCTCCAGTTATTCCATCTAGACCTGGTGCCTTCCAGTTCTTCAACTGTTTTAGTGCCCTTTCAATTTCCTTCACCGTAATGACACCCATATTGACATCCAATTGTTCTTCAGGCTGATGTATAGTAAGAGTACAGGTACTCCTCGACTTACAACCTACTCGACTTACGACCACCCGGACATATGACTGCCGCAGTCGTATAAAATATTTTTCATATTACGTATTTTTGAGTCCCGACGTTAGTGATCGCGCTGTGTACTGACAAAATTTTTGTTTGTAGTTCCCTTTAAAATGGCTGGCAAGCGTAAAAGTGAGAGTTCTCGTGGTGCTGAGAAGAAAAAGAGACACCCATTTTAGATTTTATATGTATTATTTTCGCATTTTCCACTTACGACCAATTCGACTTACGACCTGGTCGTCGGTCCCTAACCCAGTTGTAAGTCGAGGACTGACTGTATTAGCCCTATGGAAGGCTTTATTCATAACCATCCAGAAATGCTCTCCCCATCGTTCCTTTATACGCTCTTCTGATGTCATCAGCTCTCCGTTCTTAGCACGTACTGGTAGTCTTTTTCTTTTCCTGCCAATACCTGCAATGTCTTTAATTATATTGTATGCTTTACTTACTCCATGTCCATTACCAGAATTAAGTGCCCTGTCTGCTTCTTCTGCCATATTTCCCAGAAAATGCCGCTTATCACATCTTGCACATGGTTTAACTTTACTACTAACACTCCAGTATTTGGCTGTTTCTATTTTAAGAGCATCTTCGTCGCCTTCAAGTCTATCTACATACACTTTCTGTGTATGTCTCTTATGTATAATGCTCCAGGTTTCTTCTGAGATCCATTTCGTCCGCTTAGTTCCTCTTTTTTCCCCAAAACTTTCTCAGCTGAGCCCTGATACAACTCGTTAATGTCTGTCCTTCTAATAGCCACATTCCTTATGTTTTTGCCTACCGACACCCCTGGTTGCTCTTCGTTCAATGTCTCCAATACAATGAAGTGGTTTTGGCATTCAAGTTGAAACTCTTCTTTAATCTGGGGATCTAGCAGTTTCTTCGTGTCGTAGCGAGTCAGTTCCTTGTTTCTCTCTCTCGCTTATAATTTCAACTGTACGGTTGCCAGAACCATTTGGTGGTCACTTCCGACATCCGCGTCTCTATACGTCCACACATCTCATAGCGAGTTGCACCTCTGCTTGCCAATCATAACATGGTCAATCTGATTGCAATAGTTCCCATCTGGAGATGTCCACGTATACTTATGAATATCTTTATGCTTAAACATTGTCCTGCCAATAACGAGGTTGTTAGCCGAGCACAAACTAATCAAACGCATACCATTCTCGTTAGCCTCGCCCAATCCGTATTTTTTCATGACATGTTCCATGCCACTGTTGTCGCTTCCCACCTTTGCATTAAGGTTGCCTAGAACTATATATCTCTGTCTGGAATACTACTCAAAACATCCTGTAGTTGCTCATTGAAAGCATCTTTCACTTCATCTGGTGCGATATCTGTAGGCGCTTAACACACTACAATGCTCATATTAGGTTGCTTTGACTTTAGTCTTGCTAACAGCCTTCTTCCTGCACCAACTGGTTTCCATTCTGTCAGCACTCTTGATGCACTTCTACTCAACAGTAACGCGATGCCATCTCGTCTTAAATCATCCTCTCTACCGGAAACAAAGTGTTTCCATCAGGTGTCACTATTTAATTCATTCCTCCCAATCTTGTTTCATTCAGCGCCCTGTCAATCTTGTACTGTTTGAATACTCACTCCACCTGTTCAAGTTTACTAGCCTGTGTCATTGTTCTAACATTCCATGTCGCAATTTTGATAATGTGTCTAGTATTGATAAACCAGGAGATTCTTAGCACCCCTCTTCGCCCGGGACTGGAGGGCCATATCATTGTTGTCAATCATCATAATGGTTGGCGAAATCCTTGAAGGATTCATCGGCTAGGTACTCCAGAGAAGAAGCTGTGGGGGTTACAGTCTATAATGCTCCTGTAGTGCTAGTTTCAAGTGCTTTTTATTCTAATTTAAAATTTTAAGTTATATTAAACAATAACATTCTTGAAAACTATAACATTTTCTCTCAAAGTTCTTTGCAACTAATTATTAAAGGTGGAAAAGAAGGAGAAGAAGAAATGGTACAAAGAAAAAGAATGAAAAGCAGTATGGTGAAGAAAAAGAGAGAGTAAGAAGAAAAATAAAAGGGAGAGAGAGAGAGAGAGAGGGGGGATAGTGGCAACACCTCATCCTGTACCTGTCTCAGTGATCAGCACTAGTGGTCTTAACCATCTTTGTAAGCTTACACATGCAAGATGTACAGTAATAGAGGAAAGAAAGATACCTATACAATTGTTGTATAGTTCCCCCAAAAGTATCTTGACACTTAAAAATGTTTTGATCGATATTGCAACATTTGATAATTCCAGAGGCAGGTCTTGAAGAGAGAAAATATTATATTACCTGTACAGTCGTTGAAGATCTGAATTATTAAAGTTTTCTGTGATTTTGTTTTTAATGAGCTGAAATAACATGCTCCAAGGTTCTTACAGTTGTTAATTTGGCTAAAGTCAGCTTTCTGTAATACCATATAAGGTGCTTTATGCTTGTTTTCTGATTAGAGAAAAAAATGGAAAGGCTAGGTGGAAAAACTTCTATTTGTCATGATCATACTTTGGCCTGTATTTATACTGTACGTACTATAGAACAGCATATTGTCATAGATTATGCAGTAATTAATAAATGTGTGAAACTTGTTATTGAGTAAGAGTTAGATTCTTATTTTAGCTCTGACATATCCTTGATTCTCTTTTAAAGTATAAGTGCCTGACAGCTTTGTTGGCTATCCATGGTCAAATTGCCATATTGTTTATCATTGTTATATATCTGCACTGTCTTGACACACAAAAAACTACTGTACTGTACTCCCACGGCCTATGTACGCCGTATGCCCACATTGTCTATAGTCATGCTGAATTGCATACCTGCATAGTTTATATACATCCCTGTCCAATTGTAAACCTGTACGACAATTTTACTGAATAAATTTTATTAAAGTACAGAAAACCCTTGATAACTCGGCACATAGGGGCTTTGGCCTTGCCGAGTTATCCCAAATTCCGACTTATTGAGGCACTTCCCCCTTCTACAGAAATACAACAATAAAAAGTTATTGACCCATATATGTGTACATATAATTACTAAATGTAAGAAAATAACACTTACCAGCACTGCAGGTGAAGAATGAAGCATCATAGTAGGTGACACATGCATGGTAGGTGACACAGAGGTATGGTAGGTGACACAGAGGCATGGTAGGTGACACAGGTATGGTAGATGACACAGAGGCATGGTAGGTGATGCAGGTGGCTGGCCAGATATGCCGAGATTTTCCCAGATCATTTTACATATCTCAACATTTCCCGAGTTATACTAATACATTCCGAGACCATATCCATGCCGAGTTATATGAAATTTTGAGTTATCAAATGCCGAGTTATTGAGGGTTTTCTGTACAGTATTTTGTATATAAATGTGAGTCTAAAGCTTTTAATTTCTTATTTAGAAACGGAGGAAAATCGTAAGATAATTTTATCTGCGGCTCTTTCAAGACTAGAAATAATTGAAGGAGAAAATGAAGATGGGCAGAGAGACTATTTAGTAAACTGGCTAACTACCTTGAAACTGTACCTCAAGCGTACAGCTCTGTTCAATCCACCGCCGGCAATTAAATATGTAAGTAGAACTTATTTTTTCATGATATTAAGTCATTTCTGTTACCATTTACAGTACAGGTAGTTCTGCTATAACGCGATAATTGTGTTCTTGTAAAATATCGTGTTATAGAAAATCGCGTAATAGAAATAACAGGGCTTATGGAGAAAATAGGGTTAGGTGCAGATTACTCGAAATCGAAAAAATTTAGTAGTTAGCCTAACACAAAGGATAGCACAGTCTAAATAAACGTTACATTCATATCTAATAATGAATTTATACAGCAAATGTAACACTTTACCTTGAAAAAATATGAATGTAACTTGATGGGGGAGAAGGGTGATTTTGAGGTTGATAAAATCGAGCTTCTCTTCAAGTGTTATATCCTTTCTTTTACGATCATCACCGGGAATTCTATCACCAGAACGCTTCTTGGAGATATTCTTCTTTACCATATTCACAGTTATTACCACAAAATTGGAGAAATAGTAAGCAAAAATCGTGTTATAGCAAACAAGCGTTCGCGTTATACAAATATCGTTCCTAATTCATAAATCGCGTTAGAGCAAATTCGTGTTATCAAAACACGCGTTATAGCAGAACTCACTGTATGTCAGTTTAACCATTTTTTCTATATGACTTCCTCTGTGCAGCTGCTGTTTAATTTTCTCTGGTCTCATTCACATACCTGTAGTGGTTTTGTAAAGTTTTGGGCTGCCAAACTAAATTAGTTCCCTTGAAGTTTTATTGTCTTATGCATTTATGCATTTTTCAGTTAGCACGCACATTAGCCGAAACTATAGAAGATTCCTCAATCGAAGGAGAGTACAAGAGGTTTGATGACATCCTCGGACCTCACCTGGACTTGTTAAACTCAATAGCAGGTTAGTTTGGGTTTATTCCAGGCAGGGGGACTACAAGGCAATATATATGACCAGACAACAATGAGAGAAATATCTAGGGAAGGAGAGAAAGCTTTACATCACATTTGTTGGCTTAGAGAAGGTATTTGCAAAGGTACCACATGAATAATATAAGTGGGCAATAAGAATCCTAGGAGCCGAGGAGTGCCTTGTTTGGGTGGTTATGGCACTATTTGTGGGGTGAACAACCTGTGTGAGAGTAATTGGTGAGGAATGTTGAGATGAAAGTAGTGGTCTGTCTTCAGCCCCCTTCTGCAAGGGGGCAATATCAAGGGACTGTAGGACTGGTAGTTGTTGTATGCTGATGACTCAGTGCTTATAGCAGATAACATTGAAGAGGTAATGGAGAAATTTAAGAAATGGGAAAAATGCAATGAAGTCAAAGGGCCTGAGAGGGAATTTGACAATAACAATATCAAAAGTATTAACTAGTGGAATACCCTATGGCCATGTGCTGTCTGTAAGAAAGATGCTAGCAGCAACTCGGTAATATGCAACAAGTGTAGATGGTGGTACACAAGAGATGCAGAGAAGTAGATGGCAGACTGCAGGATGTTGCTGACTTTAAGCTTTCTGTATGCACAAGTAACCATGTGTCCATAGCAAAGCTGGAGAAACTCAACATTTGAGATATGTCACTGAACTGCTTCGATGAGTTCTGTACCTGGGTAACATGATTAGTGCTGGTAGGGGTGCTGAAGCTTGCTCGGTTGAAAGAGTCCGAAGTGGCTGGAGGAAGTTTAGAGAGTTACTGCCTTTATTGATGGCAAGACGACCTTCCTTCTAAGTGAAAGGAAGAATCTATTTGGCTGGCATGAGAAGTTTGATGTTGTATGGTAGTGAAACATAGGCAGTTAAAGAAGTTGACATGAGCAGACTTGAACAAACTGAAATGAGAATGGTGAGGTGGATGTGTGATGTGATACTGAGAGATAGGCTGTCCTGTCCAGAGTTAAAAGGGTGGCTGGGTATTGAGAGCATTGTCAGAGTCTTGTGTAGCGGCAGGCTGAGATGGTATGGGTATGTAGAGAGAATGGATATGACCAATTGGGTCAAGAGGTGCATGAGCCTAAATGTGGAGGGGAGGTAAGCCAGGGGCAGGCCAAAAGTGACATGGGGAGAGGCTGTAAAAAATTATTTTAAGAGTTAAGAAACGGACAACAGAGACTGCAGAATGGAGAGCTGCCGTGAAGTAAGTGCAGTTAATCCATGCATGCAAGGAAAATGGCTGTAAGACATTGATGATGATGATGATGGTAGAACCCAAAAGTTTCAAATTCGAGGGGTTTAAGCGCATTGTATGGTAAGTAGTTTAAAATTTCTGAGGTGATTGAGTATAACTCTTTTACATAAGATTTTATTAAGAAATTGCTCCTTTTATTTAGAGCATTGCTTTCTATGCCTAATGTGAACTGATCTATTGATGTCCTTATTTTACAGAGAGAGGAGGATCAAGCATAGTCTACCAGCCATCTGTATTTAAGAACAGAGGAAAGAAGATGACTATGAGTAAAACAGTACAAACGAGTAAGTTGTGTATTTTGTGTTGCATAAATATTCTTTAGATATTTTGAGCAGTGCTTTTCCTTTATGATGTGGGTGTAACATACAATATTAAAGTAATAAAGAGCTGAAAGTTACATAATTATAGTGCTGTGAAAAACTAGGTTCGCAGTGAAACAATTTTATGCTTTTGCCTCAGGTTATTTTGTTACTTTTTATTTGTTTATTTTATTTTATTTTGCTGCTACAATACCTGAACTACTACCAGGCAGTGGGCTCCAGCTCGGCTCTCTGAGATATAACTTTTCATACGTAATATTTTATAGTTTCTCATGGCTGCTTGTTTTTTGAATTAGTAAAAGCATTATACAGGGGTCCCCGACTTATGAATGCCCTCTGATATGAACGAGGTCTCATAAGGTCAATTATTTAAAAAATCCGACATAAGTACAACTGGTTCATAGTATTTAAGTACAAGAACTCGCTTGCGTGGCGTAGAGGGGAGGTGGCACGTGGGGAGTGATGCATCGCACCCAGCCACGTATATTGAGGGAGTAACTGTATGCTTTACCCTCACCGCCTTAACGTGCGTGATGAAGTGCAAACTTTTGTTTTTGCTTATTAACTCTCTTTTTCTAGCCTCATCATGGTTCCCAAATGCAAACCTGATGCAAGTGATAGAAGTACATCCAAGAAAAGGAAAACAATTACAATGGAAGTGAAAGTTGATGTAATTAAAGGTTCTGAAAAAGGGGAAAACACCCTCAGTGATTGGTAAAGATTGGGTTTCAGTCATCCAACGGTCAGAACAATTTTGAAAGACAATGAGAAAATTCTTGAACAGGTTAAATGATTTATGCCACTGCACTTAACTGTGATAACAAAACAAAGAAGTGGATTGTTAATTGAAATGAAAAGATTGTTAGTGATATGGGTGGAAGATCAAAATCAACGGCGTCTGCCTGTAAGTCTAACCTTGATTTAGGAAAAAGCGAGAAGCTTGCACGCTGACTTGAAGGCTAAACATGGTGATGAAAGTGTTGGAGAAGATTTTGTTGCTAGTAGGGGCTGGTTTAACCAGTTCAAAGCAAGGGCAAACTTAAATAACATATAAAGTGCAAGGTGAAACAGCTAGTGCAGATGAAGTTGCAGCAAGTGAATTTCCTGCTGCTTTAGCTAAAATAATTGAAGGAGTTTATTGTGCTGAGGAAGTTTTAATATTGATGAGACTAATTTATTTTGGAAAAGGATGCCCGAATGCACGTATCTTTCAAAATGAAAAAAACGCACCAGGGCATAAAGCTGCCGAGGAGAGGTTGACCTTACTGCTGGGGGCAATGCTGCTGGGGACTACAAACTAAAACCTTTGCTTGTCTTTCAGTCAGAAAATCTAAAGCTTTGAAAGGTGTTTTCCAGGCAGCACTTCCAGTTATCTGGAAATGTTATAAGAAGGCTTGGGTGACATTGGCCCTTTTTGAAGACTGGTACCTTAATCATTTTGTGCCTGAAGTTGGGCAATATTGTATTTCAAAGTCAATGCTTTTTAATTTTCTGTTGGTTCTTGACAGTGCATCTGGCCATCCTACATTTTTAGATGATTTGCATCCAAACATTAAGGTTGTGTTCCTACCTCCAAACATACCATCTGTTTTACAACCGATGGACCAGGGAGTTATTGCATCATTTAAAGCAGTGGTTCTCAACCTTGTTTGCCCCATGCACCCCTTTCACCATATGTCAGAATGTCATTCCCCCCTCCTTTCCAAGATTGTCTGCCTCAAAAAGTGCATTCCAAATAATATGCATATAATACTGAAAATCCTTTATTTTTTCCATATTAGTACATACACATTTACAATTTTACATGGATTATTTTTATAGTGGAGTTTTACAGAATTGGGATATAAAACTTGAATAAAAGTACTTAACAGACCAAACTGAAGCATAATGCAATAAACAAAAAGTTCAATAGAATACCAGAATATTGTAAATTTGTAATTAATTTTATTCAGATGAAGATTACAGTCAATGAGAAACCTGTGATTTTTTTTTCTTCGCCAATTCTGGGATACGCGGAGGAGTGCTTGAAAGGGCACAACGCAGGTCATTTTCTACCTCTAATCTACTACGTTGCTTCGTTTTAATTTGCAACAGAGTTGAAAAGCCTGACTCACAAAGATATGTCGACACAAACGGAAGCAATGCACGGATAGCTCTTTCTGCCGCCACTTTTGGGTAGGAATCGCACATCAAGGGCCAAAATTCTGTGATTGATTTCTCATCGAACATATCTCTTGCTCCCGAATCAGTTTTCCCCCCCCTGAAAACCTGAAGGGGGGAATTCCCCCCTGGTTGAGAACCCCTGATTTAAAGCATATTACTGTACCTGAGAAGGACATTTACTCATGCTATTAGGGCAACAGAATAAAAAGAGGGTAGGACATTATAGGAATTTTAGAAGTCATACGACATTTTTGATGTGAAAAACATTGATAGTGGTAGACCTTGGGAACCAACTCCAGCTTGATATTCATGAGAATGATGTCACACAGTTGTTTTAGTCTCCTGCTGAAGAATTAAGCAATGAGGACCTGATTGAACTGGAGAAGCACATTTTGTCAGAGGATGTAGAGGAAGTTGAACCTCAAGAACCAAAGCAATTCATTACAAAAGAAATGGCAGATGGTCTCAGGCTTATTGAAGAAGTATTGTTTCAATTTGAACAGCAAAATCCTAACATAGCAAGATTCACCAAGGTTCTGAGCTAAATAAAATCATATGGTGTTGGCCAAACAAAATCTAAAAAGTGGCATCCCATAGTAAAGGGGTAAGGGAGGCAAATGGCCCCAACACCACACCGAGCCCACAGATGGTAGCAGTGTTCCATCTGGGGGTGCACAAAGCTCACATCAATGATTGCCAGTAGTTCATCAGTAAAGTAGGACTGAGCTGGCTCTGTACATGGGTCCAAAGTTTTTATTAAATTTTTCGTTGTAAGATTTGAGTTAAGGGTGATGTTAAAAATCTTAAAGCTGTTTGATGGTTAGATGATGGGGCAGTTTATGTTAAAGTTTGTGGTATCATGTCTGTTACTATTCTGTAAATTGTTTTAATAACATTGAAGGAAACCTAGCAGGATACACTCCACTCTGCCGTTGTTGTCATTCATTCTTTAAACTGATGTGAAATTCCCTTTGTTTTTTTAGTACTGTACAGTATTCTCATAGATGTATACTGTCACACTTTACTGCTGGTGATATTCAGATACTGAAATATTCTCCATTAGATTTTACAAAGGCAACCTTTCTTGAATATGAATTTTTTCTCTCTGTTAACCAGTAAAAATATATCATTCACTACTTTTATAATCTCATTTTAATAAAGTGTAATTCATTGCTGATCCTAACCAGGATATGGAAGTGTGCAGTGGTCCGAGGCAAACCTACGCACTATGCTGAATACCGTAAAAGAATGGCGACTTTTGTGTCATGATGGTGCGGAGCTGGAGCATGTGTTGAACAGCAGTGAAGCTCTTTGGAAGGAAGTGGCATCAAGATTAAGCGGCCCTTCCAAAGTTGATCCTAGCAAATGTCAAGAACGATTTATACAGGTTAACAAAAAATTAATTTGTCATTAGAACTAATACTCTACTGTTGAATTGATAAGTGTTTGACTTCAGCCATGCATAGTCATTGTGTTTCATGTAACTCACCTTTGATGTTACAATTGTAGATTATATTCCAGTAAAACTGGGTATACACTAGATTGTTATGTTTTATATAATAATTATAACCCACTAATGATTACAGTACAGTATTCTAGAATTACCTGTAGTATTATGGAAGACAGGAGAATGCACAAAATTTGGATGACTTATGATGTTGTGTTGCAGATGTGTCGAGAATACAAGAGTGTTGTGTCTTTCAATGCTCGTTTAAGTCCTACAGAAACTATCAAGACTATTATGTGTCAAGAAATTCTGGAACAAATTTTAACTCCTCTTATATGCCACGATGCTGAAATTGATGTTAGGGGTGAGTATTGCTATCACTTTCAAGTGTTTTTCCATTCCTCTTTCATCCTAGTGAGACCTTGAGGACTTTTCCATTGTCATCATCCAGGTTCCTGGTTGCCTTTCCATCGATCAAGTTACTCTTGTAAAACTCCCTGGCACTCATTTACGGTAGTAACTTACACTCAGAATATTCACTTATCCAAATTCCAAACTACTTCAGAGTTCTGCCTCGAACCTACTCTATTACTTTACAGCTCATTAAAATTTTGCCACTGTTAATGCTTTCCCTTCTGGCTAACCTAACCGGGATGTAACTGAATAAAGTTTAGTGAACATCATAATTTGGCCTTTCTCTAGTCTATGCCCTCTGCTGGGCAGCTCTTGTAATACAGTACAGTAATACCCCGGTTAGCGCTCAGGATACGTTCCTGGAAGGTGGAGCGCTATCAGAAACAACACTCTACGGGGTCATTATACCATTGCATATATGGAGATGTGTTGAGATGTGTTCCTAATGATGTTAGAGTTTTTACCTGTGAGATATACAGTATTGTATGTGAAGGGTGCAGGTATTATTAAACACAGAGTATTACAGGAACATATCTTAACTAATTAATGAATAACAGAAAAGCAATATTGTATCATTAATGACAATCATTTGATGAATATTGATTATTGTAGTAGAATGAGTGAGAGGCAGCGTGAGGTGCAGTGGATGGGAGGGAAGGAGGTGGGTGGAAGGTGAGAGGCAGTGGACATTGTACAGCCTCTGGAATCAAACTAATTATTTCCATGACATAAATTAAACTACAATTTGTGATTTGATAATTCACAATATCTTCTGGTACATAATCTGTGAATTATTGAAACTCCACTGTACAGTATTTGAAAGTACAGTAATATCTCCGTTAGCCGGAATCCCTCAAACCTGGAATTTAAATTTTCTTGGAAAATCGTTCCCAAAGGTGGATTTTTCCAGAAAATTCAGGCTTTGGGAACGATTTTCGAGGGGCACAATTTCTGGAAAATTCTGAGAAAATTTTCCAGATACCTAGAAAATTCCGGGGATGGGGGATTTTTTTCCAGGCTTGAGAGAGTCGTCCCGTTACCCAGAAATCTCTCATTCCAGGAAGTGCTTTGCACTAAATGTTCTGGATAACAGGGATGTCACTCCATCATCTTGCACTGTTGGCATGCTTCACTGTTAATGTAAATGAACTATACCCTCATGTACACCTAAAAAGACTGCATTTTAAATTAATTTCTCAGACACCATTGTTGTTAATCATGAACTTGGTACAGTAATAGGGGACAATTTTAGGTTTAGTACTAAACAACCCCTTCATAGTTGGTAAATGTGACTTGTATTATTTTACCTTCTTCAGTCTGCAGTTCATGACTATTGTCACATTCTATGAAAAAATATGTATACCTGTACAGTAGTCTATCAGTGCTACAGATCATGCTGAAGCAAGAACAATTAGCACCATTAATGATATTTCAGTTTCTTCATTCGTCCATCTGTCTTCTGTCTATCTTCCCATAAAAGAGATTACAATACAGTACGTACTGTATGTAGTGTGAAGATGATTCCATATAAATAGGATTCAACTGAATTTTAAACTTTTCAGATGAATGGTGGGCTAGTGAAGAGGGTGGAAACTGGAATCGAACCGAAACTCTAGAACTTCTTTTTACTGTCAGAGAATTGTGGCCAGGTTGGCCGAAGATGGATTGGGAAATGGTAAGGATTCATAAATGTCCAAGTTGATATGTTTCTGGTTTAATAGAGTAAATACAGTACAGTACATTACATTTTTATTTCATGTCATAATTACTTTTTTTTTTTTTTTTTTTTTTTAATATGTTAATGTAGTATCACCAGTTAGCAACAGATGGCATTGCCATTCTGTTATTGTGTCATGTGTGAGGCATTACATGTGTTTAATATATCCATTTACCAATAGAAGGTTTTATGGTCCTATTCATGGGTCCGGAATAGCATATTTCCTGAATTTATGTAAACAAGGCATTATTGAACCTGTAATCCTTAGAACAGTAAATCAAAGATGTACAAACTGTTTAATTTGTCACTGTACATAGTGATAAGGATGAGATATCTGTACAAGTGAAAACAAGAAGACCAATACTCTCTTTAAACTGTCTAAAATAATTTATATATGCAGTATACTGTATTATGGTTGTGTTGAGTGAAATGTAAAAGGTTCCCTAAAAAAAGTTTTTCTTATTACATAACTGCAGTACACAATTATTAGGGTCTTTAGCACTTAAAAAAAAATTATCATTTTAATCTAATCACAGGTGAGCTTAATGATGAACGCAAGTGGATACAAACACGATGACGTGGGTTGTAAGAAAAGATTCCAGCAGCTGTACAGTGGTTACCAAGCAGCATTTGAACATAATAAAACGTGTGGCATACGAGCTCGAAGACGACCCCCATTTTACTTCAAGTTAAACACACTGTTTGGCAACAATGAGTTCGATGAACCAGTCACTCCTGGCAAGTATTGGGCTTTATTAGGAGTCTTGCAATAGTATGAAGAGATTAATTTGTTGTCTTCAAGAATTTTAGCTATTCTCTCAGTTTTGTTTCATTTTCTAAAAACTATATTTCAAAATTTCAAGTTTGAATTTTTGTAAAATTTTCAAAGATGAAGGACAATTGGTAGATGAACCATACACATAAAATAATTATTAGATTTGACCAAATTTTTTATTTTGATGGAGGTGTTATCAAAGAATTACACACCCATTGATTAGAATTTCTTCATTTGTAACTTAGGTGCTTTTTTTTTTTTTTATCAACTTTTCTGATAGTAACACTTTGACCAAGCAGATCTCCCTGGAATGCAAGAGGTAGAAGTCGATGAGGCAGAGGCACTTCATGTTCTTGTCATGGGGCTGAAGGAGGTAAAGGGACATTACTGCCACAGTGTTCCCCGAAGACCACTCTTAATGACACTGTCACTGTACCTTAATGAACACTTCCACTGTACATCATCATCCATCCCTCCATATGAGTAAGTACTGTACAGTTTTAGTACTCTTCCATGGCTTATTGAAACTTTAAGATCACTAGAAACAAAAACAAGTAGTGCATCATAACATACATGTAAAGTATCAACAGTTACCTCTAAGTACAAATATATCTGTCTCTGCATTTATCTATTTATCTGTCTATCTGTCTTTAATCTTCTGCATATATTGTTCTACTTGACAGCTGTGTGCAGATTGTCCTTTACCCACTCCTGTTATATGCTTCATCACGACACTCTCAGTTTATTCTTTTTGCCACAATGCTTTTTATTTTATTTTATGGGTAATTGTTCAGAATGGCAGATTGGATACTATTAAGAATGTTCTTTAATATAAAAAAGGTGACATGTACAGGTAGTTCCTGCATAACACAAGAGGTACATTCCTAAAGAGTCTTGTGAGAGATACATCTTAGAGGGAAAGAGTGTGTGTTGACTTTACCACCATAAAGCTGTATTTTCATTCAGACTTTACTTACATCCACTTTAACATTACAGAGTGTGGCATTTCCTACTACAGCTCCACCATATTCACCGAGAGGCTGCACTGCAAAAAACAGAGGTGGCGGAACATATGAATCTCGGTGAGCTGTGGCAGAACCACCCCATTCCGCTGATAGCTTTTGGCCTTCATGCTCTACCTCTTCTTGGGTGGAACTCAGTAAGTTTTATGCCAATACTGCACTGTACTGCTGAAGAGAATGTTTCATAATCTGGGTATTTAGCTGAGACAGTTTAAGTCTCATATCATATTTTTATCAAATAAAGAAGCAAGTTCAATATAGCCTTATTATCGTATGTTAACATATAAACCGGTAAGTATTATTATTTTTTGAAGTGAGAGTAATGCAGATAACGTCCTTACCATAATGTTTTTGTCAGGAACAAGGACATGATTTGTTGTGCTGCTGGGTGTCCTTATTTACCAAATGGCCACCAAAACTAGAGGTGTCCATGTTGAGGGAAGAACACTTGAGTTATTGAGTTGCCATGTTATATTATTAAATGTAATGAAACTACAATTCTAACTTTCAGGTGTGTGATTGGAGTGTTGACGAAGTCTACTTGTTAGTGGAAACTGTCTTCAACTGGGAACTTCAGCCTCGCAACTTGCAGTCAGCAGGGAAGACTATGGCCAAGGTTGCCAGTGAGCTTTTAAAAACTCGTGGCTTTGAAAAAACTCCCCAGCAGTGCCAGGATCAGTGGGAATATCTTGTGGCAGCTTACAGGCAGGGTGGGTATAAGCAACTTAGTGGGCAGATGAACCTTATTCACTTGTTGGCACCATCCATACTGCATCCCCAACCAACTTGTTTTTATCCATCAGTTCGAGTTTCTAAAAATCTCAACCAGCAACGAAATTGTCGGACTAATATTTGTAAGCAACCTCATAAGGCAACTCAGACACAAAAATTGCAAACCACAGCAATTCAACCACCATCTGCGCATAAAGACTCAACTCTAAGACCTTTGAAGAAAATGAAGGTAGAGAGCCATGATATGACTGTATTGTCAGTTTCAGAAGAGAATTTGCAAAAAATCAAAAGGAAGAAAAGTGCCCCAGGGAATGTTGTTTCATATGTTCAAATAAACGTCCTACAGCAGTCCACCCCTCAGAAACGTCATGTCCAGGTATCGACAGATGAAATGAAAGACTGGGAAGAAGGTCTTGGTACTACAAGTTTCAGTGTTAAAAAAGAAACAGGTGATATGGAATCTATAAGCACTTCATCTACCACATTATCGGTACCAATTGTAAGCGATTCCATAAAAAGTGTACGAATTCAAGAACATAAATCTGATAAAAAACAGGGCATATTTAAACCGAGTGGCTCATTTGCCATTACAATGAAAACAGCATCTGGTGCCCCATCGAGAAAAGTAACTTATTTTTTGCAGAGCGATGGTAACTCAGAAGATGATAGAGTGCAAGTAGAAGTCTTAAATGTAATGGAGAGTGAAAATGGTAAATTGGTGGAATGCTGTACAGGGAAAGGAATTACTCCAGCAAGAACCATAAAGCTCCATTATCCCCCAACTCATCCAATACCATCAGGTCTTACACACATGTACCTACCCAGGATGTTAGTTCATCCAGATGTCATGACTGCTGCAAAAAAAATACAGCTGCCTGATACTTCCAATAAATTTTCTTCTTCCATTTCTGAAAGAGATTCAAGTTCATCCTCATTCTCAATTCCGTGTCAATTAAATTTGAAAACAGAATCAGAAGAAATTGAGTGTGAAGAAAGTGGTTTGCATTTAAGTGGTGATGAATCATTTACATCATTTGGGTCAGACGGTAAAGACGATGAACCTGGGAGATGGAGAGTGATGAAGCTGTTGGAACAGTATCGTCAGCACTGTAGACAAGAGAAGACCAGACTATTACAAACTTTACAAGAGAGCCACCAGCAACAAACCTCTATCCTTAAACAAATCCTTACTGTCTTCCAGCAACTCCAGAATTCTTTTTAAGAAACCAATGATTATATAGTGTAAGTTTATACCCAAATTAGTGACTAAATAGTATTAGAATTGTATTTATTTATGTAGCCATCAGATCCATGCAGCTTCCAACTGCTTCACTATTAAATGGTCAAACCAACATACAGAACAATATTCACACCTTATACTCTTGTGTTTTCTTTTTCATCTGTAGAATTATGTTTGTGGATATGGACACCACACAACATGATTTTAGATATGAAAATATAATCCAGATCTAATAGTGGGAAGATACATCCTGAGTGAGTGCACTTCAATAAAATGTCTCAATTATTGTAAATATTTCCATAAAAGTTGTTTAGTTGTTGTAATTATGGTCTTTACTTTTGTACCTTATTAAATATGGTGTAATTATTATGAATAAATTTTTTAATATGACGTGTACTGTACTCCTATGTTATTGGTTTTACTTATATACAGTGCAGTGGACATTTTGTAATTGAACATTGTACATTTATCAGCTATGAAGCACAGTTGATACTAACAAATAAATTTAAGTTTATATATACTGAACGACGATGAATAATAAGACCCATGTACGATAAAAAAATTTGCATGAAGGATGGTCATTGTTCAGCCAATGTGGAATATGGAACGTATCTCTCGGTACACTTGCTAGCTGCAGTCTCTCCTCATCCACCATGCAGCTACCCAATGCACTTTAGTCCCAAGCTTTGTTTCATGGTGATCGCACATGCTCGTGATCTTGTTGCTCAATGATTATCTTTCAGTATCGGTGTTGTTACTTATCAATTAATTTTTTAGTTTTTTTTATTTCACCTTACAGTGAGAGGACATCACTTATGTTCCCATTGTACTCTGTTTTGGCGACTGTGAAGTGATTTTTTTTTCTTTTTTACTGTAAAGTGCTTTACCTCTGTTGTTGTGAGCATGATGTGAGCAGTGCCGGCCACTATCATTGTTTTTGCGTTATCATCGTTCCCTCTGATTTTTGACAAGTGCTTTCTCTCTCTTTGTGACTGTGAAGTGAGCAGTGTAACTTTGAACATGTCTGGGAAGTGCAAGGCACCCAGGAAAGCTGTCTCTGGAGGTGAGGCTTGACATTGTGAAGATGAGTGGGTGTCAGAGTGACATCTCCACTCCACCATCAAGAGTCCCCTTAGCCTTGAAGGGGACATGTGATGATGACCAGGCTTGTTCTTAATGATATGGTGAGTGGTGCTTAATTGTGTTTTATTATGACATATACTGTACTATTATTGTAGGAATTTTATTTTCGGTAATACGTATGGGTGTCAGACTAGCTGCTGGGAACGTATCCCATTGAACCCCATGTTATAATGATTCTCATTTACAGTATTTTGACCTGTGATGGGTTTTCCAGGAATGTAACCCCATCATAAATAGGGGGATACCTGTGTGTGTGCGCGTGCTCCTCTACTTACGAACGAGTTACGTTCCTGAGGCTTGTTTGTAAGTCCAACTTTACTCTTGTAGATACCAGACATATTGTAAAAAATGAAAAGATTATGGATATTTAGTACCCTGTACAGTTATACCCTGTAATACAGCCTTAAAACCTGGCTCACTTTTCTCCTCTTAGGTAATGTTTGTTCTATCTGGAATTTTCTTCAAAATAATCCAGTCTCATCCACATTGAACACCTGTTCTGGCAGGTAACTCCCCTCAGTGATGATGTTTGTATCTCTGAAAGTTTGTAAGTTGAACATTCTTTAGAGGAGCACCTGTATATATGCACACACAAACACACACAGTAAAAAAAACAAATACCGGACCGCCTGGGTAAACAATACGTCCATTCGACATGAATCTTGGAAAAAATTTAATATTTAAAAAAAATTTCTTACGTATCTTACAGGTCATTGATATTGTTGTGGAGCAATGTGGTGTGGACCACGTGGCCATGCCCACATCACAACAACACAATCACGCTGTACTCAGTCAATGTGTGGTTATTACTCAATGTATACGTGCCTGTTCTCTCATGACATAAGTAACACACTTTGTGAAAACAATGCCCAAGTAAGTATGTTCAGGTAAGGCTCCAAAGAGCAGAAATCACTTTACCATGAAGGATAAATTTTAAGTGTTAGCCATGGTTGAAAGTAAACATTTTGTACCCGAGATAATGCATAAATTTAGAACTCGATAAACTGAAAGCATATCGTAAGTGTGATCCACTTCATCCCACTCTGAAAGTGAAACTCACTTTCATACACACCAACATAATCTTCACTACATAACACGTCACCAGGCAGCTGTGGTCTTGAGATAGTTACCCGTGTTGTTGATTCATCAAATAAAACTGGAAAAGTTGAGGGAAAATTGTTTCGGTACAGTACTCTATTGTGACTTAGAAATGAAGGAAATATATTATGAAGCAATAAAAAGGAACAATGAAGAGTGTGAGTGTGTGGGTGGTGACGTACAGTATGTATGGATGCATCACAGTGTAGCGGCTACACCTCTGGTTGGTTAAGGTCAAAGACTCTGCATCATTCATAAGATGGTTCAAGGGCTGAAGGAGCTATTTTTCATACATGAAATACTGTATATATTTATTATAGGAAATTTCCTCATTTTTTGGCGTATGTAAAATACAGAATAATGAAGGATTGGAAGCTATTCCCTTTTACTCATTGTTAAATCTACCCATGACAAAGAAGTTCCCAAGAACGAAGAGAATTTCAAGAACAATCCATTCATTGTAAGAGGGGATACTGTACACATCCACATCATCCACTTTATCTCACACTGCACAAGGCCACCCATGACACTTGCATACTAATGTAGTATATCGGGACTTTGGAACCTTAAAAAATCTGTGTGGCTCTGAAACTTTTTATATTCTGGAACCTTACATACTCTTATTAATTCTTTAAATAAAAAACAACGGAAATTACTGAAAGTACAGTACATACTGTATGTCTTAGGTATGATTATTTTACTTGAATTAATTTATCATGAGCTAAATAAGCCAATCTGTGTTAGTGTAATATGCTGGCTGTTGTTTTGAACAGTTGTGCCTCCCTCCTGAGACACTACAATGTATGTACTGTACAGTGTTTCTTTCCCATTTCCACCCTTAGATGTCTTGAGCTGGCTGACAATTACTAACGACCACCCACAGTAGTTACAAGCGACGTAAAATTATTCAACCTGCATGCTGTCAGGTGATGAAAATCACCTGGTGGCAGGATTTCAAACTAGACCTTACATCCACTAAATGACCATCGTTGGTTAGTCTGTCCTCCGTTCTCACGGTGAGAACTTCTTCATCACTTGTTCATCTTAGTCGGTTTTTGACAGCTAAGTGGTGTAAATTCCTTGCATCACATTCATGTTATTTTTGTAATTTAATTTGATATAAACTGTGTATTTCTTTAATTTTGGTATTGGGATTTATGTTCAGTTGAAGCACTGTTAATTTTCCTTTATTTATATTAATACCATGTTTTATGTTAATATTATTTTATAAAAAAATTGACTTTAAAATTCTCTACCCTATATTACTACTGTACAAAGAATTTTGCTGGTTCTGACTTAAGAAATAAAACTGAGGAATTAACCAAATTACAAGAACTTATCTTTTAGCAGTGTTGATTGAGATGATTAGTTACCGAAACCCCCTAGACAACAGTTATGGTATCCAGAGAGAGAGAGAGAGAGAGAGAGATGACTGCCCACCAAACATACACTGACCCACCTTCAAACATACAATGACCCACCATCAAACATACAATGACCCACCATCAAACCTACACTTACCCTATGTGGGGTATGGGTTGTTTGGTTCACACTCAGGATGGGTTGGAGAAAGGAAACTCACGATGTGCTCTCTATATACATGTTGTATTGGATGTACAATGCAGCTTGGTGCTGGGAAGGCAGCATGGTTACAAGCGTGATGTAGAGAGAGCTGGTTGGTGAGGACGCTCAGAGAAGGACAGCTTGTGGGTCGCCATGCTCGCCGGCGGGAGCGAGGGCCGCCAGGCAGGCGGAGGAGGATGAGGTGGTGTTGCTGGCTTGTTGGTGTAGGTAGAAAGAGGCAGGTCACCACGAGGTCAGGTCTTAAATAGCGGGGGTAGGCGTGGCTTAGCAGTTGACCCCCGCTATGTGGTGTATGGCGGCGCTGGTTGACCTAGACCACGAGGCATACACTGGGGAATTGGTGGGGTCGGCTAGGCAGCGACAAACAGCGTTTGTAGGGGAGAATTCCACTACACCACCATCAAACGAATCCAGGGAAAAAAGTCAGAAAAGTAACAGAAAAAAAGTCACACAACCTAACCTAACTTAACCTAACCAAACCTACGTGCATCATATATAAATTGTGTTGTCAATATGTAAAAGTCACAGAAAACAGTCGCCTAACCCAACCAAACCTAACTAAAATATTTTTAGTTTTATTACCTTAAATGTTACTTTTCCTGTGACTTTTTTTCCTAGCCAAAATTGTGACTTATTCTGTGACTTTTTTCCTGTGACTTTATTACCTTTCACCTATCAAACATACACGGATTCACCACACACCTCAGCATTAAAAATTATCACCAATACACCACTAAATATATTCAAGTCCACCATCTACATCAACACAGAAAACTTAAGGATAGAGGTAAGGGGAGAAGCGTCCTGGGCCGGTAAACCAAAACACCGTCCATTATTGAGGAGTGTCAGCTCAGAGCCATGTCAAAATATCTATGAAGTAGGTGGAAAGACACACCCTCATGTAATGTCAACGGGAGGTAAGGTTCTGCATATTCTCTTGAATGAGTACATGTAAAAATGGACATCATATTCTTCTTTTTTGTTGTAAAATATCTATATATGCGGATTCTTTTGAGTATTGGAATATACTACTGTACAGTTGGTAAATTTTCACGTGTTGCCGCTATGCGAAACCAAAGTTGAATTTCTGTTCTTCCGGTGGTTTTTGATGTGTTATGAATGGATTTAACCTTAATTTCTGATGCAAATCAATAATTTCTAATATAAGCCCACCCTTCCATCTCAGACTCGAGAGATTTGGGTAAATTTTTACTTTAGGACATGAGTCCATAGGGGTTGACCAATATGTTTTTCCAGTGTATTTTGGTGTGTTTTAAACGAATCTGATCTTCATTTTTGGCGGGAATTGCTCGTTTTTGCCCCCGCCCCCCCAACAATAATGGGGGAGAGCCTGGGAAGTCGGGGTTTTCGGGTGGGGGAGAAAGTGAAAACGAGTCATCTAACCTAAAAAAACCCTGACCTAACCCCACCCCTAGCCGGGGGCTCTTCCCCCAGACCCCTGTAGGCCTATCTTAAACTAACCTTAATTTTTCAGTACCTAGTTAAGAACTTTGGGGCGCACCATGTCCGAAAGTACAATACCTTAGTTAGAAATAGAAGGACCAGGAATACGTAAGAATTGGATCGAATGATCGTCTTTCTCGTAAAACTCAGCAATAAACTTAAACTAATCGTAGGAGCACAAATGACAACCAACCTCCACCACGGCCATTGTGAGACTGGTCAATGAAATTACCCAGGCTGCTTCCTTTGAAAAAAATCAAATGTGATTGGTAAAAAAAAAATTGCTTAATGATATTGATACATCATTGGTCACGAATGGATGACGTCAGTCAATATTGCGCATGCGCCGATAACGTCTCACAGACGAAGACTGAAAACTACGTAAGATCATATTCAATTGTGTCGCTATTATCCATTTCTGCCATGTATATATGGGGTTCAGAATGCTCAGAATAGGGAGATCTAAATGATTCAGTAACTAATAACTTTCGGGCGCACTATGTTCTAAAGTAAAATTATACCGAGATTTGTTATAAACATCAAGTTAAAAAGTGTTCAAGACCCATTAAAAACCATCAGAAAAACACTTATGAATCTAACCTAACTGGGGGGGGCTCCACAGTCGTTCAGTGTTCTGGGTGTGTACCGCTACATATGAACATAACAAAATGTTAAATATCTCGCTTATACGTAATTAGCGACAAAAATACCATTGAAGAAAAGTCTTAGAATTGTCAAAATTACCAATTGCATTTATAAAATTCATGAGATTCGTTTAGTGGCAAAGAGTGAAATAATACCATACAGTTGCCAGGTGTCCTGGTATTATTGCAGTTTCGGTCAATACACGGCCGACTGTTTTGACCGTCTCCAACCCTTAGATCTCCTTATTTGGAGTATTTCTAATCCCATTTCAACCAGGGTGCAAAGAATAATAATGTCAGAAATGAATTTTAAAGTTTTTCCATGCATTTTTTGGGGATAACTTTAAAACGGGTACTGTACTATCCCCCGGAAATAAAGGACAAATTCGATTAAATCACTCCAAAATACACAGGATAAATTAATTTCCAAACTACTAGGGCATATTGGCCAAAACTGCAGTTTTACCGGTGTTCCATATACATATACTGTACAGGACTGCCCCGTATTTCCTTGCTTTGTCTTGGTGTTCTGGAAAGGTGTGTAAGGCTGCTTAATGGACAAGTTGTCGGTCGGAATTTTTTCGTAAGGTGACAGGTCAATGGGTAAAGAAAATGCTTAAATTCACAATGGTAATGATATTTTAAAATAAATATAGCCAAAAAGTAAATAAAAAATAACGGTTAAAGCAGCTAAAAAGTCACGTGACTGCGAAAAGCTCTGTGATTGGTTGTGACATCCCAGGTTGGTTTGAGTTGCCGAGTGGGAGCCTGGAGGCAGCCAGCTGTGGTGTATGTGTTGTTACCAACAGAAATACAGGACTTGTGGCCATATACCTGTACAATGTTGATATGTACAGGCATACCTTATTTTTAGTTTAAAATAAATTACTGCTCAAGTATCATCGTGTGTGTTTACTTGCTGGGTGCCAAAATGATGCAAAAGACCGATAACTCCAACATGGAAGTTTTCACCACTGTTCTCTATTTCATGTCTGGAAAATGTAAGTTTTCATCACTGATGTCTATATTTAATGTTGTGGAAGGACTAGGGACGACCATGGCCAGGGAATAGGCTTGAAATGATCAGATGGCAGATGTAATTTAACGTGCTTCATAGCTGTGTGGCAGAGTTCTTGATAATACTCTACAATCATAAAAACATTTACTTTTGGTAAATTTCTTTCACCTGCCTTGATGAACCCTGGATGTAGTTGTCCAACCTTCTCAGCTGATCGGCTCTGTAAATAAATATTATTAAATAATTAATTGTGCTTTACTGTGCAACACTATAATGCTATATTGAATATATAAATATTACTGAGCACATTAACTAATTCAATGGATATTAGCTGCCCCTACTACAAATTTCATAGTATAAAAATTACAAACAATATTGGTACAGTATTATTTTGATTACCTGATAGCACTCTACCATGTTGTGTGGTCTCTTGCAGCCTCTCTCCTCAGGTACTTACCTCGGAGGTTGTTTCATACAACCTCTCTTTATGTCATTCTTGGCCTTCCTGGTCCTTCTCCCCTCTACATTCAGACTTATACACCTCTTGAACCAATTTATCTCCTCCATTCTCACCACATGCTTGAACCATCTCATTATACCTCTACACAAAACCTCGCCAGCACGTCTTTGAAATTGCCTTGATCCACATAATAACAAATTAGGAATTTGTGTATCATCCAGTTTTTATTTTATTATTTATATTACAGTCGGCTTCCTCTTAACATTTGTTTGAAGTACATAATGTTGATGTCTTGCATCCCACCAACCACTTTCTCCAACCTCCACCCTTTGCAAAAAGTGAGCTTATGACAGTGCTTCAGTTACATTAAAGATTAAGTGAAACCTGCACAAGTTTCGGCATTTTAATTGAATATGTGGCAAATTATGATTAAAAAATAAGGGTTTTCTGCCGATTTCGTCTTTCATCGTAAATAAGAATAAAACAAAACCTCAACTGTGGTGACACACCAGCAGCAAGACTAAGTGTGTCATTACTGTCATATATCTGCTGATATTGTTGGGGATACAGTCATGATTTCCTTTGTACTGTAGTTGTATTTATGAGAGTGATGAGAATCATTAAACAGTCCTACTTCAAATTTCAACTATAAATTGAAGTTGAGAGTTATAATAAATGTGTTTCACCAATATAATGCACTAAATAGTAAACATCATTATCCCGCAGGTGCAGAAACAATTGTTGAATTTTTTGCAGATGCTCCGCATTGCTTTTACTTTTGCTTTTTTCCACTTTGCCACAGATTGGCTCATAAGCCACTTGGGTTGTTGGTCATGTCTCTGTTATGCACTGTTGGCAAGTACCAGTATTGGGCATGTACTGTACCTGTACTGGCTCCTGAATGTATCTGTACCTACACCAGGGATGATCATGTCTGATCTTGAATGAGCTCACACTCAGTGCTGCCACAATGCTATTTGGCAAATTATTGCAGGGGGTTTATAATTTTCACTCCAAAAAATGTTTGTCCTGACTATTTTCTGAACTTGGGGCTTCTTCAAACTTAAACTGTGACCCCTAGTGAAGTATTAACCGAGTGCTGGCTATATTATCAGAGTTACTATTATACTGCAGGTACTTGTGTTATTACAAGCATTATTATTATTATTATTATTACAGAATTATTACAGAATTATTGTACTATTATTACTTTACCGGTACTTTATTATTATTTTACAATAAATTTTAGCATACAGTATATCAATATGAAATAGAAACTCAGGACTCAAGTTATGTTTCAGGTAATGAAACATTAAAAGCAAGAAATGGCAGCCAGTGAAGTGCAGCATGTGACCCCTGATGAAGAGAGCTTATCTTCCATATCTGTCAATATCAGTTGTCCACAAGGATGTCCTCGTACATTTGCCAATTCCTCTGCCCTCAGACTACATTTAAGTCAGGTATGGGTTATTCTTACCTCTTCAGTGACTACTGCAAAGGTAGGCCTTTTGAATTTATTAAATGAGTAGGATTTTTGCTATTAAAAATCTGTTAGATATTTTAAATAAATAAGTGCACCAGATGCAGTGCCTGTAGAAGTGTTAAGCTCTTCTTGATTAAGTATTTAACCCTTACGTCCTGGGTGACGTTCCAGAACGCAGGACCGGCCCGCCCTGGGTGACGTTCCAGAACGCGTGCCTTTTCCCGCCACCGTTTGAATGCCCATTGCAGGTTAACAGGTACCAGCGTGACTATTTGTCTGTCACAGCACACGGCGGGGAGCGTGGGTGGACTCAGAGCGGTCAGTAACCATTCCCCTGTCGTCATGGAGAGTCGCCCCTCAACCTCCCGTGCCATTTCAACCCCAATCAAGCGTCGCAGCCACCGTGGGTTGGATGATTGTGAGATACAAACAGAACTATATGATGTAAGTGCTGTATTGTGTGATTCTGGTGAAAGTGGTGATGAAGTCAGTGCTTATATGCCTAGTGATCCTGAGGATAGCGTCGAGTTAGACGATGTTTTAGGGACAAGTGGTGATGAGGGCGAGGTACAGCCAGCGCGGTGTAGGCCCGCCACGCGTTCACAGCCCAGACAAGGAACAAAGGATGTTTTTGTTTGGTCTGATGGCAGCAATTTCCAGCCTGACATCCCTGATTTCAGACGCTCATCAGGTGGAATTACTCCTGAATTTCCTTGTACAGAGGAATCAAGTGAGATGGACTACTTTTGTGCCTTCTTTGATGGTGCATTCATGGACTTACTGTGTACTGAAACAAATAAATTTTATCAGCACATGTGTGAAGCTGACCCCCGCCCTGGCCCCTCGCCAAAAATGCGCCGATGGACTGATGTTGTTGTGTCTGAATTATATGTGTTTTTTGCATTACTAATGCTAATGGCACATGTGAAAAAACACGTACTTCAGGAGTATTGGATATCTTATGATGACATCACAGCAACTCCATTGTTTTCGAAATTCATGTCAAGAGACCGGTTTGCCTCCATCCTGTGTTATCTACACTTCATGGACAACAACAAACCTGTGGCCGGTGACCCACTCTGGAAAATAAGGACAGTTTTTATGATGCTGAAGGAACGATTCATGAAGTTCTTCAAACCCTTTCAGAATGTAGTGGTGGACGAGTCTCTGGTGCTTTTCAGAGGACGTGTTGTTTTTCGACAATACATTCCCTCCAAACAACATCGCTTTGAGATAAAGTTCTTCGTGCTGTGTGACTGCGAGACTGGATATGTCTTAGATCTCATAGTTTACACAGCAAGTGATGTAGACATACCCAAGGATGATCCACATGGTTTCTCTGGTGCTGTTGTCAAGAAACTTATGGACCGCTACTTTGGAGGGAATCATGTCCTCTACATGGACAATTATTATACCTCTCCTGCCCTGGCCAAGTTCCTACTTGAACATGACATCGGTTCTTGTGGGACAGTACGTAAAAACAGGAAACACTGGCCCATGTTTCCTGGTAAACCTGCAAGAGGAGACATCCAGCTAAAGCAAGCAGACAAGTTGCTTGCAATACGTTGGCATGATAAGCGTACTGTGCAGATGCTGTCAACCGTTCACAAGGGCATAATGGTGGACAGTGGCAAAACGGACAGGGCAACAGGAGAGGTAGTAAAAAAACCTGACGCTGTCGTGGACTACAATGTCAACATGCACTTCATGGACAAGAGTGACATGCAGGTTGGCGCAGTTGAGTGTGTACGGAAATGTCTCAAGTGGTATGTGAAGATGTTCCTACATCTCTTGGACATCACCATCCTGAATGCGTACAACTTGTACCTTGTAAAATCCGGGAAAAAACCCTCTCTTAGGGTTTTTCAGAAGCAAGTGACAAATCAACTCCTGGAGAAATATGGCAACATTGTGGCAGCTGTACCACGACGTCGAAGCCAAGCAAGACTCCCTGACAGACTCCTTGCATGTGACTGGGTTACTCGTCACTACCTGGATGGCCTTCCGACTCTTCCAAGTGGTCGTAGGATGCAAAAGAGGTGTTACGTCTGCAGGAACACCACAAAGCGCCCAGCAAAACGTAAGGATGTGACGACGTGGTGCAAGGAGTGCGACATTGGTCTCTGTGCACCTTGCTTCATGGAGTACCACACAAAGAAAATATTCTAAAACAATGTGGCACGTGAGGAGTGCTTGTAAATAGTTTAAATGTAATGTAAGTGTATTTGTAAGGTACAAAGTGACATTTGTGTAAAAGGTACACAGTTGTACGCATTCACTCACCACTACCCACAAGCAAAAGGAGGCGCCTCGTCAGGGTAGCACAAACACCACCGCTACCTATCACCACCACCTCTCCTCCTGCGATCAAAGGGAAGCTGCTTGGTAAGTACCTTCTTTTGTTTGTTTATTTTTCATTGTCTGTCCATTTTATCATGTTGTATCAAAGTAATATTACTAAATGTAGTGTAGTTGTATTGTTGTGTAGTATTACTAGATGAGAGTGGTATGATTATGTTATGAATGTATTTGTTTGTGGAATTATTATTCTGATAATTATTTATGTGACTTACTTGCTCTCCCAAACACAAAGACAGCCAGACAGCCTGGCAACAGACTACGTGTGTATCGCTGAGCACTTTTGTGAAAAGTAATGCAAGTAAAATACATAATAAATTAATTATTTATAGGAAATAAGTATTATGATCAGTAAATACATGCATTATTGGCCATCTCGGACACAAAGCCAAGCGCTAAAATGACCCCTATGTGTGTTGTGACCGCTAGCGCTCGATGTTAAAAAAAAACTTTCCCCTTATTTGTCTCGTCACTGAGTTGCCAAGGAAGTTTCTAGAAGGACAATATATAATTGTTCTTACATCTTTTTGGTTGTTTTATCATTTATAAAGGTTAAAAATTATTTTTGGAAAAGTTGGTTTTCTCGTTTTACCCAGGGTGGAGGGTGCGGCCGGCTCCATCCTAGCCCGGGGCGTAGGGGTTAATGAGAAGAGACTACTGAAATATGTGATAGAGATGAAACATTGTGTGAATGGGTTTTTTCATCAATTATATGTTATGTAGACTGTGATTGTAAAAGGCATTTTATGAAATGAAGAGGAGAAATCACAGTTAATTTTTTAAGTACTGTAATGTAAATAAGAAGCACAAGAAGAGATCAACCAAGTGTTGTTATAAAATCAATTTGCCAAAGACTGAACATATTTAAAACTGGATGATTTTAACTAATGGAAGTTGTCTGACAGAAAATCCACTCTTATGGCAGGGAGTCCCACTGTGTTTGTTCAGGAGTATCACTGAGTTTTGATATGCAGGGTTCTGTAAAATAATAATATTTCAGCAGAAGAGTCATGGCTCCTCCCAGGTACCCTCACAGGTTGATTAAAGGTTACCTTAGCCAGGTTTAGTTAGGTTAACCCCTTGTGTATGGGGTCGCCTTTGAACTGAGTAAAATCGTCCAGCATTAACCAAATATAATATTAAAAATGGTGTCTCCACAATGAATGAGCTAAAATAGGATTCCAGGACCAGGATATCAGTTGTATTCAAATGTTTTACATTCTCAGGTGCACCATCTGGAAACTGGGAGTAATGTTGCCCCGATCCCTGGAACTATATGGTATCACTGTCCTGTGACTTCCTGTGTATACCACATTGACTTTGGTGTTAATGGGAGACATTTTCCAAAGTTGAAGTACCTTAAGCAGGTAAGTGTTTTGTTCTATGTTTGCTCTAACTTATTATTCTAGAGTTAAAATTGAATTGTTGATTACTGTTGTATCTCATGGTGAAAAGGGATTAGCTAGCTAGTCTTAATGCATGTGAATGACAACCATTTAGTCATTTTTGAAGTGTATACACATCATCAGACATAAGAGAGCCTGCTTACACAAAACATGTACTGTACAGTATACCGTACAGTATTCTACTAGCCCTTGAATTTGGCCCACTAGTTGCATTCTTATCAGCCTACAAGTCACTTGGTATTTAAAAAATACATATATTACTCACAACTAAATTCACTCGCTCTTTGTCTCTTACCATGTTTTAAGAATTATGAAACAGATCTCACACAACTTTCAAATGGCCCACCAAGCTGCATTTCCCAATGAGAATATATATATTTTTTTAATTAAACTATAAACACTATTTTTTCCTGATGTTTCTCGACCATCATCGTCCATCATCAGAGGAGTTACTCCAATGTATGAAATGCTCATGATTTAAGCATCTTCAATAAAATATTTCTTTTGGTTTTATGAGATACAGATAGTATATTTAAAAAAAATTGTAAATAAACCACAATAAATATACAGTATGTGTGTACAGTACTGTATGCCATTTTGAAATATGGCCCACCAGTAAATATTCGTTAAAAAGGTCCCTTTTCTTATATTTCTATTTGAACAATGTTAGGCCAACACAAGCAGCATAAATCTAAAGCTGTGTTGAGTACACACATTACACATTTACTATTATCACATTAATATAGAAGTTTAACAATGTTAGGTTAGGTTTTGGGTTCAAAATTCTTTGGGCTGGAGCGCATCTCAGTACTATACTGTATATCATGAGTTTTTGAATAGACAGTTTTTGGTATGGAACATATCCCAGTTTTACCATGGGATCCTATAGGAAGATGGGTCCCATTTAGTGAGAATTCATCTAATGAACACTTTTTCAAGAACACATGTCAATTCTTAGGTGAAACCATAAGCACTAAACAAATATTTGCACCTCTAAACATTCCTTGTTGTGTACCTAGATGTTTATTGCCGAATTTATTTTTATTTTGGATAAGTCATTATTTTCATCCTTATGGGATATTCTTCACCATTTTCCAATACCAATGTAATCTTTTGACCAGTTTTGTATTGCCTCTACACAATTGGCATAAATGTTTTATTTTAACCCAATCCCCAATATTTTATATGACTTTACTTCACCATTAACTTTTATTCTTTCATTGTTTTTTTACCAATTATCTTGCTAAAAATCAGAAATAATTTTTCTATAATTTAAAAAATAGCATTACATTATTGTTCAACTCCCTGCCAAACCCTTAATCATCTGGTAAGATATTTATTTGCTGATGCTGCACCTTCCTGATTCAAGTACCCGTAGATCTTTAGTACTGTAGTACGTACATCCATCATTATTAATCCTTATCTAGTATTTACAGTTGTGTGTTTACTTTAGCTGGTCCATTAGAGTGAATTTCAGAAGTCTGATTGATTTCTGTTCTTTTATTAGTGTGAAATGATATGATGTGATGTGACCTTATCATGCAAAGCACTGTCTGTGTGCCTGACTGTTAAGACAAATAGTTTAAGGATGTTATATGTCCTTTATTTTATTTTCAACTTTGATGAAACTCAACAATTATTGAATTTTTTGTATTATTTTACTAAGATTACAGATTAGATTGCATTTAAGCAGTCCCTAAGATCTCATGATCCTTATAAATAATTAGAACATTGAAAATATTATGGTGATCTTGAGACAGAAAAACAGTATTTTTAGTATTTGTTTGGGTACATGTACTGTACTTAATGGCATAGTATACAGTATGTTGACAGATATAGTCATCAACTTTATTACCAAATATTTCTTTACAGCACTACCTCAAGGTCCACGCAGCTCGCTCCCATGCTTGTGATTGTGGTCAAGCTTTCAGTACTGCAGCCCTACTTGCTCGCCACCGCCGTGCCTGTGGAGTCAAGCTTTTGTGTTGTTGTGGCCGGAGCTTTTCTTCTGTTGAGACCCTGCAGACTCATGCTCGCCGCTCTGGCCATGCTGTCCATCACTCCACTGTTCAAGCACTAAGGTATATTCAATCAATTATCTCTGGCTTTGCAGCTGTTAAATTTTATGTGACAATGAATGGTGAAGTATGGGTCTACACGTACAGGTAAGCATTTCTGGTTATTGCACTTCAGCCAGGTGGCTTTCATGCTATGGGGTCACTTACGAGGGGTGTTACTAGTCTTTAAACAGTGTCTCTTAGCATCACCCAGAGTTAATTTGTTTGTAGATATAGTCTTCCCATCATACTTGCAGCCTCAGATGAAGACATAGTGGTATTGATGCCAAAACACTGGAGGTCTCGTTTGAGCTGAGACTTCTCAGTCAGCATTCACCAGGCTAAGCGTCAGCCTGTTTAAACATTTCAGGGATTTATTAGCTAGATCTACCTCATTTATAGGTGTTAGTGTGAGATGAATATTATTTCTTACATATATCATGTCATAAGGCTTGTTGACATGTTACCAGCCCTACCAAGTGGGTTATCATGTTATAAGTGACTTCCCTTGATGCCAGTAACTGTTGACCAGATCTCAAGAACATCATACCCTAGGGTAGTTCTGTCTGATGAACTGGCATGAGTATAAGAGAGACATTAGCCAGCAAATGTTTTGAAATAATCTCCACTAGGCTTTAATAGACCTGCTTGTTATGTTTGCAATAGTTTAATGTACAGTACTTCCATTTAATTTTAGTGAGTTCATCACATTTAAAACCTTCAGTGAGTCTCAGGTAGCCCAATTACTATGTCATAATCCACTGTGTCAAAAACCTTTTGTAAATAAAAAATATCATGTACAGGCTGTCCCATGAGTTAAGAACAGGTTACATTCCTGGACCCTGTTGGTAAGTCAGAACAGCGTTAATTTCTTAGTATAGGTTAGATTAAAGCACAACCCTGCCCATACAAAACAACAATAATATCCCATTCATAACAATTCATGTAAAAACTGTAAATACAATGATGTTAACCCTTTCATCACCTTGTCTGATGTCATTAAGGCACCAAAAACATGAAAGTGCTAATTTCAGCTTTTTATCACTTTTATATTATGAGGATAACATAAAGTTTCCATATCTGGCTTGAAAATTCCTTTGAAATGTGGACAGGTAGTGGAAAATCTTCTTCTTTTTTTTTGGGGGGGGGGGGGTGGAGGAAATATTGAAAACAATTATATTTGTAACTTAGGTATTCTGTAGGTGATGTGGTCTGAAGAATATGATGTTGTCAAAATTGCCTCCAAAATCATGGATTGTGCCCTACAACCAAGTTATTCATCATTGTACATTTATATTTTAGTAAATTACAACCAGGTTTTGAGGTCCAGTATTGGTACCTAACCAGGAATCATTTTGGATGAAACCAAATAAAACAGACAATACAAACACATTTCAATAAACATAATAAACTTGCATTTGTTCATTTATTTTGTAAACCAATAAAAAGCATTATACAGTATAAGCTTCCTTGAGAGGGAGTGACACAACTCTTCCCTACAATCATCTTCCATCTTACATTCATGGCTCTGTAGAGGGAGATAAAATTAGTACAAACACATACCAGTAGTTCAACAGTATTCCTCAACCACCATAAAATACTATAGCTAGAAACATGAAGCATATATTGACGTATATTCATCACTGTTTGCAGTCTATATCCTTCCTTTGTGTACAGGTGTATACATATTTTCATACTTAACACACTTACATAACCTATCTCCATATAATAGAATAAAAACTTACCTCATTTATTTGGATGATAGGTGATAAAAAATCACATATGACTGTTAGCAACAGCTGGACTCAGGTGTCAGGCATCGTCTGCGATTCTGCATATTTGTGTTGTGGTTGAGCCTTTTGCCGAAAGATGGCAGTACAACCCAGGGCTGGCAGTGCATTCAAACTCTTTGCTGTGTAGCACTATAATTTAAAAATTGACTACAGTCACTTTGTGCAGTTAAAGGGTTAAATAATATGAAGTCCTGTACTGTAATGTAAAAACTGGGGTTTTAGTTACAGATTTTTGTAATGAATATGTTGGGATCCCGTTCATAAGTACAGGTGTACGTAAATTAGGTATTTGTAACGTAAATTAGGTATTTGCAACTCGGAAATTGCCTGTATGATCAATGTAGTTTTACTGGGTGTTCTAAATTTCAGCACTTAACCGAAGTCCCATTAGTGTCCAGATGTGAGGTCCCATTATATACCTTCTGTTAGGGTTTGACAGGAATGATACTGTACTGTACTGTAGTGTACTGTACTTTACTCAAATAATAAACTTTTCTTCTAAATACCCTCAGAGCAAAGAAGACATCACTTGCTGAACTGCCCATGACAACACAGTCATCTCTACAGAGTTCCTCTCAGGCAGTTTGGACACATCATATCCCATTCAAGTACAGTATTATATTTTTAAGTATATTGTTGAAGTATTCTTTGTATTTTAATAATTGTTTTTCATCAACACATTGCTTGTACTGTATAGGTTGATGCCCTCTTATTTGGTACTCCATTGATTGACAATTCCCCAATAAACAGCTGTTATAATAAGCACATTTGTTAGACCTCTTAATTAACAACACGTTCAAATGCCATTTGGCTCTGGACCCATTTCCACCAATATTTTATGCGTCACATAATAATCACCTGATTAAACATCATTTCAAAATAAGACTAAAGATCACATTGTACTGGTAGACAATGCAATACTGTACTGTATTAGGATTCCAAAGTTGAAAAAAGTTGTGCCAGCTTATATATACAAAGCACAGGTGCTCCTGTACTTACGAAGGAATTATGTTCCTGAGGCTTGTTCATAAGTCCAATTGTTTGTAAGACTAACTTTACTCCTGTAGATACCCTACAGTACAGTCTTAAAACCTGGCCCACTCTTTTCCTCTTTGGAAATGTTTGTTATATCTGGAATTTTCTTCAAAATAATCCAGTCTCATCCACATTAAACACCTGTTCTGGCAGGTAACCCCCCCTCAGTGATGATGATGTATCACTGAAAGTTTGTGAGTTGAATGTTCTTAAGGAGAGGAGCACCTGTATTTGTTTTTTATATTGCTCTCCAAACAAAATAATTACCCTGTATACGGTATAGGGTACAGTATAGTACTGTACAGCTATCTTCAATAATGGAACAATTGATAAATAGCACTTCCAGTTTTGAGAATTATCCAGTCACTTGGGATATCTCCTATAACCATGAATTATTCCTTAATACTGGACAGAACCAACCGGCCAGATGGCTAGTAAGCGGGTAAGTGGTGAAATGATACATAAAATACCAGAATATCTCTGATCACTTACACATCATTTCTGGTAAGATTGAGTGATGCACTGCAGTCTACAGTACTGTATTACATCCCTCAAAATAAAATAAAGCATTCCCAAATACTATGCTGTATTATTTCCTTTTACTTTTTCTACCTCTTCCTCTTAATTTTTTCTTCTTAAATCTTTCATCCTCTTATTCTTTCTTCATCTTACTTTAAGTCTTTGTTTTGTTTTCCTCTTAAGTCTGTCCTTTTTCTTTCTTCCTCCTGTTCTTACGGGGTATGTCTTTTTCATCTTTTTTTTTCTTCCCCTCAATCTTAAGTCTTTCTCTCTCTTTTGCCAGATATTTTCAAAATTCTTTAATACATTACAGGAACCCCTGATTAGTGTTAATTTGCTTTAACAAAAAAAAAATATATACCCCTTCTTGCTTAATGTTAGGTAAAAATTTGGTTTAGCAATAGCTAGACTCACTGTGAAGGGGAAAAACTGGGGATGAGGTGGCCTGTGAGATGGCATGTTAACATTGTTACATGTAATGAAGCTGTAAATGCTGTGGAAAAATCATTACAATACTCTAATATGGCTTAGAAATAAAGAAAATATAATACTATAAAATAAGTGATCACATCTGTGGAGGCAGTGGGCTGTAACTGCGTCATCAACTCGCCAGCCGAGCCACACACTCCCTCATCCAATGTGATGTTATGACATACACACAGCGCAGCAGACACTCACACACATCTCTGAGTCAGCTGGGTGACTGCCCAACATGGAAGGAGCTATATTTTGTACATAAAATGTGTGCTTTTGTATTTTATGATTTTGCTCTGTATCAATTTTATTATTTATCATATCAATTTATTTGAATTAGGCTCACCTTTTGCTTACTAAATTGTTTAACTGTGAACCATTTTACTTATATACTATATAAGTTTTGTGTTAATAAATCAATGGTTGAACTTTGAAACCGTGTATAACAAACTCATTTATTATTATTATTAGGGAGTACAGTACGTACTCCATTTTTACCGTCCTGTCATTTCAAGTTGTTATTCGCCCTCTGTGCTTCGGTGCTATCCCTTGTTTAGCGATAATTTTGGTTAGTGTCAAGGTTTTCAGGAACTCAACTGCATCATGAGAAAGTTCATACTAGAACATATAAAGACAGATCTAAAAAATTCAGACTACTGTAATTGGTAACTTAACCTGGCTGGATTACTGAAAGTCACATAATTGCTGAATACATAATACAGTATAAATATAGAGAAATATGCTCATAAAATAGCACTAATTTTATTGAATAAATCATGTTTCACACTTAGAAAAATATTTTGTGCTTTCAATTTGTCATCATTCCCCTATAATCATCATATAACTTGCTCTTCAAGCTCACTCATCTCCACCAGAATCGCTGAGCCAGTTGCCCGATTGTCCAATTTCTCCTTAAATTCCTAAATTTCATGTGTTTATTACTTACAGTACAAGAAAGGTGTAAAGTTGTAAGAGAAATTGTGGAATTTGGAAGTGAACAAAAGTTTGGAGGTGTGTTTATTGCCAGCAACACATAAGAGAGCGAGAATTTAATGTACTGTACTACTCCGGTAACAAGATTATTATAAATGTTGGTTATTGTTTTTCTCAAATCTCTTCTGGTTTCTCTTCAAGTACAGGTATGAAATATATCCACAGAAATTAAAAAATGGTTTAAATACTATCCTGGTGTTATTCCAAAAAAGTGTAAATTAAATTCGCATAGCTTAAGTGTCAGCTGTACAGTACTGTACGTACTTATTTTTCTAGGGTTTCAAGGCAGCGAGGGGCCTTTCCCCTCAATACGTCACTGGAATTGGCAGATACTGTTCTTCCTTCATGATGACAAAAAAGGCTACTGGTTGAGGGAGGGACGTGTGAAGGGACCAACGTGGGGCAGGAAAAGTTGTCACAAAGTTCAATAAATCATTTGAGCAGAAATCAGGCACCAAACTTAAAAATTATGGGGAGTGAAAGAAGCGCATATCTATAGGATATACCGCCTGTAAGAGTTAATTACCATTACTTTCCATCTACAATGTTAGGTACCCATTCACAACTGGGTGGGGAGGGGATGCCCCAGGAGTGGATACCTGCCACATGTACCCCCCCATCATATATAAGGTTAGCTGTGTAAGAAGGAAGGTACTCCGTAACCCTTAATAAGTCTCCCTATATTACAAAATCTTACTGGCCATGGGTTCTGTGAAATAAGAGGATATCAGAATCAATCCTCTGTAATTATTTTTTGTTCTTGCAAGCAGTCTCCTTCCACAACACACAGTGGCCAAAATCAAGAGCAACAGGCTTTACTCTCTTTGACCATCTTTTTCAATAAGTGTTGTGTTGTGGTAATTAGTGGGGTTTACTTTTTAGGTACCACAGTATTGATGACAGTGGAGGAGGGGAAAGCAGTGTAGTCGAAATAATCAACACTTCATCATCTGCATCACCCTCTGTGCAATCCACGTTTGGTTCTGTGCTGCCTACTATTTGCCCAGCTCCTTCCACCTTTTGCTCAGCTTCTTCTACATTCAGTCAAGTTACTCCCTTACATCTCCAGCAACCAACTCATCTGCTAGCAGCTATTGCACTTAGTGAACTTGCTGCAACAGCCATGAAAAGGTATAGTAGTTGTCCATTTAAGGTAATTTTATGTGTACAGTATGGAATTTATGTGATTCAAGTTTACCCACCAGCTCCACTGACAAAACTCACTTGTCACCCCAGAAAAAATTGATAAAATACTGTTGAAACAGATACTTCTTCCATTTATATCTGGAGCATTATAGCTCCCCCAAAGAAAGAGCCATTGCTGTATAAAGAGCTATAGAGCCACAGTTGAGCATGTCACTTCACTTCCTGTCTCACATGCAAAAAACTAAGTCTCCTTTATTTACACTTCACTGTGTTGCTCATCTCCATGCTTTTGCAAACCGTACAAATGCAGTTTTTTTTCTTACAATTCTTGTCACATTATACCTTATACCATCAGCTCCAAGGGGGAAAAAAAAGGTACAAGACAACAATTTGATACTTCCTGTGGGAAAAAATAAATACAATTTTGGTAAGTAATTAAGTAGAGTAATACCCACATTTAGCACTCAGGATGTGTTATCCTAACCAGCATTCTAAGGGGTCATTGTATAGTATATATGGAGATGTGTTCTTGATGACATGATTTTTTTTTATCCAGGAGATTTACACAGCATTGTTTAATGAAGGGTATAGATATTAATAAACATATTATTACAGTAACATAAACTGTGCAGCAATTACTAATTAAAGAATAACAAATAAACAATTTTGTATCATGAATGACAGTCATTTGATGAATAGTAGTAGTAGACTGACTGAGAGATGCAGTGGGTGGGAGGGAAGTATAAGGGAGTAGGGAAGCAGTGGATATCGTATAGCTCTGCTCTGGTTAAAGCTAATCCATCTCTGCATCACTGAAATTATGATTTAGGTAGTGATAATAAAGGTAGAGGTGATGATGGAGGTGGTGGTGAGGAAGATGTGTTGAGGAGGTGTTGCGTCTATTGGTTTCTTTGGTAACACTGTGCCCGCAGCACTCCCAGACGCTATTGAACATCTGATATCTACACACAAAATTGAAGCAAAGTTATTTCTATTCAACATTACATAACATAGCATTTTAAAATATGGAGTGAGAAAGCAGAAAGGTGGGGGTGATTAGAGGTGAAATGGAAGGCAGTGGTAACACGCGCCGGGTGTTGCCATGCGCTCCTCAGCAGGTGATCTCCAATCTGCCACCACACATTGTGCTTCAGTTAACCACACACAATTATATGTCATACAGTAAGACCTACACTTAATATAACAACTTTGTGGTTATCATGGCTGAAGCTTTTATCTTGTGCATTCTTAATAATGGTTCTAACAGTTGCTCTAGCCAAGTTGAAAGCAGCAGCGACGTCCACCTGACACTCACCAGCTTCCAACTGCCCCAACACTTGTAATTTTACATCCAAGGAGATAATTTTCCCTAACACTTTAGATGCACTAGCAGCATGAAAACTTGCAGGCCGTTTTCCAGACATGATGAGTAAAAAGGTCACTAATACTATAAAAAAATTGGCGAGTCAACTAGAATGTCTCCACAGTGTAAGCACAGCAAATTTGTACTGTACTGTAAACAGAGCACTTGGCACTGATTGGCTGAGTGTGTAAAAACAAAAAGAGCTGCTCTTTGTGTGTTGTGAGTGTTTGGACTCATGACTTTTGACTTCTTTCATGTTTGTTTTTCCCTAGAGCTCCAAGATGCAAGCAAGAATGCTATAACAAAACAGCGCTCTACGGGGTAGCACTAACCGGGGTATTACTGTACATATGTTGTGGGATTCTGTAAGGAAATGTTTGTTTTAACTTTAAATATTTAGGCATAATTCACTGTGTTTTTCCAGTCAGTTATCTCTTCTATTGGACCTATCTTCTTAATCACATCTAATTAAATGATAAAAAAGGTTATATCCTGTTTTGTTTTAAACGAGTTACCTATCTGTGCTTTGCTATAAAGTGGGATCTCAAGACTAATTCTGTATATTAATTGATTGATTCTTTTTTTAATGTGTAGGCTGGCTTGTGTGGATGTGGGAGTACAGACAGATGCTGAAGTAATGAGGCGCTCCAGAAGAAAGTCATCCAGCCCGGCAAAATGTTGGGAATCAGCAAGAAACAGCACAGCCCGAACTAGTGGCAAGCGAAAACGTACAGCAGAGACTCAAACAAGACTTACTCATAGAGATAGTAAGAGATTGCAAAGTGCCTCACCAGTTCAACTGTCTGGAGCAGCAGCTACAGTCTCTACAAGGATAAACTCTACCAATAATGATAATGATACTAGTTTTATTGATGTTAGTGCTGATGAGTGTAATGATGAAGGGTCTTTTGAAAGCTTAGCATTACAAGTAGACTTACCTGAATTTATTACTACACATCTGAGTAATTCAGGTACACAGACTAGTCCTCGTGTAGCTAGCCTGTCCCAGTCACATCTTCACAATCTTACAATCTCCCTGTTTGACCGTGCATGTGGCGATGATGAGCCTGGAATCACCCCACCATCAGTGACTACTATCACATCAACTCAAACACCAGAGCACCTTGATCCATTTACCAACACACAGCTACTAATTGAAGATGATGAAGACTTGTTGGGGGTAGTCAGCGATGCAACTGTTGGAACAAGAAGACCGCCACCTCTGGGTCAGATACGCTCATCAAGCATTGAGACTCAGACTGATCATGATGTGCTTCTGAGCAAGAATGCTGACACTCCTGATGATTCTGATGAAATCATATTAACAACTACAGAAACACAAACTGACCCCAGCAGCCTTCTCATCCTGAATGGGAATAATGCATATCAGAGTCCTACTTCCTGTCATGCATCAGGATCATGTCAAGTACATGACAATGACAGTTTATGGTGCACCAGTGAAACTCAGACGTATGAAGATTTCTCAGATATAGAACAATTTATGCGTTCAACAATTCACACACAGACACCAGATCATAGTCACAGTGAATTATTCCCTGAACTTTCTTTCACCCACACTCAAACCCAGACAAGCTTAGATGATCCTCCTGCACTTGTAACAACGCACACACAGACACCTACAAGCAAACCTCCTCCCCCAGGACTATCTGAAGTCTAGTCATCACCCAAGGTTAGATATTTTTGTTTAATTAAGTATAATAACTGAAATTACTCAATAATGGGTTAAGTGCCATAATGTACAATACAGTACTGTATTCTTTATGTAGTCCTCAAAACTAATTTAAATGTAATTCCACTCTTCTGCCTTAGTTCAGCTGTGGATTACGTCAGCATCTTGTTTTTCAAAGTCAGAACTTACGAAGTTGTTAAAACACTCCTCAAAATCACCTTCCACACTGCTTTCATCATGTTGCTGGTAACCTTCATCCCATGCAGCACAAATGTTTTCCAAGGTATGTTGAATATTTTAGTACTGTACTGTATTTACAAAAATCATGCGCTGACAGCTTGTCTGGACTGTTTCGCTTCATGTAGATGTGAAACAATTTTTGATGTTGTGGGTGGAGAGTGTTATCTGAAAAAAGTGCTTTAGGGTGGAGAGACTGCTTTTTAAACCAAACCTTTCTTGCCTGAAAAGTATCAGGAAATAAAGATTCACCAATTCGTAGCATAAAAGTTATAAATTTTTGAGTAATTTTGGGGAGTGATGTTAGAACTTATTGGCAGCTGCTTTACATCATGTTCACAGCTGCATCACCATTCTTCATGATTTTTAAAACCTTTCTTTTCATATACAAACCGTCCACAATACTGTACAGGTATTTGCCATTTTTGGTGCTAAAAAGTAATTATTTCACCTGCAAAATTGGCGTTACAAAGGCCGGCATTTACGATGGATTGTTTGTGTGTGTAGGTATACCTCTTTAGAATACTGCCATTTACACCACTGCACATTATTGGGTTGCTGCCGATATTTTTACTACAGGCAGCATATATTGTACTGTACAGTACTTTGTAGTCATAAATGTAGAGAAGGCATTTGGCAAGGTGTGTCATGAGGTTGTAGTGAACTGTGAGAAAGGATTGTCTTGTACGAGTAGCTATGGCATTGTATGAGAACCAACATCTACCTGTACATCCACTTTTACCAGTCTTTTGACATTAAAACAAGAAGTATATAGTACAGTATGTAATAAATATAAGAATATGTAAAAGAATTATGCAAGTTGTAATAAATATAAGAATATATAAAAGAATTATGCAAGTTGTAATAAATATAAGAATATACAGTATAAAAGAATTACATGCAAGTTGTAATAAATTTAAGGATATATAAAAGAATTACATGCAAGTTGTGGTATTGAGTGACTTATTGAGAGGTGTGCTTGTTCTCCCCCTCACAGCCGTGTTAACTGATGAACCTGTGTGTGTGTCCAGAAGGTTCTCATTGATTGCTGTTCTGCTGGAAATAATTTGCATGATATGAAAATTTCTCTTATAATAGCTTTGTAAAATAAAAAATCCAATAATTAAAAATATTGGTCATAAAAATTACATTGCAATAAATTGAACCTCCAATTTGTGACTTACAATGTAGGCTGCGACCACACATCTTGGCTCTCCCTTTTCCTGATCCAGTGGTGCAAGTGTTGCAACGACTGGGGAGAGGGAGAATTGCAATGGACTGCCGATAACCCAGTTTGTTGGGTTTCGCCTTAGCCTGTCCATCAGGCATTGCCTTCATCCGCCGGTGTAGTCGTTGGGTTCCCATGGTGGTCACCTCTTCCGCTTATACCACCGTTGGGGTCTTGTTGGAGCTCTGTAAGCATGTCTGCCTGATGCGGGGCTCCACCGCAGATTTTTCGTTCAGGGTTTACTCCTGTAGCCTTTTACCTACCAAGGTTAATCCGCAAGGCAATGGGGCAATGGTTGGTAGGTGCCAGGACGTGTCCACATGCCAGTGGGCCTATGCGCCGTCCCTCTGGGGTCCACTGCTACTCCGAGATCCCCTGCTGTCTAACCTGGGCCCACGAGGCACCCAGTTACCGTGTATTGCCACGAGGAGGGGGCACAGCAGAAGTCTTGATGGTGAAGAGGCTGTGTATTGGCAGGGGAAGACTTGTGCAAGTTCCTTCCCTGTTCGCCACGAGGGCTTGCCAGCAGCGGTAGCTGAGAGGGAGCAATCAATGCCTGCACCTTAACACTAACATAATGCTGCCACACTAGATGCATTACACCACCCTGTGTGCACACAATCTTACATTACAGAAAGTGAAAAAATAAATACTGTAAAGTTTTCATAAGGTATGAAGTTGTAAGTACCTATGGGGGGCAAGTGTATGGAGGTTGGAGGGTCTGTGGTGGAGCACCGCAGGATGTACACTAACTTATATCATTTTTGCTCTTTACGCTTTCATTAATTCTATTTATATGCTTTTGTTATTGATGTTTATGTGCCAGGTAAATGTTCTCATGCCTGTACACAACTCTAGCATATTGTCCCTCACTAATCTAGGAGGGGTACAAGAATGCACTCTTTCAGTCTGTGCATCCAATAGTTACAAATTATATTTCTTGAACAAATAACAATTAATTTTACCCAAACTTGGTAAAATAATTTTCTATCGTCATCCAGAAATATGGCCTTTTGGATTTTGCTGTGGCACAGCACTGTGGAAGACTTACCATCCTTAATGGTAACCTTATTCAAATGTTTCTCTAGTTTCTTTTCAGTCATCAGATTGTATAACCTCACATATGATACAAACACAGTACAGTAAACCCTTGTTATTCATGGGGGTTAGGTTCCAAGGAATGGCGCAAATAGGCAGAACCCCGAATAGCAACTATTACTACCTTAGTGCACTACTGTATACCTATGCCAAACATCGGACCAGCTGTGGCAGCACTCGTCCCCTCTTTTAGCTTACCTAATAATTTGACTTTATTTGTCAGGGTCATCGCTGAATTCTGCCTTTTACATTTCACTCCACTAGTACTGACACTAAGCAGTCTTTTAGGGGCCATTTCCCACAGAAACACTAAAGTTTTGAGAGTACTGTACAACATGAGAAGCTGCGTCACAGGCAATGGTTGAGCGTGAACAGAGGGAGAGGAGACACTGTGGGCGTGTGGAGTGACTCATTGCGCTGCGGGGAAAGGCTCGCAAGCTTGCCACCATTGCTTACCGCGAATCGTGGAAATCGCAAACCCGCAAATGGCAAGGGTCTACTGTACGTATCTCTAAGATCAATAATGAATCATGTGATGTAATATCAAATAATAATGTTATAGGTAATTCACAAAAATAATTGCAGATGATAATGCTTTATTTTTGAGGAACTGAAAATGTCATGCAAAAAAATTTAATTAATGATAATAGTTACAAAGATGTGTATGTGTGAATGACATAGGTTACCACACTTCGGACCTTTTTTAAGGAAGGGGAGTACTAAAGTAGAACACATATTTTTACAGTAGTAAGAATAGGCAAAAGAAGAGTTAAATGTGTGGGTGTGCATATGCCTGTTCCTGGTCAACCTGAAGAGTTAAAATAATGTAACTATAACATTAGTAAAAAATATTGGGAATATGTAAAGAAATCATTAGGTAAAGAATTTTTTTTTACATTGCATTGAACAGCTTATTTTGCTGTTGAATGGTGCTGGGTGTGTAAGTAACTGGGATAAATCAGAGGCTTATCTTGGGGCCCTGTGGATGGGGAACACCACCATTAAAGAGAGAACAAAGGACAGTGGATAAAGGGGGCACATGATTGCAGACAATCTATGCCATAGTAAAAGCTTACAGGAAGCAAAAGGAACTTTATACAAAACAGTTGACAGAGCAGTGGTTTCCCTCAACATATTAATATGGCAATTTTTGCAATTCATGTCACCTTATGTACTGGTATATCAATAGTATTTACAGATTTCGCTATTCCACATCTTTAATTTGGGTTTTGGACTTTACGCGAGGAAATCTTCATTCGCTCCAATCTGCTGCCACAGGTAGTTGGTGATGAAAAACTGAGTGTGTGATGACTTATCAAACTTGAAGGGGATGATGTCCTTTTTCTCAGTCTGGTAAATAACTGAATATTTGGTTAAGGCAAATGGATCTTTTATATACAGGACATAAATAGGATATCTTGAATATAAGCTCATGCAACAATGGTTTATGTATTTCTTTTATCATTCCTTGCAGTGATATAGGTCTCGAGACCACTTTCAAGTTATGGTCTGTCTCGGGTGTTTAAGTCTTGGATTTTTCTCCAGATTGCAGATTTATTTATTAATTTTCAAGTCTGTTGGGAAGGAGTGGTCAACTGGTTAAATTTAGGTCACTGTATATACAGTATATTGAAATATCTTAATATCTGGTGGGTTTCCATTGAAATTAATACCTAATTTAAGAAATGACATTCAAATAACAATGATCTAATGAAATAATAAAATTAAAAAAATAAAACAAGTGTTATTGGTAACCAAAATGTTCTGTTCATTTTAGTACTGTACTGTATGTACTATAGTATACTGTACAGGCAAAATACTGGACAGAGAAGAGAGAACACATTTATCTCTCACAACAGTTCATAACTATGCTTCCCGTATCCAATACTGGACAGAGTACAGTCGCGGTCAATTGTAATCATCCACTCCACTACCTAACCCTTCCTTTCTGCATGGTAGTAAGTCACGTGGGGTGGAGAGGGGGAAGTGGTCGACCCAGAGGAGGGGTGTGGGAGGGTGGTACGTGACGCAAATATTTCATGAGGGAAGGGACTGAAAAAAGCAGGACAATTCATGAAAGAAAAAAAAGGAAGGATGGATGTACCTTTTTTCTCATTATATTAGCTTAGGTTTACGTGCTTGAAAGAGTATTAGATGAGGACTCTTTATGTATGTGCCATACATTCCCTTATTTATAATTTTTTTATGGTTGTTCATGTTTTAAATAACGATAATTAGGTATTTATAATAACGTTGAAATGAGGAGAATTATTGAATATGAGGTGGAAATTATATTATTTTTAATATTTACCAACACACGTCATACACAATCTCAAAAGTCCATCTAATGTTCTCCTTGCCACTTAAGAGTTCAAATATGTTTTGTTTATGTTACACACCCAAAATTAATTCATTCTAATATATCAAAAGCCAACAAACCATCAAAAAAAATACTCACCATGGCTGGTTTCTCAAGTTGCCAGACTTCTCCCAGAGGGTTAACCAATGTCTCACAGTGACCTCAACCTCCTTAGCAATTTCTGACAGGTTGTAGCCAGCCACACAAACCAATAATTTGCCTGCGACTTGCCAATCAACGCTCTTTAACGTCCATTTTGGGCTAGGTGTGGAGAAGTGGCCAAACACCATTGCCTAGCATGGATTTACAATGTTCACAATTACAGGGTGGACAAGTCACATTCTATCCAATAATTAATTCTTATTTCTGTTTATCAATTACTAGCATTTTTTTATTTTTTTTGCAAGAACAGTAATGGTGAGAGATGGAAGTGATACAGTAATTTTTTCTTCTCAATTAATACAGTATATAAGTTTTTTCAAGAACGGTAGTGGCGAGAGGTGGAAGTGATCAAGTAACAATTAATTCCTTTTCATTTCTATAGTTATCATTTATTTGTTTTTTCAAGAACAGTAGCAGCGAGAGGTGGAAGTGATCAAGTAACAGCCTAATTTAGTATTACGGGTGGTGAGCAAGCCATGCCCCCTCCTCTCTTATGTAGTCATATCAGGGGCTATCCCTCTTGGAAACCAGACGCCTTATCACCCCTAATGACACACAGCCTGCCAAAAGCTCACTCGCATTCCTCCCCAGAATCTCGACTAAAGGTGCAGATAACTAAGGCAAAGTTAAATCTATATGACACCTCCCCGGACACTCACCCTCCTGGTTGGTTGGTTGTTTGGGCTTTAGGCCTAACAACTGCCAGGGTAATTAAGGCCATCAATGTCAAGCAACATCCAACAACCAAATATCCTTCACACCTTCTTAAGGTGTTAAGGATGATTCTAAGATCCTATTTACTTTCACTACATAAAGTATGTGGCTCTTGGGCCCTCCTACCTTACCAGGGTCTGCCACCCCTAGCTCTCTCCCCATTAACACCTCCCTCACCCTCTTGTGACCTGTCGTGTAGAAAGGCCTTGAGCTCGGAGGGTATGGTAGTAGGAGGGGAGGATGATTACTTTTGACCACCACTGTACACCTCTCTCTCGCAGGTGCTCATAACTATAATTCCGTAAAGTCCAACACTGGGCAGAGCAGAGCACATCAATCTCTCTCAAGGGTGCTCATGACCATGCTTTATGAGAAGCACAGGATGCATCCTTATTTATTGTTAACATTTGATCTTTTCCTGACAAATGAGTTTGTATTTTTACACACGTACAGGACTTTGTAATACAGCTGTACTGTACATTTGTACTGTACATTTGTACTGTGATTTCCTTTTGTTAACTAATTAACTAACTAACTAGGAGAAAGATGAAACATTGAAAGCTTACTTGTAGACTCATTAGCATTGCTAATGTTAAGAATAATGAAATAAGTTCATGAAATATGTAAGCATACTGGTAAGGGGGAGAAATAAATGTTTTCTTTATTACTCAGAAAAAAATTATGAAATTCTTGAGTGGAAAAACTAACCTGAAATAAAAAATATATATCAACACATTGCACATGATTTCACACATTATTCAGTACAGTATTTGAACAAATTTTGGTGATTAAATGAAATTTGATAAAAAATCATGATACAAATTCCTTAAACTAGTTGCATTATGCTGTATTACGACACGATCATATTACTACAAACATTTCAAGAGTAAGTAGTAAACTAGGAATGTAAATACAGTAGTTTTCTCAGATAGTTTATAATGAAAATAAACTGTACTGCACAGTTCTTGATTGAAATATGAAAGATTAATACAAGTGATTACGTCAAAGCTCAAGAAAAAAAGTTAAAACCAAAAACACACGGGTTTACTTTGATAAAAAAAAACAACAGTTTTTATATTTTATGAAAAAATACAAACTATTTTCCCACCCTGCAACTGTTCATGCAGCCCAGATGACTGGCATTAAAGAGGTCGTCAACTCATGAAGTGTGATACTTTACAGCCATGAAATGACACTAGAGAAGTCACATTAGGGTTAAGATGTTCACAGGTTAATACAAAGGTGAAAACTCCTAACTTTCACCTTTAAGCGGCAACTTTTATCTCTCAGATCACCTTTTGTATCAATGGGATAAGGTTGTGACCAAAAAATTAATAAAAAAATCCAGTCAACAATGCTGGAGTCCTGGACACCCTGGGGTTTCATCCATCTGTCTTTCCTGGCTATGCTTGAACCACCTGAGTCAGAAAATATATCGAATTATTGTTAGGACATTTGGGAACTCATACAAATACCTTTTAAATAGAATTATTTAAATTAAATTTAGTGATTAAATCTATTTTTGTAAAAAGGATACATCCTTTGACTGTGTCACTCGGTGCACTGTAATCCCACTTCAGGTGAGAGATCTTGGTGAGAGTAGCGACATCGGCTCTGTAACAAAACAAAAAATTTACACAGTTAATGGAAATTTAGATTGGTAAACAAGTAAAAGTTGGATGTATCAGCAAATGGAGGAAGTGATGTTATGAATCACAAAGTAAAGGAGGGAAAAAAAAACAGACACTGAGAAATGTATTGGGATAGAACCATGTAACAAGAGAGAATCATTGCTCTGATCTCATGATAACAGTGTGAAGTATGAACTCTTGATGCAAGTGGCCAGAATCAAGAGCATGTGACATATATTTTCTCTTGTGGTGGTTTTCCCTTCCATAACACAGCCCTATGTTTGTCCATCAATCCACATAACCGAACATTATCTAGCAGGAGCACACCCACCCCTTGAACCACTTGACTTCAAGCTCCCCAGTCATGCTTGCACATCACATAAAATTGTCTAGAGTAAAGATTTGATCACTCACTTTATTTTAGGGATGATGGCAGAAGTTTGTTGGCTTGAAGACATCATTCTTGTGTTCAGTTGTTGTTCTAGCTGTTCCATGTGATTTATCCTAGAGGCTAAAGAATCAATTTCTTCTTCAATTCCACCCTGGAATGGTAGTCTAGTTACAGGAATGTAATCAGTACAGTACTGTACATGAATATATTAAATGCAAGACTTGAAATTTGTACCAATAGTAAATACAAGCTATATCTTAGACCTAAAACAAGGCTGAACCTTATGGTTAAATTTTCATCCATGTAGAGGTCAAGCACTCGATGGTCATCATAATTGTCCTTGTTCAATCTATACTGATGGTGGCATGCGTAATAACAGTTTTACAGGAACTCCTGTGAACAACCTAATTTTAACCTTAAGCTGTACAATATACAACTTTAAGCTCGTCCCTCGAGTCATGGGTCACTTCCCCAAACCCCATATTTCCTGTTGGACCCAGACCTTTTCAGCCAGGGTTTCTCCAACCACAGGAGAATTTTAGAACATAACCCCTGTGTTTGGTGAGGGATTACTGTACCTGTAAGTGTGTCTTCAGGCGTTAATATTACTTTCTACAAATATATATATATATATATATATATATATATATATATATATATATATATATATATATATATATATATATATATATATATACAGTGAGTTCTGCTATAACGCGTGTTTTGATAACGCGATTTATGAATAGAGGAACGATATTTGTTTAACGCGAACGCTTGTTTGCTATAACGTGATTTTTGCTAACTATTTCTCCAATTTTGTGGTATTAACTGTGAATATGGTAAAGAAGAATATCTCCAAGAAGCGTTCTGGTGATAGAATTCCCGGTGATGATCGTAAAAGAAAGGCTATAACCCTTGAAGAGAAGCTCGATGTTATCAACCTCAAAATCACCCTTTTCCCCCATCAAGTTACATTCATATTTTTTCAAGGTAAAGTGTTACATTTACTGTATGATTTCATTATTAGATATGAATGTAACATTTATTTAGACTGTGCTATCCTTTGTGTTAAGGCTAACTACTAAATTTTTTCGATTTCGAGTAATCTGCACCTAACCCTATTTTCTCCATAAGCCCTGTTATTTCTATTACGCGATTTTCTATAACACGATATTTTACAAGAACACAATTATCGCCATAGCAGAACTAGTAACTATTATATATATATATATATATATATATATATATATATATATATATATATATATATATATATATATATATATATATATATATACACAGTAACCTCGCTTAACGTAATTTGATGAATTAACTGCCTTCCATAAGGATCTTCAATTCAAGTTAAAAAAAATTCGTTAACGTTCTCTACAATCACCTCAACATGTTTTTGTTGCACTGACCGGCAACCAGCTTTAGTATCAGTCCGCCAATACATTAATCGGTTCTAGGGCTTAAATTCCTTACTATTTTAGTAAATATCAAGAAGTTTATACTATTCAATAATTTTAAAAGTTTAATATTCAATTTTTTAGTCATTTTAACAATTATTGAACATAACTGAAGGTAAAGTGACTAGTTTAATGCGCGGCATCCAGCCTCTTAACACAGCAAACAGGAGTTAGTCTCTCTCTGTTTTCACTGGAGGTAACATCTTGCTTGAGACTCTCTTCAACTAAATGCTTTTTTTCTGTGTTTCCAAGCAAATTATTGGTCATTTTGAAATATATTTTACATATTGACAATATATAATGCAGTGCAGTGTTGATTTAAAGAAAATAATCTTGAATTACACCAAGAGAGCTAAAATTTTATGGGTGAAATGGCACCATGGGGTGACTTCCCTTCCACCCCAATGCCTTCTCTTTTTCCTTCTCCTCCACCCTCATTCTAAATCCCATCATCATCATCATCCAGGAGCCTTCTACATACACACCTCAAAGTAAGTGAACTTTTCTACCATTTTTGTTGAATTTAAGAAATTTTCGGTGAGCTGGAACCATTACCCAAAAACCCATTGAAACAATGGTTTCAAGTTAATCAACTTTTCGTTAACGGACGACCTTCTGGAACGGATTGGAGTTCGTTAAGGTCAGGGGTATGTATATATATATATATATATATATATATATATATATATATATATATATATATATATATATATATATATATATATATATATATATATATATATATATATATATATATATATATATATATATATATATATATATATATATATATATATATATATATATATATATATATATATATATATATCAACTAACAGTGAATCACAGCAAACATTTCACCTTTTTTCTGTTTGCCTGAGCAAGTTCGGACAATAGTTTCCCTGCTTGTGGCCCCTGAGTCTGTGATCGAATGTCATCTAGTACCGACATCTCTGTTTCCTCCATACACAGTAGATCTGATAATAAGAAAATCCATTAGAATGTCTTGTAGATGAAGCTATTTCATCAGATACATACAGTAATTTGTATTACACTACTATGACATGTAACTATGCAGTTTCATGAGGTCCAGGACACCAGGAAGGTAACTGAATTTAGTTACATGAACAAGAAAAAAGAGAGTAAATGAGGGAAAGAGCAAAGCATGAGAAAGGGAAAAAAAATAAAAGAATGTATAGAGCAAGAAATGCCTGTATTCCAAAACAGGTGATGATTTCCATTTCTCAGCCCATAGGAAACTAGTCACCCCTACACCTAAAAGCCCAGCTGGTGAAGAACATCTATTTTCAAGTGGTAAAAAAGGGAGTTAAATACTTCTATAACCTCAGATCCTTGTGGGTAGTTACCACCATAACGGTTTTACCTTTTCCTTGCCCTTCCTTAAAAAAACACAATGACAGGCTTGGGGACTTAAGTTTCACATGGTTCTGCATGAAGAATGGGAGGCTAGAAATAATCTCCAGCTAATGTGAGGTAAGTGGCTTAAGAGGGTATTATTTCCCCTTAACAAACATCCCCTTACTGTGACAAAATTGATACATTGTACCAATTTGCAAATTTATCTTGAAATCAATGATGGTACAGTAGACAAAAGAATTGGCATGAAGTGCGCTAATTGGAAAGACAACCCAAAAACCTTCTTGTCTCTAGAGGGCAACTATTGCACCTAGTTACCCTCATTAAAGTATGGAGTCCCTAGTCCCCAGGGGCATACCGTATAAGAAATTATTTTGAGTATCAGCCACATACACAAAAGCAATTAAGTGTTAACTTTTACAGTGTAAATGAGCCTGGACAAAACTACAGGTAGAAAGAATGGGGTAATACTTAACGATATCCAGTTAAAGTCTATCCGCTTCGGAAATGAGTGCCCTGCTAATATACGGTACAGTAATTATATTAACAAACAAAGGTTCCTAGCCAGATAAAGGTAAAAAAAAACACCTTTAATTATCTCCTTCATAGATTGGAGTTCATAATCCACGGTAGCAGTGGCAGTGACCATGCCATCCTTTGCAGCTGAGAAAGAAGCACCAACTTTACTGTTGGCGACCAATGACATAGCTTGAAATGTCATCTCATTCAGAACCTTCATCTCCCTCTCTGTGTTAGCCTCTCCTTCATTCTCCTGCATCTTGAAAGCCTATTTGGGATAAAATATAAAAATTGGTTACAACTTCCAAGATGGAACTGTGGGATCCCTAGGTGGTCTGCTCTTTGTTTGTATACACTCGGACCAAGCGTACCCCCATGTCCACAAAAAAATAAAATAAAATAAATAAATCTAAAAATAAAATTACACCATGCCACTTAAAGAAAGTTGCCTCTATTGGTGCTGTATTGTACCAGGTAACAAAGTACTTATTGTTTAATATGGCGAGGGATCTGCCCCCAGCTAGGAAGTTAGGTAGGTTTCTTTGGTTGGATAGGCCAGATCCTACTAGGTTCTGTTCATGGCTGTTTCATTTTTATTAATTACTATCATCCAAGGAACATCTGTGGAAAAAAACAACGTAAATATTCGTTTAATGGCTGTGGCTTCTTTTTGTCATGATAATTTTTTTTGTGTATTTAGATGTGTTTTACTCAAATCTGACCTTAATTTTTTGGAAAAAATTTTCATTTTTATTTTTTTTATACAAAATTCACTTATTTGCACAAGAAATGAATGTCAGATTTGACTAAAACAGCTAAATACACATAAAAAAAATATTCTCATAACACTTTCAACTTCCAAATGTGTTGAAGCTTAACCATAACTAATCAACCTGACCTACCTAACCTAACCAAACATCAGCTGATGTGGGTTTTTTCCGATAATGTTTTTACTTGCCACAGCCATTAAACTAATATTAATAAAAATTAAACAAAATCGAACAATGCATTCTGGTGATACCCATCGGCTACAAAATTACCAAATTTATTACCATGCTTCCTTGCTCCCCTGCCGGCCTTGCTTTCTGTGCTTTAGAACAAGTGTTTAAAAAAATTACTAAGTAAAGTACTGTACTGTAATTATTCGGTTAATATTCGTTTAATGGTTGCAACAAGAGTTTCGTATTTGGTTATTCTAAGTTAGGTTAGGTTAAATTTCAACTGATTTGGAAGTTGAAATTTTTATGAGAATAGGGTAATTATTGAAGACCTCACAGCCACTGATTTTTCAAAGAAAACGAATTTAAAAATGCTGTAATTTCATTGTTTTATAGTTTACACTGTCATAGTTATGGAAAAGTGTTAAAAAGTGGTTATTCCTCAATTAAATCTAACCTGACCTTAGTTGATAAAAAAAGTGTCATAAGCATTGTTAGAAGACCTCATCAACCTAACCAAAAACCTACCTAACCTTACCTAACTTCCTAGCCCTGAGGTTCAACCCTCTGGACCCCCCAGCATATTAAACAAAAAGAACTTACTAATATATAGTGTAATTTTACATGTTTTGTGTGCATGAGACCAAGCACGCATACACTAGCAACTGGTGATCAGAGATGAGTGGCTGGGAACTGCCTCATCACACCGATAAAGACAAAGTAGTGTGTGCCTGGTTGACTAATTATCTACCAAATGAAGCAATTTCCATAAAAAATTATTATTATATCAGAACACACTGAAAATATAATAAGAAAATAAACATAAAGACAAATGCATCAGTTGTGAAGTCACCCAGTCCAGTCTAGTCTAGAACATTTTTTGTGTGTAAATGAAAGAAAGATTATATTAAAATACACCCAAAAACAACCTATTTCATAACAAAAAGGAGCCACGGCCATTAAACGGACATATGGTTTAGCCAGTGTTCAGTCACCCCACCACCAGTAGACAGGGTGTGGAGGATAGGCACGGGTGACGGTAATTATCACAGAAACACCAGCTAAATCATGTCGGCATGCTAGTGTTTGTGGAATAATAGCTCATTTACTAAAAGTTACACCATAAAACACTTTACCAAACGTACAATTTATCTCTAACAGAAGCAGCATCACAGCCTCAATAACGGGGTCGCCAAACTACTGTATTAACAATGGTAATCTTAATATGCCAATACTTATAAAGTTACTGAGACTATTTACGCAATAAAAAATAAATAAACGCTTAAAACACTCACAAAAGGTAAAATAAAGCTAAGGACAGGAGCAACTTACCTTGACGAGTATTTAAATCTTCAAAACTTGTTGCCGTTGTGTCCACTGAATAACCGATATAATAGGTTCACTTTTTTATTAGACCTAGAATAAGAATTTTGAATTTAATGTTATAAAATACCAAATGATATTAGAAGAGGGCTATTTTTTTTTTTACTTAATTTAAGACAGACTTGACCAGCACAGGTTGTGTAACCAGAGAAATGACCGACCGGATAATAAGCTGATAAGTGGTTTTTTTAAATCACAATTACTGTATCACACTTAAAATATCAGAAAAAAATATATATCCTAATTCCTCATTCGTTTTAAATCAATTTTGATCATCAAATAACTCGCTTTTCTACTATTTCTTTCATCCTCTTCGTCACTGATGATGACTGATCGGCAAGTACTGGCTCTCTATTACTCACTGTTACCAAGTACTGTCTATGTTACTCACTGTTAGTAAGTACTGGCTCTCTATTACTCACTGTTAGTAAGTACTGGCTCTCTATTACTCACTGTTACCAAGTACTGTCTATGTTACTCACTGTTAGTAAGTACTGGCTCTCTATTACTCACTGTTACCAAGTACTGTCTATGTTACTCACTGTTAGTAAGTACTGGCTCTCTATTACTCACTGTTACCAAGTACTGTCTATGTTACTCACTGTTAGTAAGTACTGGCTCTCTATTACTCACTGGTTACCAAGTACTGTCTATGTTACTCACTGTTGGCAAGTACTGGCTCTCTATTACTCACTGGTTACCAAGTACTGTCTATGTTACTCACTGTTGGCAAGTACTGGCTCTCTATTACTCACTGTTACCAAGTACTGTCTATGTTACTCACTGTTGGCAAGTACTGGCTCTCTCTATTACTCACTGTTGGCAAGTACTGGCTCTATTACTCACTGTTGGCAAGTTGGCAAGTACTGGCTCTTATTACTCCAATGTTACCAAGCACTGTCTTATGTTACTCACTGTTGGCAAGTACTGGCTCTATTTTTCACTGTTGCGGGCATTGCTTTATTACTATTGTTGGTAAGTACTGGTTTATTACTATTGTTGGCAAGTATTGGCTTCTAGCACTCACTGTTGGTAAGCATTGGTCAGACATTTCACTGTTGGCAAGTGCAGGCTCTCTATTACTCTATTGTTGTGCGTACTGGCTCTATTACTCACTGTTGGCAAGTACTGGCTCTTCTATTACCACTGTTGGCAAGTACCGGCTCTATTACTCATCAAGTTGGCAAGTACTGGCTCTATTACTCACTGTTGGCAAGTACTGGCTCTCTATTACTCACTGTTGGCAAGTACTGGCTCTATTACCACTGTTGGCAAGTATTGGCCTCTATTACTCACTGTTGGTAAGCACTGGCCTCTATTACTCATCATCAAGGTTGGTAAGTACTGGTTTATTACCACTGTTGGCAAGTACTGGTTTTATTACTACTGTTGGCAAGTACTGGCTCGACATTTCACTGTTGGCAAGCATTGCTCTATTATCACTGTTGGCAAGTACTGGTCGACATTTTACCATTGTTGGCAAGTACTGGCTTCTTATTAGCTCACTGTTGGCAAGTACTGGCTCTATTACTCACTGTTGGCAAGTACTGGCTCTATTACTCACTGTTGGTAAGTACTGGCTCTATTACTCACTGTTGGCAAGTAATGGCTCTATTACTCAATTGTTGGCAAGTACTGGCTCTATTACTCACTGTTGGTAAGTACTGGCTCTATTACTCACTGTTGGCAAGTAATTGGCCTCTATTATCTACTGTTGGCAAGTACTGGCTCTATTACTCCACTGTTGGCAAGTACTGGCTCTATTTTTCACATTGTTGGTGGGTACTGGTTTATTATTACTGTTGCGGCTGGTTTTCACATTATTGTTGGTAAGTATTGTTTTATTATTTGCTGCCAGTGGCATTGGTTTTCTATTACTATTGTTGGTGCATTGCCTTCTATTACTATTGTTGGCAAGCATTGGCTTCTAGCACTCACTGTTAAGTAAGTACTGGTTTTATTACTCATCATTGTTGGCAAGTGCAGGCTTTATTACTATTGTTGGCAAGTACTGGCTCTCTATTACTCACTGTTGGCAAGTACTGGCTCTCTATTACTCACTGTTGGCAAGTACTGGCTCTATTACTCACTGTTGGCAAGTACTGGCTCTTATTACTCACTGTTGGCAAGTACTGGCTCTTCTAGCACTCACTGTTGGCAAGTACTGGCTCTCTAATATTCATTGTTGGTGAGTACTGGTTTCTCTATTACTCACTGCTGGTGAGTACTGGCTCTATTACTCATTGTTGGTGAGTACTGGCCTTCTAGCACTCACTTGCTGGCAAGTACTGGCTCTATTACTCACTGTCAGGAGCACTGGTTTCACACTCACTGCTGGTGAGTACTGGCTCTCTATTACTAACTGTTGGTGGCACGGCTCTACACTGCTGGTACTATTCTATTACCACTGCTGGTGAGTACTGGCTCTATTACTCACTGTCAAGAGCACTACCTCCCCACACTAATTGCCTAAGAGCACTGGCCTCTGTCACTCACCGTCAAGTGAGCACCGGCCTCTGTCACCAATAAGGCACTGGCCCAGCACCTGTCAAGCAAGCACTGGCTCCCCCATTTCATTCATTGTTGGTAGCATTGGTTTACACATTGCTGTGAGTACTGGTTTACATTTCATTGCTGGCAAGTACTGGTTTCTATTACTCATTGTTGGTAAGTACTGGCTTTATTACTCATTGTTGGCAAGTACTGGCTCTCTTATTACTATTGTTGGCAAGTACTGGCTCTCTTTCTAGCACTCACTGTTGGCAAGCATCATTTCATTACTCACTGTTGGCAAGTGCAGGCTCTTTTATTACCATTGCTGGCAAGTACTGGCTCTCTATTACTCACTGCTGGCAAGCACTGGCTCTCACACTCACTGCTGGCAAGTACTGGCCCCATTACTCACCGTTGGCAAGTACTGGCCTCTATTACTCACCGTTATGTAAGCACTGGCCCCTCAGCACCACTGCTGGCAAGTACCGCCCCCACACTATAAGTGAGTACTGGTTTTGGCTCACTGTTGGTGAGTACTGGCTTTACACTTGTTGGTAGCATTGCTTCTAGCACTCACTGTTGGTAAGCATTGGCTTTCTATTACTCACTGCTGGTGAGTATCATTACTCACTGTTGGTGAGTACTACTTATTACAACTGTTGGTGAGTACTGGTTTCTATTACTCACTGTTGGTGAGTACTGGCTCTCTATTACTTCACTGTTGGTGAGTACTGGCTCTATTACCTCACTGTTGGTGAGTACTGGCTCTCTATTACTCACTGTTGGTGAGGCACTGGCTCCCCACACCACTGCTGGTGAGCACTGGCCTCTGTCATCTACTGCTTGGCAAGCACTGCATTCTGTTAACTCACTGTCAAGGCACTGGCCATTCTCTATTCACCTACAGGAGTATTGGTTTTCTATTACCACTGTTGGTGAGTACTGGTCGACATTTCACTGGTAAGTACTGGCTTTATTACTTCATTGTTGGTAAGCATTGCTTCTATTACTTTATTGTTGCGGGGCATTGGCTTTCTATTACTTGGTTGTTGGCAAGCATTGGCTTCTATTACTTCACTGTTGGTGAGTACTGGTTTCTATTACTACTGTTGGTGAGTACTTGGCTCTTTCTATTACTCACTGTTGGTGAGTACTCGCCTCTGTTACTCATTGTTGGCAAGTACTGGCTCTCTAGCACTCACTGTTGGCAAGTACTGGCTCTCATACCACTGTTGGTGAGTACTGCCTCTATTACTCACTGCTGGTGAGTACTGGCTCTATTACTCACTGTCAAGCACTGGCCTCTATTACTCCATTGTTGGCAAGCACTGGCCTCTATTTTCATTTCCATTGTTGCGGCATTGGTTTTATTACTTATTGTTGGCAAGCATTGGTTTTCAGCACTCTCTGTTAAGTAAGTACTGGTTTATTACTCACTGTTGGCAAGTGCAGGTTTATTACTATTGTTGGCAAGTACTGGTTTCTAGCACTCCACTGTTGGCAAGTACTGGCTCTATTACTACTGTTACTAAGTACTGTCTATGTTACTCACTGTTAGTAAGTACTCGGCTCTCTATTACTCTCACTGTTAGTAAGTACTGGCTCTATTACTCACTGTTACTAAGTAATTATGTTACTCACTGTTGGCAAGTACCGGCTCTCTATTACCAACTGTTGGTGGTACTGGCTCTCTATTACTCACTGTTGGTGAGTACTGGCTCTCTAGCACTCACTGTTGGCAAGTACTGGCTCTCTATTACTCACTGTTGGTGAGTACTGGCTCTATTACCCACTGTTGGCAAGTACTGGCTCTCTATTACTCACTGTTTGCAAGTACTGGCAATCTATTACTCACTGTTGGTGAGTACTGGGTCTCTATTACCCACTGTTGGCAAGTACTGGGTCTCTATTACTCACTGTTGGTGAGTACTGGCTCTATTACCCACTGTTGGCAAGTACTGGCTCTCTATTACTCACTGTTGGTGAGTACTGGCTCTATTACCCACTGTTGGCAAGTACTGGCTTCTGAATGTATTTGTACGTCAGTCAAGTCTGGTCTTGAATGAGTTCATACTCGGTGCTGTCACAACACCCTCTGGTAGATTGTTCCAGTTTACAATTCTCACCCTAAAAAAGTTTTCCCCCTCACAGTTTTCTGGACCTGTGGCTTCTTCAACCTTGAACTGTGAACCCTAGTGGGGCAGGCATCCACCTCCTCCAGGTATGGACACTCAACTAAGTAATGTCCTCCGTGATTTTTGTAACTTTTATTAAGTTACCCTTGCAGTATTTATTGACGACATACTCTTCGCTGATTTTTTTTTTTTTTTAATACTCCAATTTCACAGTGTTTTGCAGTGGATACTGATGTAATTTGGGCAAATGTGTTGAAACGGGGTTATTTCTAAATTAAACCTAACATAACCTTAGTTGATAAGAAACGCATGCAGCAAAGCATTGTTAGAAGACTGCATGATATCAACAGGAAATAAATAAATATCCTTACCGCAGGTTGGCAACACCGGTGCTAGGAAGTCGAGAATGTTTTCGAAGTGGCATGTGATGCAGTAGTAGCAAGGTTAAACAACACTAATTTGTAGGCAGTACTGTATGAGGTACAGGACACTTGTTTTACTCTATTAATACTTTTTACACTATTAACAATCATTATTACTGATCTAGTAATTTATCACAATACTATACTAGACTTGGGGGTAGAAACACATGGTGAAGCGAGTCAAGTCCTAGGGTAAGATTTCTACATCACAAAAGCTGAGAAGAGGCTGGGAGGCTCTCATGTGTGAGTGAGTGAAAGATACATCTACTTGGCAACATAATCTAGCCTGGCCCATCCTTTTTATTCAAATAGGCCCGCGAAAAATCTAAATGTCATGTGACGTGACCCAAAGCTCTACATACACGTCATAGGACGTGATCCGAAGCCTTGGGGTTAATAAAGGATGTCATACAATCAAACACCAAGTTACATACAATCTTTATTTTATGCCAAATATTTTTTTCATGATAAACAAGTCAGTACAATCTATCAAAGGCTAGAGTAAAGACTGGTATAAAATAATAATAATATTTCATTCATTAAAGTTTTATTCACCTCAAAAACAGAAATCCAAAATCCACATATCATTAGCTATATAATTTCAGTATATGCTTTGATTCTTTAAGCCTTATGGAGTTAAAGCACATACTAAGGACTCAAGGAACACCTTTAGCAGTCTTCAATGAAATAGTGATTTGAGTTTGTTATGGATGTTCTTAATTTTATCATTATGAAGCAACACACAGCTGAAAACTTTCTAGTTCTACGCTGCCTCGCCTACACTTACAATGTGTGGTAGGTCTTTGATACCATCCTTGGAGATGACTCGAACACGGAACTTTGGAAGGTTGATGATAAATCTCCTCTTAATTTCTGCAATGCACTTCTTTAAAAGTTCATATGCTTGTTCCTGGTTCATGTCTGTAAAAAAAAGAAGTGCAAATACAGTATATAGTAATTGTACATATTATTGATATAAACTGCACTGTAATGTGCTGGGTAGATGTGTCAAAGTGTACAGGAAGAGTATAAATGGAATACCAAGTACTGTACTGTACAGTAGACCCTTGCTATTCCCAGTTCACTCCCCAAAAATCTATTTTACATAAACAGCTTCTTCCCTTCTCATAATCATCCTCTGGGTTACACACAAAGCAGACCTACTGGCTGGTCAGCTGTTTGCACATCTGCACACGAGATCTCACGCCAGCGAATTGCTGTTCAACACTACAACCTCATCCAGCTCATATGAGCACGTTCCAATTGCTGTAAGAACAGCCTAATCCCATTGTAAAAATTATCAACAACTTGTAGTTAACCTGTGTGTTCACTCTCAGCCAGTCTTACTTTTGCACTGTAAGGTAGTTATGTCTTTGGAAGGGGGAGGAATGGTTGGTATATTGTTTGATCTTCAGTTATAAAATGAGATTCTAGGGTCAATTGTCCATTTATGAACTTAAAGTCAGAATCAAATAACTCTGTACAGTACCACCAAAAGAAAAAAAGGAGGTAACAGATACCAAGTTTCCAAGCATGATGCTATGGGTAAGCAGAGTGTAGGGGAGGAGGAGCCCTGCACAGTGTAAACATACTGTTCAAACATTTGTTCTCCATGTTTTTATGTATACAGGTTGTACCTCTCTAGTCCGGCATTCTGTGGTCCGGAAACTCCCGTGGTCTGGAACGATTTTAGTTTGCCCATGGAGAAAATTAATTTGAGTCTGGTACTTTTGATGTTTGGCTAAATTTTGCCTTATTTACCCGACTTTTTTGGCGAATTATTACCTGTAATAAGCAACATCCTAATAAACCAACGAAAATAACACAAAATTAAATAAAAACTAAAAACAACTAAAAAAAGTTCTTATGTTCTACAGCTTCAGCTAGAGTTGAGCATAAGTCACCGGAGTAAAAACACACACAACAACATTGGCTGTCCTTATGTTTTCAACTTTACCACCACTGGTGGGTAGAATTTTTTTTTTAATTCAGAAACATTAAATAAAATATATATGAACAGTAAGTAAGTGTTGCTTTCATATTCTTAGGTACTGTATAGTAATGACGATATGTTTTCACATGTGCGCACTTACATATGTGAGCTCACTTTTTTCTTTACCATTAATGGTTAGCTACTTATATTGTTCCATTTATTAACATTAAATAACATTACTTAAAACATCCATATTAATTTTTTACATTAATTTTACAACAGCTACAACCAGGATCTTATCTTCTTCAGTTTTATATGTAAATCCACTCAGTCACTGGTTTTGTAATCAACGAAAACAATCCCGTCTCGTTTCCTCGTGTGTTTTAATATTCTACGTATTATTAATGGATTGTATTGTTCATTTTGCACACATAAAAATTAATTAAATCAAAGACATTCAGTAATAAACAATAATGAATCTTTTGCACAGAAGAGAAATGACACTGTTTACACGATTTATACACGTATGAACGTTGGCGGGCCGCTCAAACCCACCGAAATTTGAGTTTCCCCCGTCAAAATTTTAAATTGCGTAGAGGTTTTTTTTTTCCAAATAAAAAACATTGAATTAAAAACTCCCAAAATTTGAGAACCTACTGTACAACATTTAACCCTTCAATATATCTTCAAACAGACCACGAAGCAGTGAAAGTGGTGCTAGTGCTTCCAAGCGTAAGCACAAGTCACTATCTATCCAGGAAAAGGGTGAATTTCCATGGTCCGGAAATTTCCATGGTCTGGCACCGGTCAGGTCTCGAGGTTGCCGGACTAGAGAGGTACAACCTGTATCCTCATTATGAAAGAGAAAGGGTAATAAAATGCAAATGCAGAAAGATTCCATGAATCTTTGCAGGTGATAATCTCTGTCAGTGATGGGCAACCTGTGGCCCATCAGAGTCTATTGGTAATTAAAACCTGGATACCAACATGACTTACCCAGGGCAGGTGGAGTAGCTTCTTTGACAATCAAATACAGGTAATTATCTAAAGGGAGTTCCCCCCCCCCCCAAAAAAAAGAAATATGTACCCCTCTTTAGGGCAATTAATCCCAAAGAGGTGGTTTACTAATTATTACAATTAGATCCAGCAACTAACACTAGATTTTCTGGGGCTTTGTCCAACAGTCTAATGAATGCATTCCATTTGAAATACCCAGTGAAGGGTTGCTGGCCAATAATATAAAGTGTATTTTCTTCAGGTATTGAGCTAAAAAGAAATATATACTTACTGGAAGTATAATCCTTGTCCATAATTGATAGGGTGAACATACCACCGTACCCAAATGCATAATATTTGACTGGAACGGATGCTGCCAAGTAGTCCATAAAGAAGAGCTCAGGTTTCTTGGTGTCAGGATCAACCCCACCCATCAGTAAATTCACAAAGTATGGCTCCTGTCAACACAAAATAAGTCTTAAGTTGATTGTACTGTACAGTACACTTGTTGTATTTTCTAATTATTAATTATTATCATTAGAGTCAGACACATCAGTATAATTAATAAAAAGGACAGATTATGGGACAACCAAGGCCTCAGTGAGTTGTTAGTGAACAACAAGTAACGAACATCCCATTGACTTTAACCACAAGAGCATTGTGTGGTGAGCCTCAGATGCCTAGGAAAAACTAAATACAGTAAAAATAAAAATTCATCAACATGGTAATGAAATAGTTTTGGCCCTTCAGAAAGGCAGCAGGGTAGTTATTATGCAGTTTATTGAAAAATACCCTTTTCCCAATTTTATGATAAAAACCTAATTTTTCATTGGCTAATGATAAATAGAGCCAGATATGAAAACCTCATTGGTTCTTTGTGTTGGAAATGTAATACAAAATACTTCCTAACAGTATTTAGTTTTGGAAAAGTAATATATTACAAAAGTTTCTATCAGTACCTTCACATTTTAATAGTAAATTCACACCAATAGGGAACTCCTGTGAAATCCTAATGCACACCTAAGGGGTTACTAAAAGTGGTTCCTTATTGTCACCATTACTTCATTTCTAACTAACACAACACAATTGTGCCAACCACGTTTTTGTACACTTGATGTAACAAAGAATGAGGAATACAGTTTGCAGTCAATTACATCATGACAACACTATCATCCCATTATCACTAATATCTGAGATTTAAGGCATCATTCTTACAAGCTTTGTGAGATTATCATCATCATTGTTTTATGGTAATTTCCCCTGCTTGTGTGGATTGGCTGTGACTACATGATGCTTGATAAATGACTCACTGGCTATAATTAATACAGCATTCAGTAATACAGACCAACTATTACATCTTCTGGAGGAGGATAGATCCATAGACCTTTTTAAATACAGCATAACAACATCATCCCTGACTTTGCACATGACTGACCCTGGAACGCAGATGTGTAGAAAGTGTGTGACGTGTGAAGTGAACTGCAGCAGAAGGTGAGAGCTCATAGCCATTGCGCATCTTATACAGCTGAATGTTCTTGGCGATGTATTCTGCAAATTGGGTGGTGTCTCCTGCCTCCCCAGACACGGCCATCACTAAGTTGCGTGACAGTGTGTGCATCTTATCATCATCTGTTTAGGTGCCAACCATTAAAAATATAAAGCATAAGAACAAGTACACATTTAGGTATAGAGAAAGGGTACTGTACAATAATATTAAGACAGTGTTAATGAAATAGTACATTGATCAAAAACAGAATTTAAAAAAAAATAATGGAATACTATTGTACTGAGATAGGCCTATTATAAAATGCACACAAATGATGAGATTGGTCTAAAAAGAAATACACAAAAGATGGGGGTTAGTCTAAAGGCCTACACAAATAATGGAATTACTGTATTGTTGAATTATTCTGATTAGCTTGATAATATTTGTCTCCATTTCTCATTCATGGTTTTCAATTCTTACAATAATGCATGGAAATTATGGTATATAACATGGCTTCTTTGTTTTTGAGCTTAAGTCTATGACAGTGGGTCCTGTAAGCTAGACAGCCTATTATGGGAGGTGTGAACCGAGCACACAAAAAGGAAGTGCGAACAGTAGTACTGTACACTCTACTGCCTTCACTTCCCCAACTAAAGCTTAGTACTGTACACATTCACAGCTGGGGGATGCCCAAGTGCTATGTACAGGTGTTAAAGTTTTCTACAAAGACAGATGTACTGATGAAGGGTAATTGGGATAAAAAGATTAGATTCTTGTGTCTCACCTGATTTTTGTACCATGATGCTCTGTAGATGGCTCATGTCAGTGGCCATCAAAACAAAGTCATCAAACTTGATACCTGCAATAAAAGGAGAACTTTACCATGGAGAATAATGCTAAGCTCTGGCTTTGATAATTATCACCAAGACTTTTTTGAAATTACAGTACAGTTTATACAGGTTCAAGTAACATGGCTACAGACACACTATAAAACAAGCAAGCAGGCATAAACAATTAAACAAAATTAAATTACCGTGGTAGTTTTGGGTGTGACAAAACCATAAAATCTACTGAATTATACCAGTATGGCTTAACATGTTCCAGTCAATTACAGTTGTAGTATTTAGTTTAATAGCAATATAAAATATTAGGTTGACATTATGTCATACTGTACAAAATAAACACACTAATGAAATGTAGATATAAGATTTTGTGTACAGTATTATAATTTATATGATAACAGCAATGTTTTTGGGATAGGTTCGTCAGTTCCTTCATATAAATTATTTTTCTTTGAAGATGATAATAGAAGAGAATTAGTATTTTAGGTTAGGTTATTTTAGGTACCGAGTAATGCAGATTAGTTGGGTTCATTTTGTGGATGAAATATTATATAATGTAGCATTGTCTGCTACTTCAGAATGTTAGCAGTTGCCAAGAGTTTCTGTTGTAATTGATTGTCAAGGTCCGGAAATATGAAATCATAAAATGAACCAACCCAAAATAATAGTTATCATCTATATAAAAAGATTCCTGTCTATAAAAATAATCATCAAATCATTCCTGTTGAAAAAAAAAGTTGTGATGTAGCATCTTGGATCTCTCAACAGTACACGAGTGTTCACAACATAAAAAGTCGTGAAAATTATATTACACAAAACGTTTTCCTCATCCACTTTTTCTTCTTCACATGATGAAAAAAAAATTTCTTTGGTAATACCTGACAATGTGCACACACCTAAACCACCAACTTCAGGACATTTCTCCTGAGAAGATTAATGTCTCTTAACTCATAAAAAGGACAAAAAGTCGAAACAGAATAGGTTTTGCATAATATAACTTTAATGACTTTTCTGTTCTGAACACTCGCCTAATGTTGGGATATTAGACTTTCGAAGTCACGGGGACTTTTTGTTTTCATCCTGGAAGGCTTCATAGTTCCTTAAACACAGGTTTTTTTTTTGTCTATATAAAAGTATCACTGTATTTTAAGTTAGGTTAGGTTGGTTCCTTTCATGAATGAATATTCCCAGACATTGGTGACCAAATCTACAACACCTTGCAACAGCAACTGCTAACATTCTGGAAGAATATACCACATATTGCTACATACATATATAATTTATTGTTCATAAAACAAACCTAACCTATCTAACTTAACCTATTAAACTAATTATCTTATATTTCATCTTAAAATAGTGGTTTCTTCTGTCAGGATGAATATGTAAACTATCACCGGAAGATATTTAAGGTTCTAAGGTTATCTTGTATATTCAACAGGCATAAAATTACAAGGCTTTTGTTAAAATTTGGCAAGACTGGGAACTTTCCGAGTGTCACTGCTGCATTCCATATCTTTCATAAAATCAACCAATTGAATCTCCCCATAAATAATATCCATCTAGCCCCTTGGAGCCAGGGTTCCTAAATCTTACATTTCTCATTAATACTCCCGCAGACAGGACTACGGAATGATCACTTGCTTAGGCATTAACAGTGTTTCTCTGCTCTTCTCCCTACAAAGGTCTGGGTTACTCTCTTTAGTGTTGATAGTGATTCAAGGATAACACTTACCGATGAGACACTCGAGACTCATTTTGGTGTAATAATGAGAGAGGGAGTGAGATAGAGCCCGGTGTGCTGTGACTTGCACTTGTGGTAAACAACATCAGCGTTCATTATACAATTATAATTTTAATTCGTAAATTTACAAAGTTTTATTTGATTTGAATATATTTTTCATACAATAAATATTTTGAAAGACAAAGAAATGCACAATAGATTGACTGCCGTATTTTGACAGATAACTCTACAACATAAGAGACAAACTGACATGCATTAGGTTTATAATATTATCAGAGATGTTTATATCTTTAATCATTCAGGCAATTAATATTTATAATAAAATACCAACATGGGATATTGATTTTTTATTAGAGAAAAAAAAGGATACACCATTATGAAGGATTACAGTAAATAGGTTTTTAGATAAAATAAGTTTTAGATACTCGTGTCTTTATGCATAAGGTAATAAAAACGTATTAAAATAATTGTATTTAAATAGAGATAGTATTATAATGGGTGTGTGTTTAACAGTATAGTGAGGTGTGAGGTGCGCCCACTGTTCCTCGCCTGTCATTCCGGGTGCTGGCCGTCACCTCTACCATCATCATCATCATCACAAACTCTAGTATTTCTCACATACATCTATAGTTTTAGGTAAGTTACACGAATTATTCTAAAATTTTAAGAATATTTACAGGTAAAGTAAGAATAGGAGACGAGTGGAGAGGGTTATAGGTGAGGGATAAGGAGGAGAAGAAGTGTTTTAGTAGCGGACGTCTTGAATAACTCTTGCCTTCTCTTAAATCTTTTCACCTCTTCTTTGGCACTTCACTTATTTATTTTTATGATTATCTGGAATTTTTATGATCAAAAATGTATTAAACACGGTAGATGTAAAACTGAGGGAGGTGGTATAGATATATGTAACTTGTGACTGACAGGTAGTGCTGGGAGGGGCCAGCTCACACTAATTTGGACGTGACTTTTGTGAATTAGCCTAAATTTAAAAACTAACTTAGGTTTTTATTATGTTAATAATTTACATTGCTATGGTAAAATTATTTGTGAGACTTTATATAGAAGAATCAAGAAGAGTGTAACCACCCGAGGAACTGCTATTTTTATACAGTATTTCATTTTTTTTTTCAGTAATTTTCTTTCTGAAGAATTCTAGATTCACTCACTGCCTTACTTGATGGTTTGTTAAAGTAGTGCTGGCAGTGATCATGATATTTCCAAGTAATTATATTTTTTGTATGTACAGTACTGACAGCAGTGACCAGCAAGGATTTATCAATATTTTGTTAATTTACATGAAGTAACTTTTCAGGGTAATGCTTTAGGTAATGTATGAGAACACCTCTACCACCAGAAAGAGTTGTTCGATTTTGCTAATTTTACCACAAATGTTCTTATTATTATAGTAAGTATTGTAAAAGGGGCGAAATATATTAGAACCTAATAGAACCAGACCTAACCAACCAAAAAACCTTCCTCCGGTAGGTATTACTGCGGTTTCAGCCCTAATTCGGTTATAGCAATTTTGTGTGGGAGGGTAATAACTCAGTATCCACTCATTTGTGATGGAAATGAAGGTCAATTTCGTATGACTCAGACCAAATACCATGGGAAAAAACAAAAATTTATGGTTGAACATTTGTTGGGGCTGCAACTGCAAATTTACCAAAACCTACCTAACCTTACTTAGCTTCCTAGCGGAGGGGTGGACCCCTCGCCATATTAAACAGAAAGTGCAGTACTTAGTACTTTTATATCTGGTACCAATGAAAGCAGCTTTGTTGAAGTGTCATGGTAATTTTTTTTATCATAATATATTTTTTTTAACAGAGTACACTCGGATCGAGTAGGTCGGATGTAGATAACTAAGCAGATGACAACTTATGCTGAATCAGCAGAGTTTTTGGAGGAGTATTAACGGTAAATAATTTCTTCATGAACAGACTTCATATTAGTTTAATGTGATCAGTTTTTCACTTGAGTTTTACCCTGCAATTCCCCTGATCCTTCATGTCCTGCCCACTACAGGGGATTTATGATTGAAGATAGAGAAAAAGTAATAAAAAATACTTACAATTAAAATCAAATGTTGGCCTCTCGTAAACTAGTACCCGTATAATGATAAGAACATCTATGGGAAAAATTAACGAAATTGAACAACTTCTGGTGGTAGTGGTAACCTCATAAATTACCATACTTTACAACACCAGCTCATGAGAAGGAGCAACTTCTGGAAAATATTCTGAACGTAGTGATGACTGCAGTGTGCCCTCAGCACCAACTTGAGGAAATTTTGCAGTAAAGATAAAAGCTTTTTTACAAAAACTTTTTTACCGAGAGCAAGTTAGAAAATATACTGTAATAATTAAGGAGAATCACCTTGTTATCTAACAACCTAACAAAAATTCTCATTAGAAGTAAATTTACTTAACTCAAGACAAAAGCAAATAAGGTGGAACATTCACACTTTTGAATTCAGGATTTTGTCCGTAGTTTTCCCGCAAACAGTGACAGACACTGATGTCACACACCTGCTTCATGTTACCGTGTCATGAATGACAAATGCAGTGTGTGCACTAATGACTTATCATTGAACTTTCCTCATACAAAATATGTCATTTGCCTACTGAACCTTATAGTACCAGTGTCTAATGTAAAATAATCACAAGACTAGTACAGTACGTGTTTGTAGTATTATTGTTGGTTGATTTTGACACTGGGTTATTGTTGATTGACCCCAAAGATTTGGAAAAATGTTTTATTAGGTGGCCAAATCCAAGATGGCTGCCATCAGTAGCTAATAGGTAAAAACTAAGTGCCATAACTGTGAAACCAGACATACAGTGATTCCTCAATAAACGAACACAATTCGTTCCACAGAGTCGTTCGTTAACCGAAAATTTCCTTAACTGAATCTATTATTTCAATGGGATATTGGGTAATTGGTTCCAACTCACAGAAAAAGTATACCTGTACATACAAAGTACTGTATACAGTGGGGTATGCTATAACGAACGTAATTGGTTCCAGAACCTCGTTCGTTATAGCATTCGTTCGTTATAGAATTAATCCGTTCCGGACCCCCAAATACAACCACTTAACACTGAAAAAATTCTGTGGAAAATGTAAAAAATACGGTACTTTATCTTACCTTAGTGTTATTCAGCATGCAGGTACCCCTAAACACTGGCACATCACTATCACTTCCACTGGGAGTCTTGGCTTTAAGGTCCTCAAACAATTGTCTGGCCTTCTCACAAATTATAGCTTCACTAATGTTACCACCTGCCATTTCTTTCTCCTTTATCCACACTAAGAGAAAATTTTCCATCTCTTCAATCACATTACACCTTGCTTTGCTAAGTCTAAAGGTTCCCTTAGCCACTTGCACAATTTTTAACTCCTCTTTATTCTTCAAAATCGTACATATAGTCGATTTAGCCATCCCATGTTCATCACTAAGTTTCGCAATGCTTCTTCCATTCTCACGTTTCTTTATAATTTCTTTCTTAGTTTCAAGGGTTATTAGCTTTCTCACTCGCTTTGGACAACTTATTGTTACAATTGTATACTTGTATAACAAAATAGTTATACAAATAATGCGAATTTCCACATCAAAAGACGAAATTTCAACAATAACAGTGGTGCACTGGCTACAAAATGAGACAAAGATGGCGCCTGACGCTCTTGTTGTGGGTCGCGGTACAACAATATTCATGCGCCAGGCGAAATAGTCCCGTATTCATCCGCGTTCGTTGTAGGAGTTGCATTCGTTATAGCATTCTCAATTTTATAGGTAAAGCCGTTCGTTATAGGAATATTCGTAGTAGGATCCGTTCGTTATAGCATACCCCACTGTACTGGTAATAGAATTAACAAAACATTAAATATTAACTAAATACAGTACTGTACAGTACTGTACAATAATAAATAAAAAAACAATAGAATACTGTATTTTAACTTACCGGTACTTTGAGGTGTGTCGTATTACCGGCAGCTTTGTTTACACATCAAACAGCTAATTGTAGAGGCAGTCGATGATGCCATGCCATATTCTTTACAGAGTGCATTGGTTCTAATGCCTTCTTCATGTTTCATAATAATTTCTGCACTGTATATTATCAATATGCTAACTAAATTTCAGAATGACCAATAATTTTAATGTACAGTATATATGCAAAAATAATCAAGATACCAACAAAATCGATGTTCACTCCACTGTAAACAAAGTTAAACTGAGAAGGGTTGTTGGGTGATTCAATCAGCTGATGGGCGCACAAAAACTGTTTCTTGTACTGTATATATTATCAATATGTTAACTAAATTTCAGAATGACCAATAATTTTAATATAAATAAAATGCAGAAATATTCAAGAGACCAACTTTCTTGATATTTACTTCACTGGAAACGAATGTAAACATAGAACTAATTACTGTATTGGTGGACTAGCCGATCAGCTGATGTGCACAACAAAACATGTTTGTCGTAAGGATTTAGTTAATCGCAGTTTTGTTCGTTAATCGAACTGAAAATTCTTATGGGAGCTAATTTGTTGACCGAAATTTCGGTAATCGGACCGTTCGTTAACCGAGGGACCACTGTAGACATCTAAGAAGGGCAATACTGTAGTAGTACAGTATCATTTCCAATTGATTTTAACATGTCTGACACATTGAGTGGGTTCACTTTATGATTGGTGGTCAGAATTGATAAATCCAAGATGGTCACCAATGATTAGAAATTTGACAAAGAACTCAATATAAACTATAATTCCTTACCTTTACAATGAGCATGTCATCAGTACATGTACAGTATACGTATTCATCAGGAGGACTCGAAATATCTGCCAGTTATGGGGACACAATTCCAGCCCTTACTAAAGGATGCTGTGAAAAGCCATCAGTCCTGCTTGTGCAGCTAGTAGCATATGGCTGAACCTCAGACAGATTAGGGCTCTCATAAAGAAAATTTTAGTCCGATTACTCCCTGGGAAACAAGGGGGACGTTGCAGGGGTGCTCGGGCTGTTCAACCGGGAGTGAACTCGTAACAATGGTTTTAAATTAGACAAATTTAGATTTAGGCGCGAAATAGAGTAGTGGATGAGTGGAACAAGATACCAAACATCATCATTAACTCGAATACGCTGGATAGCTTCAAACATAGGTTGGGTGGATATATGAGCAATAGGGGTTGGGTGTAAATGGGACAGCCCAGTATGGGCGAATAGGCCCGCTGCAATTTCCTCCATTCTTATGTTCTTCTCTCTTCTTATGATGAACATGAGGGAGGGGTGAATTTGCCTGTGCTGAAGTTGAGACTCCATCATTAACCCTCCCTGTCTGTGTATGTGTCTGTTGGAAGTGTCTTCTGAAGCAAGACATGTTACTATGAGGGACAATTTTTGTTTTTGTCTGTGTTTCTGTATCAATAGAAGACTGTAGAGGTGTGAGTGACAGATCATTCTCATCAATGGGAATGAATTGATTTCTCGGCTGTGTCTTATTTATTGCATTTGGATTAAAAGGAAAAATTAACACTTAAGGAAACCCTCTTTAATACTATGGAGACTCATTAATTGTTCAAATGTTGCTTTAATTACCCTTGGGACATCCTAGGAACCAAGAGAGCTAGGATAGTGAAATTGTTGGCTAGAATGGGATTTTCTCTTCTCAATAAGCACATTATTATTTATTGTCAATTATTGTTGGAAATAAAAATGGGATCCAACGTTTAAGATGGCCCCCAGAATATCTTAAGATGGTCTTCATCAATTGCATCAAAATGTTTAGAAATACCCAACTTTTTAAACAGAGCTTCATAGAAACAAAATTTGTATTGATTTATTGTTTTTTATGAAAACAGAGGCATTTTCATATTCTTTATATTGCATTGTCATTTCATAAGCAAAATCAGTATGGCTTAACACCGTGATGATGAACAACAATTTTGAGCAAATACTGTACTGTATGTAGAAGCAGTGTATTTAGGTTCAGGCCATCAGCAATTTATTATGAGAGCTGAACAACTCACAAAGTTGTGGGGTGAGTAGTTTGATGAGAATGTTTCATCACTGCTCCAGTTTTTTAGCCAAGAGACAACCTTTTCTTGACAGTAGCACCAGGCATCAATCTCTACAACTTTGTAACAAAATATATAGCAGTTGAGAAAGTCAAATGGCAGCTTTTGCAATAATGCTATGAAAGGTTCATACACCAATAAAAAAATAAGTGGAACCTTCCCAGATTCAATACACCCTGTAGTTCAGCCAGGAACTCTATGCCCACTACCAAACCAGAAATGTGTACTGTGAGATTACTAGAGTTTGGGCATTGCCTGGCAGAAGTTGGTGTGTGGACCCCAGGGATTCAGTGTGTGGAAGCTTGGAGTCATGTATGGAGGATTTCGTAGTAAAGCGCCCAGCCATCACTCAGGTGTTTCGATCTATCCTTGACACTTGACCTCTATTAAAGACACAAGCATAGTGCTGTTCAACTCAACATGATCTTGAAATTGCTCCCAGAAAGAGGAATGTCTGTGATTGAAACACTTCAGCCTGATCTAATCTCATGTAGTTCCCTGTTTGAGGGTAATTCTCCCACCAAACTTGACAAACATACAGTACAGTACTTTGTTGCTTGATTTTAAGGCCTATCTGCAACTTGCGGACTATCAATTTTCCAACAATCCTTGTTGTTAACTTTATGTCCAGAATGCATCAACTCCCCAAATTTCCAGCATTCAAAAATTTTGGTGAGGTTATAGGAAAAGTACTAACAAATTCATTTGTTTACAGTGCTGAACAAATGTATATAGTGTTTGATAGCTTCAAAGACATATCAGTCAAGGAATTGGAACAGATTTGTTGGGCAGATCAAGCAGGACCAGTAGACCTAGCAGTTATCACTGAAAGTGTGTCACTTCCTGTCAAAGCAGATAAGTTTGGGCTTCTTGTAATATAATAAAAGCAGTTCACGACTACAGTATTCTAGTGGTGACAAAGGATAGAATGGTGTACTTACAGGGAGTCCCCAGGTTACGAATGGGCTTCTTTCCTGAGGACGTTCTAAAGTCGGATTTGTACGTAAGTCGGAACACATGCTATGTGCATACCGTATTTACAGAACAATGTTTAAAATCCCACTATATCATCTAGAATTACTTGATTTAAGACAAAGGAAAAATTTGAATGACAAAATACAGTACAGTATAATGAAGGTAAAAAGTAAGTCATCAGGTAAATAAAATAATATAAATTTCAAGCTTAAACTCGTTCGTAAATAGGGGACCCCCTGTATATCTTTTATTTCTGCATAGCATAATCACGGGTTCAGGCACACAATCATTTTCACGTACGTACAATTGTACATGTACTGTACTGCATTACCTTTGTGTATTCATTGTTTCAATACAGTATATAGGCTACTGAATGTGGCATTTTATAAAAAAATGAAGATTGGTTACATTTTAATCTAGGGTTTACTATAATTATACAAGATTTACAGTACAGTATGCCTGAAAAAATCTACTTCAGTTATATAATAAAGTTCTGTACTTTACATGTGTGACTAGTGTACCTGTACTTTGTTTTTCATCAGCATTGCTTTAGGACACAGCCAGAAATGAAATACAGTACAGTACAGTACTGTTCTGTAGTGGACTCTAATGTACAGTATTGTTCTAGAAATCATATTGTCAGTCTATTCCTTATCTATGCATTTGCATACCATTTCTAATTATGATTTGTAGATTAAATCAGGTGGAACTGAAAAATTAATAACATATTGGTCAAGGAATTTTAATAGGGTGGATGTACACTCGGTAAAAAAGTATCTCAGGATGGGTTCAATGAATTTGGAACTCAACAATCATGTTGTCTCGCTAGGGTTGGTAGGCATGATAGTGAGACATTTCCTACCTATAATGGTAAGCTTAATTTAGTTATTTCATTTGAAATATAAAATTTGTTCATTGCAATATGATTGGTGAGTAACAGTAAGCATCATGGGTCATTATCAAAAACCTTCCTTTGTGGTGTTATTTGGTTTTGCACAAGAATTGTAAAGAAGGTTTTTACTGAGTGTACTGTAGCGTGGCTTGGTGTGCTAGGGAAGCAGGGTGAACGGTATACCCCAAAATGGGGCAATAAAGCACACTAACTTGTATAAGAAGGATGAAAGGTAAATTCCACTCCCCGTAGGAATTTTGTATTGTGATAACAGCCAGATTACTGGCTCGTCAGAAACTCCGATTTCAAGATTAATCCTTTATTTTGCTGGTAGGCCTACCCTTTCAGACATTCCTGACATTCTATCATATATTTCCTTTGCTCAGATTACCATTTAAGGTAGTAAATGGTTTATGTGTTTTCTTCATTTTACAGAACTTTAACTATGGCAGTAAATGTATTTTCAACAAGTGCAACCACGGAAAACTTGAGTCGTCATGACATGCTCAACTGGGTCAATGACTGCCTCCAGTCTTCATATACTAAAGTGGAAGAGTTGTGCACTGGAGCAGCATACTGCCAGTTTCTGGACATGCTCTTTCCAGGTAAGTTGCTGTTTCGGTCTTTATTTATTTTATTTGCCGGTATTTATTATTCTTTCATTTACTGTAGTTTTGTGCATAGTTAGGGTTCCAAGAATTTTTTTTTTTTTTGGGGGGGAATAGCCCACCCGGGTACAGGTCATCGACCCACAACGGGGCCTAGGGAACAGTTTGTATGAGTATGGAAACACAGAAGAAGGCAGAGCATTCCACAGGTTGGCTGTGTGAGGAAAGAAGGATGTACTATAACGGGTTATTCTAGTGTGTCTGGCAGCTACAGAGAAACGGTGGGCACCGTGGGCAAGACTAGTGTTACGAGCCCACAGCTTTGTTGGTGGTACACAGGAAGCCAAATTTACCGAACATTGCCCGTTAAGGTACCTGTAAAAGAGAGAGAGTTAAGCAACAGTGCGGTGAAGAGAAATGGAAGAGAAATTATCAACTAAAGAAGGAGAGTCAAAAAGACAAAATGCCTTTGATTCCACCCTATCTAACAGTTTGACAGAAGAGCCACCCCAGATATGAGAGTAGTACTCCAAGTTAGGACAAATGAATCCCTTATATACTTGAAGCAACTGCTCAGGAGTGAAGTAGCTACGACATCTGTACAGCATTCCCAGCTTTTGGGAGGCATCTTTAGCAATGATGTGGATGTGTGGCTTCCATGACATATTAGAGGAAATGGTGAGGCCTAGCATATCTATTTGAGAACTTGGTAGAATGATTGCATCCTGAAATGAGATTGGTTGGAGATCATCTAATTTGGAAAGTGTAATTGGTAAATAACGAGTTTTAACACTACAGTATTGAATTTAATTAATGTGGCGCAGTGCTATAATTTGATCCCAGACTCAACCTATTACTGTATTGTAGTATCTGCAACAGAGCATTAATTATAGCTGTACTTGTTGATGGTGGCTTTTAGAAGTAAGGGGTCAGGGTCAAAACTTACCTCATAAATGGCAGTTTGTTTGTTTACAGCATTTACACTGATTTTTAATAGATAGTGTCCCTCCTTTAGACTGCTTGTAGGCAACTGGACAAGGCTGTTGCTGCCTTAATTCATTTAGATTTCATTCTTAAATGTTATTTGTCATTTTTGTAGTTTTTATTTCATATTTTGCAAATAATTTGTATAATATAGTTTTGTCACACACACTTATGTTTCTTTTACCTGTCATGTATTGTAAAACAACCTAACAATACCTGTCATACTTCTGCAGGGTCCATCATGCTGAAGAAAGTCAAGTTCAATACAAATTTGGAGCATGAATATATCAACAACTTCAAGATCTTGCAGTATGCCTTCAAAAAACTACAAGTAGACAAGGCAGGTAACTTTTGTTATGTACAGTACAGTATGTAGATACTGGTCCACAATGAGTGATATGTCATAGCTTGCTGAACAACCTAAGGCAGATCCAAATAATCCTATGATAATCCAAGTGATTGTACAGTGATCCAAAAGATGATACTGTATAGTATTCTAAATGAAACATTAGTGATATTAATTATCTTAGAGAATCTTATGGATGCATAATGATACAGTTGATTTGAAAATGTTACTTGTGCAATTCTCACATGACATTTCCCCCCCATCTAGAGGCATCTGCTTTTATTGATCCACTCATTGCAAAAGTGGAAACAAAGAAATTATAAACGATAGATTATAGAAAAAAATAAGATATGGAATTAATTAGGTATTGTAAATAAAAGAAAAATATTGGAAACTCCAAATTTTACTGTAGAAATACCTTTACCTGATTATTTTTTCTCCTTTTCAGATTGTACCTGTTGATAAACTGATAAAGGGAAAGTTCCAAGATAACTTTGAATTCCTTCAGGTAATAAATTTTATGTTGAGTTATAGTGGATTTAGTTTGTCTAGAATTTTTTTGAAAATGATTTGCAAGGATTTAAATGAGTATCGACCTTAATTATCATCAAGTGAGACTGGATTCTTAACTTAAAAAACACAAATGGTAGAAGCTGGTAGCTGGGACAAATATAAGAATCCCCACATGTCATTTTTTATTATTATTATTTCTTTACAATATTTAATGGGCTTCTATACTTGTGAGTCATGTATGAATCAACCAAGTCTAGATTAGTTAACCCCAGCTGGCACTTAGACAATAGTGGTTTGAAGTAATCAATTGAGTGTTCAGATCCCTGCATGTTACAAGTGTTGTGCTAAAATGAAGACATTGAAACAGAGGTCATAATCAATTGACTGATGGACAATGATATTAATGTCACATACGCTATGAGTGATGTGCAAACCACCAGCCAAATTTGTTTGCTGGTACTGTAGTTGAATATTGGTTTATGAGCATGTATTACATATGATGAATCATTGTGTAGTCATTGTTACTCATCTTTCACAGTGGTTCAAGAAGTTCTTTGATGCTAATTATGGAGGGCAAGAATATGATGCCCTCGGAGCACGACAAGGGGAGCCTATGTTTGGTAGGGGTGGTCCAGCTAGAAAACCAACTGCTCCTGCTAATACTTTTCGACCTATGGCGCGTCCAGCTGCTGGAGGTTAGTGTGTTATTATTGTCTATGTTTATTAAGGTTTCATTGCTTTTATTATAGTCTTTTGTCAGTTCACATTTACATTCTGATATCAAGTTATACCCATTCACTCAGTATTGCACAAATAATTTAATGTATGTATAGATAGCTTAGATTTGCCATTGTAAGGACTATATGTTGTAGCAGATGTGTCCAGACATTATACAGTAATCCCTTGAGAAGATTCTGTTGTGTTCAGTTGATCTCAGGTGTCTCAAGCTATTCCTCCCACCACATCAGTAATCATCCTACACACCACCACCACATCACCTCAAATACACCCCCTAACACACACACACACCCAAAAAAAATATTGATACAGCACTAAGGTTAGTGGGATTCAGAGTGTCATGGTGATATAAATACAGGGGTCCCCACTACTGTATAGGTAAGTTTTGCGGTCAAATTTCACTTATGCACCGGTCTTTGTTTGGATATTAAAATTATGTCTTCCCCATGTTATTTGATGAGTTTCGAACGAATTTGTTATTTATTTCTGCCAGAAATCAATAGTTTTTTAGATCCCCCTCCCCCTCACTCTTAACGATTTTTGTTTTCGAGTAAATCACATAAATAAAATACCAACCAACAAAACCAAACCTAACCTAACACAACACTATTTTTCTGATGAAACTCTGCAATTGACGTAAAATAATCTCTTATCACAATGTCGGCACAGCTCTTTCCACCTGTTCTGTCATATCTGGTTATTCTGGTACTGAAAAATCAAATCTCCGCTCTCAACGCACTCACGCATTGTTTATTGGCTAAGACAAAAAGCTCTTGCCCAATTATAAGTCTCCTATCACTATAGCCAATAAGAAACTCCCACACCACCCCCTGCACATGTGCTGTAGACGCTTAAGAAGCCAACACGGAGGTAAGGAGCACTGCGTGATGGGTGGTCAGACCTTCTCTGTGAGACGTAAACAATAAATGGCGACACTTGTGACTGACCAAATCTAATAACATTGAAAAATTAATATCTCGGTTATCCTTAATTTCCGGTGGAAATACCACAGAAGTAAAAGGGTCTTAGAATTGTCTAAATATTACGAAAAACATATTAATAACAGAGAGAGAAAGACCGGTGCATGACAGAAATTTCACCAGTTTTACCAATATACATAGCTAATAAATATAGGAAAAAATTTATTTATACTGTACATCAATTGTTTCATATGTACGTCATCTGCATCATCCACTGTTTTATACCAAGTTGTGTGTACCCAAATAAGACTAATGAGCAGTGTTAAAAGCACGTAATATAATGTAAAAATAACCATAATAAGTAATGAAAGTGCCCTACAAGTGATAAGTTTCTACCATGCCAAAATACATCATTCACTTCTCACAAGACTGAATGCTAATGCCACTGTTGTTTGTTAAATAACCACAATTCGCAGGAAAGTTATTTCAATATACAAATGTACCTTATGAATAAAGAAAATATATACAGTACCGGTACTGTACAGTCTAGTAATATAAAGATATAAGATAAGAAAAAATAGTGTCAGGGTATATTGTGTTTTTGAGAATATTGAGTCTAGAAATCACCATAACACACATGTGCTTGTTAGCTGTGAGAAGGCTGAGCATGTGCCATTGTTACATAAGAAATGATAAAAGTTATGGAAATATTTCAATGCTCTATTGCAATTTAGAAATAAAGAAAAACTATAAAATAACCACATTAAGAGTGGGAAGTAAATCATGTAGGGAGGCGGGACAACCGCACCCATGACCCCGTTAACACGACAATATGAGATTTCACTAATTCTCATATAATTTAAGTTCATTTGGTACTGTACTGGGTTAATAAAATATTATCATAAAATAATCAATTCTTCTGAAAAAATCTGACACCCAACCCCAGTTGAGTTATTGTGTTGAATTAAATTCCTGATGCTTGTTTACATGGCAGACCAGCTGTCATCAACCTCCATCTGAGCAGTGTTGCCAGTGCTATCATGTATCACTCAAAGGTAACAAATAATGTTGTTATGAATGTATCCCCAGATCAAATACTATACAACACAGTATGTTATAATGAACCCATTGAATGCTGAGAGTTCAAGGGGTATTACTGTTCATGTTGGGATGCATATTCACCTAATTACAGTACATTATTTCTTATGTGAAAAATTTCTCATCATAAAACATTTCATAATAAATTACTTTTCTATGGAAAACATCTGGACATATAATGAGGATCCCCTACAGTGGGATATCAGTGTCGTGGTAATAGGGTAGTGGCGTATCAGAGCGTTCCACCAATGACTTTCTTTAATGATGGAGATGTAGGAGTGATTGCTTTATGTGTTTTGATGTAAATATCACCTCATGCTGAATGATTTGGGGGTGTTGGAGGATACCAAAAGCTTCGGTCATCAATCGGTCATCAGCCTTTATTATGAGAAGTCTCCTGTCTTTGGACTCGTTCAGAAAATGGGATTTATGGATTATTCCTTCATTTCTAGTGTTGTAGTTATGAAAATTTTATGGAAGGGTTACAGTCTTTAAAATTTGCCCTTATATAAAAATTCCATTTACTGAATCCTGTTTTCCCATTGATTTTCATTAAATACTGTAATTGGAGCTTCACTCTTATATGGCAGTGGTGTGGCCAGATGTTGTGGAATAGGAGTTACTGGGAGAGTGAAATAGGGGCTCTAGGATCATGTGCTTACCCCTGTGATTCTTCATCTAATTCAGGCTGTAATAACATGGCAGTAGAAGCACCTGCCTCCCCCTCAGAATTGTCATCATCTGCTACACTACTCCCATTCCTGTGTCGACATCTCTGTTTCTCCACAGATCCCATTTCCATTCACGTCAATCAAAAAAGCTCTTAAACTTTCACTTTATTAGTTTTAAGTAATTTTATTATCATTACTTCTTGTGCTTTTTGTATTTTTGTTTTTATATGCAGTAATTTGTGTTTAGTAGGCTGTATATTGGAGGTTGACCAGGAAGCTAACTAATTTTTCCCATACTGTATTATTGTTTGACTTGGAAAAAAAAAGAATCATAGAGGCAAAACTGATATTCCTCTATTTGTAAATTTTATGATGGTAGACTTCCCTGAAGTTTATGTCCATGAATTGTGGAGAACTTGTAGTTTGATCGGATAAATTATGTATATTGGAGACCTCAAATGTGTTGATATAAAAAAAATATAAACTAAGACTCAAAAGGGGGTAAGGGAAATAAACTGCTTTGGAACTAACACTTAATATTACTGGTTTTTTCTGCCTTTACATTAATATTTTAGGAAAACTGATGGTATGTATAGAGTGCTATAGTAAAAGGATTGTGAATAATAATTCTTTTACTTACAGGGGCTCGTCAAACTCCTTCCCGTATTGCCTCCAGACCAGCTGTTAGTACTCGCTCTCCAGGTGGTAATAATGCACAAGTGGAGGAGCTCTCTGGTCAGGTGTGTTGCCCATTATTTCAGTAAATAGAGATTTTGTGTGTGTTTTGATGATAATGGTTTATTGAAAGAGCATGGCAGCCAAAAGGCTGAAAATTTACAATAAGCAGAGATGATAAAAGTTACATAAGGTGAAAATAGGGAATGGGTCACTTGATTGACAAAAGCTTCAATACAAAAAGAGAAGTAACAAGTAACATGAAATGAACATAAAAATTCACTATAAATATGGAAGCAATCTCATTGGTTTCAGGGCAGTCGGTCTTGTAAACTGTCTGGTGAGTTGATAGTGTTGCCTTCCCACAGTATATCAGGTTTCACGTCTAGTTGTAGTCCTGGTCTCCAGCTGGTCATAATCTACACATTTACACATCCATCACGTGGTTCTAGTAGCCTAGGTCTCTGGGCTCACAGGGCGTTGAGAGGGTTCTTGTTTCTCATCTGCAATTGTTTGGAATTTTCGTTCCTCTCCTGGCCTTGACTTCACATCTGGTGTTAATGTGGTGGTGGGTGGTGAGGGCTGGAGGGGCCGTGACCACTGACCACGAGGCATTGACTTGTCACTGTCTAACACAGTGGTTCCCAAAAAATTTCACTGCACCCTCCCCCTCCCATTAGTTTTTTACCAAAGCCTCATCCCCCCCCCCTCCCCCTCCCATTTTTAAAATAAATTTAATCAACTTTTAATGAATTTAACACCTTCTACTGGCATTTATATTACTGTACTTTCAAGAACAAGTAACTCGTGCAGATAGGGAAGATTGCAATATACTAAAAAAAATATTCTTATACAAATATATTGAAAATTCCCTAATAAAGAAAAAGAATGTTAGTATACGTACATGTTTTTCGCATGGACCTCCCCTGCTCCCTCTCCCAGTTTTGGAACCACTTATTTCCACACACCCCAACACTGAGATCCTCTTCCTAGGGGATTTCAATGTACATCACAGAGAGTGGCTTGGCTCTGCAAGGGATGACCCAGGTGGAGCTGAGGCACTCTCTTTTTTCCTTCTAATGATTTGGAACAAAGAATCAAACACCCTACACGCGTTCCTGATCGACACGATCAACTTGCTAACATTCTTGATCTTTCTTTTACCTCTAACCCCTCACACTATTCATACTCAATTTCTGCCCCCTTAGGGTCTTCTGATCACAACCTTATTTCTATTAAATCAAACTGGGCACGACCACCTCCCCCACCCCCCTCTAAACGTCAACTATGGCACTATCAGAGGGCAAGCTGGCAATCCTTGTGAGAATTCTTCACCGACTTTCCTTGGGATGAATGTTGCTTTTCCACTCGGGATGCCTCGGTATGTGCTGACAGCATTGCTGGGGTTATACAGGGCGGTATGAGTGCATTTATCCCATCTTCTACCAAAACTTTCACATTACAATCATGGTTTGATCACTCCTGCTCTCTTGCTTGCAGGGTGAGAGATAGGGCATATCGAGCTATGAAACTATCTCCTTCTCCTATTACCCACACCTATTTCATTACTTCTAGGAATCGTTGTAAGGCTATTCTTCATAGGGCCAAGCGGAATTTTGTTAAAAGAAAGACCGCTGTCCTGACTAATTCTTCCTCTAGTAAATCCTTTTGGTCCTTAACTAAAAACATCTGTAACAACTTCTGCACTCCTTCTTTTCCTCTCCTCTTCTGACCCGATAACTCTATAGCCAACTCTCCCCCTGACAAAGCCAACCTCTTTGGCACTTTATTCTCCTCTAACTCCACCTTAGACGATTCCCACTCTATCCCTCCTACCCCTGCACCTCCTACTGAACCTATGCACTTTCCTATAATCTCCACTCGCAGGGTTGCCGGTGTGTTATCCAGGTTGGATGTGAGTAAGGCGCATGGACGGGACGGACTACCCCCTCGTGTTCTCAGGGAGTGTGCTGAAGTCCTGGCCCCTTTGCTTGTTCGCCTCTTTCGCCTCTGCCTCAAAACCCAAACTTTTGGAAGCATGCCTTGGTTCAGCCCATCCCGAAGAAGGGTAACCATTCTAATCCTTCTAACTATCGCCCCATTGCCTTAACTTCATCCATCTCTAAGATTTTCGAAACTATCTTGAACTCCCATTTCTCCGTCACCTTGAACACCTTTCTCTTTTGTCGGATCACCAGTATGGCTTTCGCCAGGCGAGATCAACTTGTGATCTGCTCTCCTATTGCACCCATCTCCAAAGCATTTGACAGGGTATGGCACAAGTCATTGCTATCTAAACTTCCCTCTTTTGGTTTCTCTCCCCCACTTTGTTTTCTCATCTCTAGCTTCCTTGAGAACCGATCCATGGCAGTTGTTGTCGAGGGATTGATCTCTCACTCTTTCTCTACCAGTAGTGGTGCCCCACAGGGTTCTGTTCTTTCACCTACTCTCTTCCTTCTTTTTATTAATGATTTACTTCACACTACAACTAATTCTATCCATTCTTATACTGATGATTCTACTCTTCACTCTTCTTCACATTTTCCCCTTCCTCCTAACTCTCAAACTAGATCTGTTTCTAGAGCTGATCATTACTTCTATCAATGCGGATCTGTGCAACATCTCTGAATGGGGAGATACAAACTTGGTTAAGTTCAATAGTAATAAAACTCAATATTTACCAATTACACTTTGTAAATTAGACCATCTCCCACCAATTACATTTGAGGATGCTATCGTCCTGCCAAATTCTGAAATAAATATGTTAGTCCTCACCATTTCTTCCAATATGTCCTGGAAATCACACATCCTTAGTATAGCTAAAGCTGCCTCCCGAAAGTTGGGAATGCTGTACAGATGCCGTAGCTACTTCACTCCTGAGCAGTTGCTCCAAGTATATAAGGGATTCATTCGTCCTAACTTGGAGTACTGCTCTCATATCTGGGGTGGCTCTTCTTCTGTCCAACTATTAGATAGGGTGGAATCAAAGGCATTTCATCTTATTAACTCTCCTCCTTTAGTCGACAATCTCTCTTCCCTTTCTCTTCGCCGCAATGTTGCTTCACTCTCTCTCTCTTTTACAGGTACTTTAACGGGCAATGTTCGGTGGATTTGGCATCCTGTGTACCACCGGCAAGGCCGTGGGCTCGTAACACACGTCTTGCCCGCAGTGCCCACCGTTTCTCTGTGGATGTCGGTCACACGAGAATAACCCGTTAAAGTACATCCTTCTTTCCTCACACAGCCAAACTGTGGAATGCTCTGCCTTCTTCTGTGTTTCCATACTTATACAATCTGTCTTACTTTAAAAAGCTGGTCTTCCGGCATCTTCGTGGTGTAGATTAACACAATATAACCTTTTTGTTCTCTATTTTCAATTTCTTTCTGTTCTTTTTTTTTTTGCCCCCAGGCCCCGTTGTGGGTCGTTTGACCTGTGCCCGGGTGGGCTAATTCCCGTAAAAAAAAAAATATCATTTGGTCATCAGTCTTTGCAGCACGTAGTACATCTTCATCCCATGGAGGCTGAAGATGGTTTGTGTTTGTCATTGTACTCTTAAACCAGGAGTACTGCTATTTCAAATTTAAGGCCTTGTTGTGGAAGGTGAAGTACCAGAGTAGAGCATATCTTCCCTACCTATTCCCTAGTGTCAGGCAGCTCTCGTAATATGACCTGCTGCTGACTGGGGAACAGAGATGTACCTTCCGTTCCCCACTTACGTAAGTCATGCTGATTTATTGACTAATTTGGGTGTAATTATCACTTCTTCCTGCCCATCACATTGTTCCCTTTTATTTTTATGTAATTTTGGTGTAGCAGTTGTTAATACCTTATAGGATTTGTAATATGTATGTGCAAATTATTCTGTGATATAAGTTTGTAAAATGTATAGGAACTCCTGTACAGTTCCCTGCTGACCTGCTAATCCACAGGTAACCTACAGTCTGAAAGTTGGATATTTTAGTGAGTGTGGGTCAAACACTGCCAGTAATGTCTTTGTGAGTATACCTATGGGCAAGTACTGTACCTTTGATCCATGAAGATATCAAACGTACCTCTGCTTTTGTGGGTGTATTGGTATGTTCTAGAGACCTGTGATGTACTGTATATTAAAAATTATAAATTCATACAGACTTGTATCTTACTGGTGCTGTGGTGTGGGACCAGGATTCAAGTGTGCACAACCATCATATGTATACAGTATTAAGAATTTAATATTTGTCTTATTTTCTCAGCTGATGGATTTGAGACTGACTGTTTCGGGACTGGAGAAGGAACGTGATTTTTATTTCGGTAAACTTCGAGAGATTGAGGTTTTGTGTCAAGACGAGGGTGAGAACAATGAATTAATCGGAAAAATCCTGGATATCTTGTATGCCACAGAGGTAGGTGATAAAGTTTGTGCATCATTGTACATCAGGCAGCTTCTCTAGGTAAGGACGCCCTCTGGATTTTACATTAAGTGATGAATATTAATTTTTTTATAATAAATTCAGCTTTGCAACATAAACGACAATGGATCGTACATTCCAGTGTAGTAAAACCTGCTTGTACTGAAACTCCAACCTATGTGTATTACAGGTATATAATCATGCTTTTTATATATTACTCCTGGCATTTTTATATATACAGTACTGTATAGTGTGTTGTTATATTGGTGAGAGCTCACATGCAAAGGGAAACTGGTTGGATCATGAGGTTAGGGTCTTGAATTCCCTTGAGAGAGATAGTTGGTTGTGCACAAGATTTCTTAGCAGTTAGATTAAAAAAAAGTACTTTGGTTGAATAGCATCCGGTAACCTTTCCTATACGGTATTTTAGGTGGTGGGGGGGGGGGGTTATTGCTCTCATTTGTGTTTTAAGACATAATATAAATAATGTAATTAAACAACAGAAAGTTGTATTTACTAGCTACAGCACTAGAAATTGTGAAAATGCAGTACTGTACAGAACTTTCAGGGCAGTGATCTTCACAGTTACCACCACATTAGAACCTCAATTACTGTACCATTACCAGTAGAAGTTTGTTATCAACGCATACATCATTGCTCGCTCTAAGTTATAATAAATAGTTCACATGACTTTTTTGGGGAGAAAGTTTTCCTTGTCATTATATTGTTTACAAGCTTGTCAACCATATTGTAATTACTCACTGAAATTTACATCTAGACATGGAAACTCATTGTAATAACTCGTGGCAGGAGGGACAGTGGTGTTTGGTTTCCATTTTAATACTCATTATAAAAAAATTCACTGTTTATTGCCTTAATTCTGTTGTGTAGGATATTCTTGAGTAGTTATGAGGAAAGCCTTTAGAGTTGACCAAGATATTTATTTCTTAATTGCAGTAATTTTGTCTGTTACTGAAGTAAGCTATCCACAAACCTAAATTCATCAGTTTGGCATGTGGAGGTTAGGTTAAAGAATTCATTAACTTTTGGTCTTTTTAAACTAGACGCACTATTGAATAAGATTTAACACACTCAATTTTGAAATTTTATTTATTTGTATATTTATTTTTTCACTCGTGATAATGGATAATGTCGTTTGTTTATGCACCACTTCACTTGTTTTCAGACAGTCCCGGTCTACTAATGACTATAATATTCTCACAGGGAAATAATCTATCACTAATTATATCAGTATGTGTGAGTGTGTGTGTGCGCGGGCGTGCATGTGCGTAACTATAGGGATGAGGTTTTGGTCTCATCATTATGGCTTAATGGAAATTAATTCACATGGGTAAAATATTATGTTTTATGTAAGACAGTCATAACTAAATTATACCTAAATTAGATTTGGATTAAGCAATGATGCTCATTTACAGCTTATAGTACAACTATCCTCATGATCAACCTTATATACATAACACTTAGAATGGAAAAATGGGTACAGGTGTCCATCTTATAGTGCAGTTGACATGATCCAGATATGTGGAATAAGGTGAAAGAATATCTGCCTGAAAGCTTTTTTGGACAAAAAGAATAAAGATGAGCTTCATTGTAGAGGTATTCATTTCATACTTGAAGTAGCACTGTAGTACACTCAGTGTACACCGTCCTACAATTTGCGTGATGCCTTGAGACTGAATGGGGGAGAGAGGCAGTGTCCAATACCCCAAAAAGTGATACAAAAGAAGACACCTTTTGCCAAAGCACTTGTTCACCCATGCATTCAAATTTCAACTTCCTAGCTCAAACTTTGATGAGGTATTGCAAGGACAAGAAAGAAACAAAAACTACAGCTTACAAATATTTAAAATTAAAAAAAATTGCCCAAGATTTTAATTTGCGAATGAAAACCCCTTAACTGTTTTGTTTTTCCTTCACTATTTATGCGATTTTTTATTTAGTAATACTTTAATGAAAATATGCTAATGCTTTTTCTTTTTTATTACAGTAAATCTTCTCAATAATGGAATAGTTGGTGTAAAGAAGTTCCAGTTAATGAATTTTGTTACTTGCTCAGACACTTTCAATAATCGGAGATTTACTCTAAATATCGGAAAATTTTTGTATACGTGAACAATTTTCCATTAAGTTTTTACGACACAATATCACATCCCCTTAAAATATAAAATGCTACAGTAAACTAATGTATTGTACAATTATATTCCCATTAGCTGGATTCTTCGATCCCCAGAACTTTCCATTACCTGAAAAATTAAATTTTAGCGTCCGTGAAAAAAGTATCAGTTCTGGGCATTTGAATGAATTTCTGGGCGATTGAATCATGCGCCAACTTGTGCTGAGCGCAGGGGTGGGTAGGGTCAGAATGCTCATGTGCTATAATTGGTTACTAGTGTCATGTGACTGCATGGGATGCCTATGATTGGCTGATGTATCTTGCAGCCTATCTCTTCAAACTCTAGCATCATGACGCTCTTAGTTCATTGTCCACTGCTATTTTATAAGCTTGTTCACTCGCTCATAGCTTTTTTCACATACAACCTGTATTGTGCAGTACTGAACATTGCTGTACCAGGATACAATTGGGCAAGAATACTGTTAAAGCAGTGTTAAGACATAAAAAAATTATTATTGTTATTAATATATAGTACTGTACTGTACATTCAGTAGGTATGAAAGAATTGTACATAACAGAGTGGACAGTGTATGCCTACTGTAGGGTAGTGTGTAGAAGATGTATGTACAGTACATGTACAATCCCTCCTTCATGGAGTGAAAGGGGAGGAGAGTGACAGTTAGCAACACCAGCTATGGTAAATGGTACAGGACAAAGGCAGGCCATCCTATATCATCATATCACCATTTGGCCTGCCTGCATCACAAGCTCAAGGTGACTCCATCTGCTGGTGAGTACAGTATAGTGTACATTACTGTATATAGTAGTTCAGTATATTTTGTTTATTTACAATACTGTACTGTATAATATACAGTACATGTACAGTAGTGTTTACATAAATAAATACCGCTATGTGTCTGTCCAACTGTAGTTAATCCTCCATAACAGTGGTGCTCCATACCAGATGGATAGTTTTGACGCGTAAATATTCACCAATGATTGAAAAAATTCCGTACGTGTGATTTTATTCGAGGATAAAACAATTTGCCTCGATACCTGTAAATTTCTCAGACCCGGAGATGCTCTGCGTCAATTGTTCTGACTACAGGATATTTCTGTACAGTATTCCCAAATTATATACAGGAAGTATTGTATCATGCCAAATACACATATACACAGAACCTTTTTCAGACCTCCCCAAACCTCAATTTTGGCTCATTTTTATAACAATAACACACTAATATAGTACAGTATTGAAATACAATTTTAATTCTTCTTTAAGAAATGAAACATTAAAGACATATATAATGTTCTTAAAACTAAAGGTGATATGATCCAGTACTGTAGGTACAGTATAGATCCGACCAGTGAGGAATAGGTTAAAGTGATGTAAACAGTTCTTATGGCACCACTTTTTCTTACTTCAACACTAATTACATTACATGTATCAAAACACTTTTTAACAAATTATAACTCTACTTAAGTCTGAACAACTGCTTTCTGGAATGCAGTTGTTCAGACTCGAGATGACTCGTGTCATGAGTGAATGAGGTAATGGTGGCCTGTGCTAGCATTGGTCCTAAAAATTACATATATGTGGTAATATGCAGTTTGTGTGCATATAATTGTAAGGAGAGACAAGTGATGGGGGAGAGGTGAGGGTGAGGGGTAATGAAGCGTCTCTGGGCGTGTGTCCTGCAAACGACTCGTTGGGTGGTCGCCGGGTGGCCACCTCGTACAGTAGTGAAAAGGGATGACCATTCACTCATTACAGTGACAGGTCAGGAAAACTTTGCTCAGGTATGTTTAGTTAAGGGCGAATTATTAGACATGATAAGAAAACCTTAAGGAGAAAATTTTCATGAGCAATGTGGTATAATAATTTCATACTAATATACAGATGATCATAAGTAAACTTAGATGCTCTGTAAATAGTCTGAATAGATGCTAATTGCTATGGTATATGCTGTGTTTAGTAGTGATGTATTTATAATGTAGTATTTAGGTATTGGCCAGTTAGAAAAAAATAATGATTACTTTTTTTTTGTGAACTTGTGAAGCGTGACAAATTATATTAGGGATATAGATGCCCCAAAACACATGAGAAGAGAAATTATTGTGTGGGGATTTAGCAGCATCTAGAATTTTACTGTGGTTGGCAAGGGCTTTTTCTATTAACAAATAGAGGTTTAAGGAAGATATACCATAAGTACTATAATGTAGAGCTCAAGGTTAAAAATAAGTACCTGTACTGTACAGTCTATAAGCTGTGCAGTACTTAAAACATTCATTATACTGTGCAAGTATTGAAAAAATTAAAAAGAGAAGTGTAATGGAACAGTCCCCATGATACCACACCTGGTCTTGACACTCCCCTAGCAACACTGCTCCACTTAGCAAAGTAAATATGTGTATGAAGTTTTAACCCATACAAGGTTTTCATATGCAGGTGTGTGTGTGTACGTAGGAATGTGTTACCCAAAATATTAGTTTTTTTAATAGAGATCGAACACATAAGGTTAAGATAAACCAAGTGTATGCTGTACAGTGCTTAGAAAACCAAAGACATGTATTATACTATATAAAAATATTATGTAGTAATTGAGCAGTCACCCCTGATGCTGTACCTGACCTCAACACAGGTGCATGTACTGTAGCGAGGTAACTATTGGGGTTTTGATATTGACTGTGTGTGTGTGTGGGGGGTTTGTGTATGAGTGAGTGTGTGTGTATGTGCATATATGAGAAAGAGTGAGTAAGTGGGTGAGTGATATGCCAAAAACACCATAATTGTTGGGGGGTGTAAGGTGCAATGTGTATTCTATAAAAATGGTTTCAGTAATATAAAATTGTGAACATGTCATGAAAGAAAGACTGGCTTTCTTGGTACTGTTCAAAATGTCAGCAGTGAAATGCCCTTTCCCCACAGGCATTGTTTGGATAATAATTTTTTAACATTTATAATTATACAGCTTGTAAACAGAACTGAAGCACCATCTTTTCTCATTATTTCTGTACTTTAATATGCATGAAAACTAACAGAAGGAAGGTAAATTTGTCACACAATATTGGTTTGTTAGTTATTGAATAAAACAGGTGGTATCAGAGTCAGGTGGCATCATGTCATCTCAGTAATCATGACTCCCTCACTGACTTGAGCTCTGGTGTGCATGATGAATGTGACTTTTCGTTCATCGAATTTTTTTGCATTTACCCGAGATAAAAATTTTTTATTAAATTTTTAGTTCATTGGTTCATATATATAATTAATCATTTATGCCAACAGCATTTATACTCCTATATTCCCCCCCCCCCCTCTTGGTTTCTTACATAAACCTTATTGGGTGGAGAGAGAAGAGGATGTTTTACTCATTTCTCTTCCTTGTTCCAAAAAGGAGGGAGGAGAGGGCAGATAAAGAATCCAGGTTTCATGAAGAATTCAAGTGAAAAAGAGAGTAATTTGATCAATTTAATAAGTATTCATTGATGTTTTTTTGACCCAGAACATATCCCGTCAAATCTGATTGATGTGATTAATTTGTAATTCATTCTCTCTACAAGTTGGACCATCTGTCTAAACCCAACCCCCACAGATTCTCCCCTCTTCCCTGAGAATACTGATTCATTATAGAACTCAGTGTCTTGGAGAAATTAAAAAAAATATTAAAGAAGTAAATCTGTAAAGTGTTTCAAAAGTTACACGTGAGAACATGCAGCACTTACTGAGGAAATGCACAACTGCCAGTGGGAAGAATGTACATTTTGTGCCAATCGATGTTTGACTCCTCTAATTTTGAACACTGCCTATCATTGTGTGTTTACTCCACGTTGTCTTTCTTTCAGCCAAATTGTTTTTTCTTTTTTTTGGGGGGGGTGTGATTTCTGCTCTAATATCTGGAAAAGGTTTGCAAGCATTAGTGCTGGGAAATTATCAAGGAGAGAATCACTGGATGTAAAACTGCAAATGTTGAGGGGGGGTTGAGACAGGTGAGCATCTTGTGGGTAAAGCATCATGCTAGGTCATGTCCAACAGTATTAGTATTTATTAATGACACGGGGAGGTTGTCAGAAGTCGCATCAGAATTAAGAATCTGTTGAGAGAGACTGCAGCATGGAGATGCTGCCAACAGGTAATGATGGTCAACCCACACAAGCATGGGAAATGGCCATAAAATGTTGATGATGTATACAGTAATGTTATTGTAATAAAAATTAAACTTTTTTAGGAAATGTACCATCTGTATAATTACTATTTTTGCTTTATTGATACTCCAGTGGAGCCCTCCCTTATATGTTCCTCGTGTGTAAGAAAACAGCCAGGAATGTATCATCATGTGCACAGTGATATAATTTCTTTTTTGTGCAGGATTAGCTATTGCTTACTATATATAGGTGTATATATACTGTACAGCAAACCTGCCTAAGAACCTGATCAGTTTTTGCAAGTCCTGTCCCTTATTCTATCCTCTCATATACTGTACGTACTTAAAATAATACAGTACAGTATGTTAAATATATCATACCATTCTTGGCCATCAAATCCACCAGCTGTTAAGATGCTTTAGTAAATCTATCCAATACATACAGTATTGGTAACCAGAGTGTACCCACCCACCGTACAGCCACACCAGCTTCCGTAAGTTAAACACCTTAATATTTCCTCTAAGAATTTATGAGAATTTTTTGTACTAAACACCGGTATTTCATGTACGTATTACTATTTTCTATACACTGCTAATATTTTATTTTATAAGAGTAAATAATGGGAAAAATACAGGAACCGTATTACATTATAGAGAAGGCAGTCATGAGCAATTTTTTCTAAATCTCTTATTTCATATTAATAACAAAGCAAGTTCAATTAAGTTTCATTATCTGCACACACACATATAAACCAGTACAGTATTGTACATTTTGCTGCAGGGAGAATAGGTATAAAATATAGTACGGTATTTCCTCTTAAAATCCTCTCCGGGTGCTATTGTTATATTGGTCCACTGGATATAAACAATGTCGGTCAGCTGTAACATCCATTGCTAGTATACTAAGTTGTGATGTACTGTATATGGAAAACAAAATGCAGTTGTATTATTCCATGTTGTTTCTCTTTATTTGTATACAGTACACCAATTAACTTTAGCAGAAGTATTGAAAGATGAAGGATAAAAAAGTGTAGGTTGGCTGTCATATTGTCTGCAGCTGTGAGCATGGTTTAGTAACTTACATTGATGGGCAACTTTTTTAAAATGAATGCAATGTCACATACCTCAAACTGATATAGCATCAATTATACTTCATCCTAAATATCTGTCGATAATGTATCTCGCGCTTTCTTGGTGGTGGTGTTTAGACTTTCAGCTGCGTGATCTTTTCAACCTCATTGTTTTTGCTGGTTTAATTACCTTACTCGTATTTTCACAAAATTCACTTTTGGTTCTTAGAGACATGTTGTCGCAAGAAAAATAATTAATTTGCAAATGAACAGGTAGGTTGAAGGAAGTGGAGGATGAGTTCAGCTGGTTGGTGTATGGTCTGCAGCTATTACCATCTCAGAACAAAAACAATCTTGGAGATTCATGATGTTTGATTAACCATACTAGTAATACTGTATAGTTTATCCATGGTGGCTGCTTTGGCTCCATTTACTTTTTTTCTTTTGCGTGTGGTTGTATCTTATTTGCTATGAGCATAAACCCTACTGTAGAAAATATATACAGTACTCTACAGTATATAGTGATTATGGAGATGTGTTCTGGCTGTATATCAATAGCTCTTTAATAAAATAGTGCTTAGAGGAAATATTAGTGAGTTTAACCTAGGTTAAGTCCTTTAACCCTTAAGGTTCTAGCAGGAACATGTTTTCCCGGCTTTTTCACTGTGGTAGTGGAAAAAGGTATTTCCAGTGAGTTATTAATAGCCCTTATAGTCGGCTTGCTGGTTCTTGTTGGGATGGGAAATAAGGGATGGAAGGGGGTCCCCCCAGGACTGGGAGTTCAGTTGAATAAGGAGAACCATGTTGGGTGAACATATTCCACCTTGTGGCGAGATGCTGCCACATACTCTGCAGGCCACAGCAGTCAGCTCAGTTGGCCCAGCACTTAAGAAAATTTTATGCCTCGCGAAATCCAGAAAAAAAATTTGTTGCATATATTGATAGTGATGCTGAAGAGGAAGATTTAGTAGTTTGTCAAAATGTGCAAATAAATAAATAAGAAAAACATTATACTGCATAAGTCAAACTGCAGTTGCCTTAGTCACCCTGAGATTCTACACCATGTATTGCAAGACGTACAGTATGTGGTGTACAGAAGTGAGATCATAATTTTTGTAGTCCATGAACTAAGTTGTTTCCTTCTAGAAAAGAACATTATAAATTTTAAAAATTTTCTTTTCTTTTGATATATGCTGTCTATAAGAGTGGATAAGCTTACACTCCATAGCACTTTGAGGGTTACACGCTGTCACCAAGTCTCATTGTGTTTTATTCCCAATATCTGTGTTACATTGCCATCTTTATACCAAGCTAGCATAAAGAAAGAAGTGCAAGTACTCAAGCCCCATTTTAAGGTAAGTTGAATTTCTATATAATGTACCCTGTACTGTACAATGTTTATTACCACATGAAAAATGCGTTTTGATGGTCGGGAATGGGGGTTAAAAGAAAATCTCCCTTTAATGGAATCCCTCCCAATAACGGACAGGGCATGTATGAATTAGCTCAGTATTGGAAGGGTATACTGTATATACTGTACTCTCTCTCTCCTTTTTAAGTTTTGAGTTTTATGTTTCATTTGTAATAATTGGCTCTTGTACAAGAGAAATGAAGTATACATTGTAAAGAATGTTGGTTGAAGAAGGATATTTAGAGTATGGTTTTATTTAGTATGCAAGCACAGTGTGTTGTACATATATACAGCTTACAAAGGGAACCATACTACACACACAACTTAGGAAAATAGCGTAATCGTGCATGGCCGTTATCACACTCACTGTGAGGTAGCTTATTGGTGTGAGATACTGTATATAGTGTGCCGAGTGGTGCCACAGCTACTCATGAACTTGTTCCATTACTGTTTCTTCATTTAAGAAATTATAGGGAGTAAATGGGTATTGGGTTACTTTTATATGTAATGATTTAAACTGCTATGAATATTCCAACATTTTTTCCTCAGGAGAGTTCTGCAGAGAATCCAGACAGCTTTACTGAGAACATCCCTGACAAAATACAGGCATGTTAAACTTGCATTTGCAAAACACATTGGGTGGTCTTGCAGGTCAGATACAAATAAGAAGCTCTATCCTCAAGTCATGCAAACAATAATTACTTTTTCAAAAAGCTTTTTGAATGCTTCTGAGCTTTTAAAATTACTGTACTTAACATCTATTTGTAAAGTCATCTTAAATGCTTCTAAAATGCTTTCATTAACAGCACATATTATGATTGGTGATTGAAAATATATCCTTAAGAAACTTTAATTACCTAAAGTTTCTAACTTGCATTACTTGTGTAATTTTTAATGTTTTGAAAGGATTTGTTCACTTATGTCAACTTAAGTTATCATATTAATGGAAGATGCCAGTGACCTGCCAGTCTTGTTCAACACAGTTTTTCCTTTATTTTGAAAGTAGTTTGGCACCTGTGTCTTGGGTGAATGCACTTGTGGAATGAGTCACAGGAACAGGTGTATTTAACACTACTTATAGTCTAACGTTGTACTAACTAACTCACTACAGCATTGTATGTTATCAGGTAGCTTTGAGGAGTAGAAATATTGAACAAAACAGTTTTAAGGGAGATCTGTAGTACATTAGAAAATCAATCTTCATATTTACAAAAGCTACACTTTACATATTAATTGGAAAGGTTATGTATATATTCATTCAATTGGTTTTACTAATCATGCATTCACTATCTTAACTTTTTAAAGCTCTTTATTGCTACTGATAAATTTGCAGTTGGTGCCACACACACACACACTACAGTTTTTCTCTTTATTTTCAAAGTGTGTGTTTTCAGGAGTATCTGGGTTAGCTTGAAATTCTCTAATGTATCCTCTTCCTAACATAAACAAACTCTCACTTATAAAACACGAGTAATATCATAATGACAACACACATGGCATAGGGACGCACACACTGGCCAGAAGGACTTGTTTGGGGGGAGGGGTGAATGAAGATGCAGTGCTTTGGCATAATGGTATGAACTACTGTACAGCCGTCCTGGTGTATTGTCCTTGAATGAACTAAATGTTGTTGTACCACATCTAGCCAAAGCAATTATCAGGAAGCAAATTGTAAGAGAACGTGCTCAAGAGTGTCACCTATTCATACGATAAGTGTTGTAAGTTCTGATAATGATGGAACACGTGAAGGATTCTCTGTATTGGTGTGTAGATTTCAATGACTTTTCTCTCTTATAAACACAGTGATTAGTTCAGATTAAAAATTTGTCTTTGCTAAGGGGATCTGTATTTTATTCTGAGAAAAACTGTCATTTTTAAAGAATCTGTTGCACTTTTGTAGAATAGTGATAGGTTTACCATCGTTGTCTCTCTAAATTGGAGAATGGTAATAGCACGCTGGTACTGGCACCTGTATATAAGTACTGAAGGGTCCTCTTGTAAGAGAGTTATATTGTGACTCCAAGGTACAGCTCATGAAGGATAACAGTTCTTGACAGACCTCATTATGGAAAAAGAAGTGTGGCTGCAGATATATCTCTTGTGATTTTTTGAGAAGCTGCTCTGTTACAAAAAGTTAACGAGTTAAAACCTTAAGTTAACATCTGTAAAGCCATAACTACGTCACGCCTACCGGGACTTTCTTCACAGGCAAGTAAAAAACGTGAAGGCTTTGTGAGAAAAGGTACAAGTAAGTGTTGCTGACTATAATTTGCTGTTATGGAAGTTTGATTCTAGTCCATTATGTAGATGTTGCTCTATGGAATTTTCAGTGAGGTCTGATTACGGTGACATTTTTGTCCTTATGTAGCGTGGATATTGACAGGTTTATAGAACAGGGCACACAAGCATACTCATAAAGTACAAGGGGGTCTTTGATATATGCCTGTTACAAATGTGAAAATTCACGTATGTGTGATGACACCATTACTACCAGAAATTCGTAATACAGTGTATGTGAAAAATATCACCCTTATGCAGTTAAGCATGTGATAACATGTTCTACACCACTTCGGCCACATGGCAAAACTATGCATCAGTTGTTATGCTCCAGCCACTTATCAGCTGTGTGTGCCGGCTCATTGACAAGTGTCAACGACCAGGGCTGACATGACGGTGTAGAGTGGTTGGTCAATCAGTATTACATTGTATTGCATTAGGATTTTGTGTGAATTTCATAGAACTGGTGAGGATGGGTCTGGGAGCACTACTCTATAGGTTGAGGCACACAACCTTATTTTTTACATAAAGTAATAGTTTCTTATATGCCATTACAGTTTCTGCAAACTTTTTTCTGGAATGCTTCCCTCACATATCGAGGACCCCCTGCAATACTTCTATTATACAATACTATGATAAAATGAATGATTCCTCACATGGGATCAAGTAACCATGCCATTCAGAGGTACTCTTAAACAACTTCATTACAGTTTCTTTCATTCATCACATATGATCAACTCTTCATTGCCTTTTTCAATTACAAATCTCTACCTTAGTTTGTGTTCTTTCACTCATCATCAAGAAGCTTACTTTTTTTCTTTCTTTTTTTATTCATATTGTATCTGTATCTACCAAATTGATTTCATGATTGATGTTTAGGGGAAGGGGGGGGTTGTAACTCATAGATCCTCTCAGGAATGAATATAGTCTGTTTGTGATATTTTCCTGGCCACCTTACATTTCATTATGAATATCCACAACATTTTTTGATGAGCTAACTTTGTTTTCAACAGTAACTTTTGAATCTGTTTACTTTATTTTGATTTACTGTTTAATATCAATGTAAAATTGAAACTGGGCGGTGAGCATGACTTTATTATCATCTTAAGTTAGTGGGTTTGTTTTTAAAGGATAAAACTTTTAAGCTGGATGGCCCGACAGTTATCACTTGTATTTTGATTATGGGACTATTCTTTTAGGTAGATTATAAGCAAAAAATTAATTAGTCATTGACATTGTATGCGTGATTAGAATACTGAGACGAGACAAAAAACATTTATTTTTAGTATTGAACAAACGCCAATTTTAAATTCTTACCCCAATCAGACTTATGGTTCAGAAGTTAAAAACTTTGTTTTAGGGGGGTTACTGGATACTGTACTGTACCACTGAATTCAAAATGCTATAACTCACCCTTAATTTTACTAAAAGAAAAATTTAGTCATCTGAAAGTTAATGGCAAAAAATAAGTTAATCAGTAAAAAAAAAATCATGTAAATGAATTTTTTTTAAACATTGCCTCTTTTATGGTCCTGACTTTTTTAAATGAGATGAGAAAATTTTGCTTTGGAGTCTTTACCTTACACTAGTTACACAGCGTCCTTTACTTTAAAAATTTGAATACTGTACAGTACTGTAGTTACCTATTTGATTTGTTTCAAACCTTTAGTCCACAATTTTGTTTCTGTTGACTAATTCGGTAATTTCTGACTTTAAGGTAGGAAAAAAAATTTATCTGGAGAAAAAGAAAATCAGATGTAGGTACAGGTGGTTTACAAAGCAGAAAAGGTACACAAAGTAAATACAGTCTGTCCAGATGGGTCAGATGAATTTCAAAATGATCAATGTGACTCGTCTTGGTAGGGGTGTCAAAATCCCTCGTCTGTGGTGTCATATTGTTTCATACAGTGTGGATAGATACTTTTTTTTTTACTCTACAGTACTTAACAGTATTGTTATTTAGGAAACAACAAAACTGTAATAATTGTAAGTTTGTGATAGTCATTTTTGAATGCAGGTATTGACCCTCAAATCTGGGACCTTTGGGACCAACACCAGACCTATTTTGGTGCTTTTCTGGTTTTCTGGATTGTAGGTTAGGTTAAATTCTACTCTCGGGAATTGCCCATCTGTTACTCCAGGCCTACCAATAGGCTTTGGCAGATTTGTTTCCACTTTCTCTTCTGAACTAATGTTTGTTTTGCTTCTTGAAATCGACTTTAATGGATTATTTTACATCCTAGCAGCTTCTTGCCAGCCACGAAACTTTACGAGAAGTAGAGAGTTCGTAATTAATTATTATTTGATAAAGATGAATAGCCCAATACCTTGATTTTCTTTATGATCATTTGTACAGCATTGCTAAATTATAAACTCCATGAGTATATTGTCACCTCTGAACTGATTAAAATTGTCTAGCTTTAGCCAAATAAACTATTAAAAGTGGTATCCCCAAAGTGAAGGGTTTAATATTATGTTCACATTGTTTTTGAAATCAATGCAATATTGGTCATCTTAAACCCAAGATTTGAGGTAATGGTTGCCAGATTCTGCTTGTTGCCACACAGGCTCCTGTGATAGGATGGTGCGGTACTGGTCGATGAACCAGCCACAGGATTTTGTAGGTATGATAGTTCCTTGTCTGTAATAAGGTGGTACCACATAGTGTGTGTGGTTGCACATGTTTTGTGAAATGGATAGCAAAGCAAATAAAGTATAAAAGAACATAGAGAATAAATGATACAATAATGTACTTGTACTCTATATAAAATAAATACAGGAAATACAATGCTGTGCAGTACTTGTATTACCAGTACACTATTTATCCTACAGGAAGTGCAAGTACATTACTAATTATCTGTATGGTTTTATACTTGATTTATTTCACTATTTCATAAAACATTTGCTACCACACACAGTACAGCTATTTTTTCAAAGAAAGCAGTCAAGAAGAGTGTTGATAATGACAAAGGAACCATCAAGCCTTTAAAAGCCTGTGTCAGGAACATCACCATTATATCACAGGATCCCAAGTGACAAACCATTGAATATTTGGTGTTATTTGACTAATATTAATTTCAAAAGCTTTGTGAATACAATACTTAACAATATTTCATTAATACAAATAAATACATGTACACATAAAGAAAACAAAGATATTTGCTATTTATTCAATCAAACAATAACTACTTTTGAACTCTGCTTCTTGTAAAGTCTGATGACTTGCTAGAGTGTAAGCAAACCCACTTAAACTGTACAGTAGTTTCTTTATTTCATTATTGAAGATGCAAAACCAATGTTCAACTGAGTTTGTGTAACTAACAGATGGA